GTCAGAGTGCAAGTGTGATATAACAAGAGTCACTGAGGACAACTGGGCATTAACACAGGCCTGACGGTGAAGAATTAAACACTTAATTTCCTGTAATTGAGTAGTCTTTCTCACGAGTTGTACTTTACTGATTAGATTAAGGGTTAAATGTAATTATTGCTTGATGGTCAAACCTGTAGAATAATAATAATTTTATTTTTTTTTTAAAAGAGTATAAAAGCATGCCCAATTACACAAGACAGTCTTTCTGTAAGTTTCACAGTCAAATTTAAGAATTTTAAAGCCCATTATGAATGACATTTCAGACATGTACAGAGCTAAACACGAATGCCCCATTCACACGGGGCTTCAGCGTCAACGCTTGACAGAGGGCGTGTCTGAAGTTGGAGCTGACGCGATCGTCAAAGCAGCGTCAGCCAATGAAATTAGTCAGCAATAGACCACTGTCTGAGCTGGTGTATTTAGCTAATCCCAACACAAAAACTGTGAGACCGCGCTATTTAGAAATGCTTTTTGAGGCCAAGCTTCAAGTAAACAGGGTAAAGTACATTGGTTTGTTTGGTCAGCTGATGCTTTGACTCTGCATTTACTACATGCTGTATATGAGTTCAAAAACCTGTTCTGAGACCTGTGCATAGAGTTAATTAAACCTTAAGGTGTTTCTATAAAGAATGTGTCAGGAATTTATTTATTTTGTGAATCTTAAAGGGTAGAAGTAGCTTTAACTTAAACTCTTCAAAATAATGGGGTGTCAGTCCTAACTTTTTTTTTCTTTTTTCTTTTTTTTTTGCTCTAAGAATATTACAAAAGGTGTTTTGGAGGCAAAATCTGTTCTCAGAGATGTCTATCTGTCATCTTTACAAAAGCAATAACGTTTTTTTCCATGCATCCTTTTTGTATTTGGAGGTTTTCTTGACTGCAGATATTATATCCTCTATCTTTAATTAGAAATATATATAAATATTAAATCAATTAAGCAAGAATTGTCTGCTATATAAAAGACTTTATTATTTTTTTAAAATATATTTTACAATATGAATAACCGGGTGCTGCGGTTTCCCCCACAGTCCAAAGACATGCGGTACAGGTGAATTTGGTAGGCTAAATTGTCTGTATTTTATGACTTTGAATAAGTGTGTATGGATGTTTCCCAGAGATGGGTTGCAGCTGGAAGGACATTAGCTGCGTAAAACAAATGCTGGATGAGTTGGCGGTTCATTCCGCTGTGGCGACCCTAGACTAATAAAGGGACTAAGCTGAAAAGAAAATAAATGAATGCACAAAAAAATGTCCAAAAAATAAATTAAAATACATTTGCTACAAGTGTTTTTGTGGATATTTTAGAAAATATATTTGAAATAACCAATAGACCAACTACCATGTTTGTAAACATTCAGGATGCGCGCGCAGGGAGGTGGCAGAAAGCAACCGGGAGCCCCAGCATTTACAGCGAGGGAATGACATCAGATGCGGTGCAGAGTTTAGAAACAAGATATATTACTTACATATTATATATATTATTTACATAATGCTTACAGCATATTATAACAGCTCGTCGCCCAGTGACAAGCACAGTGATTCAGCAAAATTAACGTTAAAGTGAGCGGCGTTCGTCTGACTGGTCCATTTGCGATAGCACCCTCCTAATGAATATTGGATAAGACGAAGTGACCGAGCATCCAGCCCCAAATATACAATCTCAATGAAGCTCCGAGTGATTTTACAAGAGAGAAGTTAAAGTCTACAAGTCTTTGGATGCCAACAATGTTGTTCTTTGATGTCATGTGCAATAAATATTGCTCCATGATGACCAGATTCAAGAGCTAAACACAGAGATTCCGCCTAGCCAAAGACAAGGAAACAAGACGGACCTAACGTTATACAAGGCCTGGGTAATTAATCACCAACACGCAAAACGACTGCATTCTGACAGCGAACTACACCTGTACGGCAGGGTATGTGAACCTACACATAGAGGTAAAGTTGGTTTTATATTCGCACATTCAGACTTTCTCCTTAATAATATAATTTCATGAAAATATTATTTGCAAACTCTAAATAGCGAAATCACATTAGCAACAGCCATGACTATCAAAGTACAATATTGTTCACAGTCAAAACAGTGTTGATGTTGTTTTCAAGTCACACTTGCAGGTTATTTCAGACTGAATATTCAAAGTGCTGTGGTAAACAATATAGGGAGTGTGTCACAAGTTGTCACTGAATGAATGTGTGAATATAAAACTAAGTTTACCTTAATAAACGTACCTTTCACGTTTCATTCTTAGCATTCAGTGTCAGCAGTTTAATTAACCATATGTAACTGTTTTTGCTGAAATCATTTCTGCAATCAAAAACGAGTGATGTGTGTGATTCAGCATAGCGTGAACTGACCTGATATAACATGAGAACTGCAGAGTCCAGCATTTTAGCTCCTTACTTCATTCAGCTCCCATTTAGCCAAAGACGTCTGCAGTCGGTATTAAAGCAGTGTGTGGTGTATGGTAAAAGTTTGCCATTTTTGGACTCGAATTCGGCATCCTACCGCAAAACACGATGTCTTTCCCATTGCAGCCTGTCTGTTTTTTGCAACTGGGGACCCGTGTGACGTCATGTGTGACGTAGGTTGGTAATTGGTCTATCGAAAAGTGTTTCAAAGTAGCAGTATTTGCCTAATTTATTTTGTAAGAAATACTTCATTGTGCAACCTTGGAGGAAAATCTTTATTTGATGGCTAAAATTTTTAAAGAAAGCAGCATATAATAAATCTAATCTGGACAATTCATTTTCTTTTCGGCTTAGTCCCTTTATTAATCCAGGGTCGCCACAGCGGAATGAACCGCCAACTTAACTTACTCTGCCTACTGACGGCAAATGATTTAGCACCGGCAGTGTGAGGTATTTCCCTTGTACAGTCAAACCGATCAGCTTCTCCTTAATTTTAACTATTTAATTTGACCGTTTACTCTTTTCTTGTTCACAATAACAAGATATTTTAAGTGAGAGTTTCAAAACTTGTCTGAGATTACTGCAAATTCACTACACAGCTATACTGACATACTGGTGTTGTGGAAAGTTGCGCTGGATCTCGACAAACATCTTCTAAGTTTCAAAAAAGAGGCTGAGGTCTTCGAAGTTGTCAAGTTGAAGCAGTTTATTGTTACAGCAGAGTTGGTCGATCGATCTCTCTCCCACAAATGTTCAAAAACCCACAGTTTATACACAGGTTTTTCCCCATAGTCATCATGAAACAGTGGTGTAGCATGAGCATCACGTTATTTCCAGGCTCCAATAGGATTCTAGCCTTTATATTGATGGCTGTATGTTTTTCTGTTTTTGCATATCTTAAAGGTCATAATTCGACACGTTTTAAATGATTCTCCCTATGCATGCTATTGCATTGCAGGTTGAGCAAAGTTGTTTTTAAGTTGTTTTTGTCATGGTCAATACATCAATACGTGTTGCATATGCTGTCTGAATGGTCTTACTTTACCGCTGTTTACTTCTGTGTGTTTTGCTCTGCATCACTTGACTGTATTTCTATATGTTTTAACAGTGTATTTTAATAGTGGCAGATTATACAGTGATTATATAGTGATTACATAATAAAAGTTCCTCTATAATTCTCCTATACTGGATTCAAACAGCAATCAATTTTGTTAAATTGACATGCAAATGTACAGCATAGTGCAAATTTAACTACCCCTTTATTGACCATAGGCTGTTGAACAAACAGAAACGGTAGAACACGATGACGTCAGTAATATGCAAATTGACATATGACGTAATTTAGCGACTTTTCAGGCAGAGCTTAGCGCCTTTTCGTTGAAAATAGTTGGCAACAGTGACGCTTACACTTACACTTATTTTATGTACTGTGTTTGTCATGAAGTTATCTGTAGCTCAAATGACGGAGTTCTGTATTTAGCTTTTCGCTTGTACGGTGGCTCTGAACTGTCAAAACACCTCTCAAAGCAATTTTTTGGATACGAAAAGCGGAAAAAACGAACCCGGTTTGAATTTTTTAGTGACGGATGAAAGTTTTGGAGGCAGTGTGTCAATACAATTTACACAACACGAGGTCAAATTTATTTTTTAACGTGCGAAATTTACGAATGAAAATTTCCGATTCAGTGTGCATTAACCTTTAGTGTCAAAGCCTTAAAGGGTCAGTTTCAGCGAGTCATAAAATATTATTGGTGTTTTTTGAGCTGAAACTTCACACACAAACACTCTGGGGACACTTAGGCCCCGTTTACACCAGTGCGTTTTAGTTTTGAAATGACGTTTTTGAACATATCTCCGTCCACACTACGCCACCAAAAACGTATATCACGTGACCATTCGCAGACTCTGGGCATGCGCATTCTAGTATAAACAGAAAGCATGTGTCTCGCTCGGCATTTGGTTATTGTTAGTCAACAAACGCCGGTTGAACATTAAACGCAATGGCAAAGAAAGCAAGAGAGGTGTTTTTGTGGACAGACGACAAGGTCGAGTTGTTACTAAACGTAACAAATGAATAACTGCACAATGGCGCCTAAAACAGACAATAGTGCAAACAACGCTCCCATTTCTGTGTCCGTGTTGTTGTTTACAGTGAAGGCTGGTCCGCTGTCTTCCGGTAGCGTTAAGACATGTCTTATAGTCATGTGATAGGGGCTTGACCAATAAGGGAAGGATACGCAATGACACAAAAGCTCCAATCAGGTAGCGAATCTCAGCAGCCCCGCCTCCGATTTCAGATGTCTCTGTTTTCCCTCATCCACACTGAGACGGAGCAGCAGCGTTGCAGAATGAAAACGGCCTCTCCAGCGTTACCAAAACCCTCAGTTTTTGGCACTCGAAAACTCTGGTGTAGTGTGGACGGATGGCGTAACCGTTGCAAAACTTATGCGTTTTCAAACTAAAATGCACTAGTGTAAACGGGGCCTTATTTTACATCTCGTAGACAGGGGTGTAGTATATCCCCTTTATATAAATGAGACAGAAAGGAGGCGTGTTTGCATGTTGTTTTATTTTGTCCTGCATGTTGACAGCAGTGGTGATGGTCAGATATCAGTGAGCATGATGATCGGTGTGTGTTTTGCACTTTACCACGGTGAGAGTGTCAGCAGGTCAGCAGCTGGTGGACATCACACATATGATGGACCAAAGGCTGGACCCGGGGAACTTTGGGTCCAGAATGAGGTCGTCAAGAAAAGCCTGACCTTTTTCTCGAGCCTGAGCCGAACACATGGCCTTACGCCACAAATCCACCAGAGAGCCGCCTGGAGACACACCAGCAGACCAACAGATCAAATCACAAACAGACACATGCACTACTGACAGATACTACTCCCTGTGTGTGTGAGAAAGAGAGAGTCAGTGTGTGTGTGTGTGTGTGAGGTTTGTGTGCATGTGCATGTTTTTGTGACATCAGGACACTAGTATATAAAATGTGCTGAGAGTTTATTTCATAAACATCAGGCAAACAACCTTCTCCAGCGAGAAACACCATTGTGGCTCGCCACATTGTTGTATAGTTGCTGCAGACAAACACTGAATGAACAATGTTTAGCCCTTTATCAGATGTGGCACCAAACAGTTGTGCTTATCATGCTTATAGTCTTAAAAATCTCTCGGAGAGTGATAGTACAGGTGCGGATATATCTGTGCCAGCTCTGCTACCCAACCATCCAGTTTATTCATAATGCAAACTTAATGTTGTTGTGTTGATTTGTTCTCTGGTCTGACTCTGAACTGTATGGATGCAAAGCACCTCAAAGAAGGCGGAGCTCCAAGACATGCTCACTGATTGTGTAACTTTCACAGACCAATGGCAGCTCAAAGGTGTTCAGGAGCCCCAACTAGTTTACAAAAAGTTCACTTAGAGTGTTTTTTGAGGGTGTAGTGCAGTGTAAAGGGTGTGTTTGAGAGTGCAGTGCAGTGTAGGAAGTTTGTTTGAGAATGTAGTGAAGTTGAAAGAGTGTATTTGAGAATGCAGTGTAGTGTAAATAGTGTGTTTGGAGGTGTAGTGCATTGCAAAGTAAGTTTGAGGGTGCAGTGCAGTACAAAGAGTGTATTAGAGTGTAGTGCAGTGTAAAGAGTGTATGTGAGAGCTAAGTGCAGTGTAAAAAGTGTATTTAGAGTGTAGTGCAGTGCAATTTAAAGAATGTATTTGAGGGTGCAGTGCAGTATATTTGAGATTGCAGTGTGGTGTATTTAAGGTTGCAGTGCAGTGTAACGAGTGTAGTGCTGTGTAAAAAGAGTGTATTTGAGAGTAGTGCAGTGTATAGAGTGTATTTTTAGAGTGTAGTGTAGTGCAGTGCAGTTTAAAGAGTGTATTTGGGGGTGCAGTGCAGGATATTTGAGAGTGCAGTTCGGTGTATTTATGGGTGCAGTGCAGTGTATAGAGTGTATTTGAGGGTGCAGTGCAGGATATTTGAGAGTGCAGTTCGGTGTATTTATGGGTGCAGTGCAGTGTATAGAGTGTATTTGAGGGTGCAGTGCAGTGTGAAGATTGTAGTGCAGTGTAAAAAGTGCATTTGAGAGTGCAGTGTAAAGAGTTTGTTTGAGAGTGTAAAGAGTGTAAATCTTGTTTTACTGACCCAGCAGCTGGTTGATGCTGTTCATCCAGCTGAGCATGTAGAGTGCGTGGTTCTCTTCAGTGCTCAGATCTGCGATGTTGGGTGGACTGTCGGCCTCCTGCAGGACTCGGCTGGGCAGATGAGACATGAACTTCCCAGCGCGCTCAATGCTTGCGTGGTAATGAGCCGCCGATATAAATGCTCCCAAGTTCACGCTGCTCTGCTGAAAGCTCACCTCAGGAGATGAGTACAGCTTTTGTCTGAAGAAGAAGATGAAAAATGAGCCTTTCTAAAACTATATCAGCACTGGTTTACTGTCGGGGAATGGAGGGAGAAGGGAGCAGTACACACACAAAAACATACTGGGTTCCACACATGAAGGAACTAAGTTAACTTTTTATTTTTTACAAATTTAAATGGATTTTGACATAAAAAGTTATCACCTTATCACTTATTAGTACATGCTTGTTAATTAACACATTAGCAACAAGCAACAAAAAAGGTATAGAAAAACAAAGGCTGCACATTAGAGCTGTTGTGCCCCATGGCTGGGATGGCTGAGGCCCTCAAACCCCTGAATGTAATGTATGCTGACCTTTCAGTGCAAGCCCCAGAGGCGGTTTGTATAGACTCCTCCTCGGCAGCCCACATTAGACCCAGAATGCTGTCCTTCTTGTTAAAATCGCTGTCCTTGGACTGGCTGACGTGCCGCAGAGACTGCACACACACCCAAGTGCTGACCGATTAAACATGCTTCATCTGGCACAACATCCAACAGGCTTATGTATCAGAAGTTGCCAGTTTATGATATGAACAAAGCAGATGTTGAGAGGGCACTGTTCGTCCAGTTTCCTCATTCAAGTGGTTTTACATTTTCATAAGTTCTTTCTTCTGTTGAACACTAAGTAAAGTTTATTTATAAACTAATTTAGAGAAGATCACGGGATTATGATTGACCACGGCTGGTCCTACATTAGTGATCACATGATATACTAATCAGATGAATCCAAACATAAACACCCAGATTTCCTTATCTTAGCCATCTTTACCTTAAAGAAGCAAATCACCGATCAAGCAAATACTCATCCAACGACTTCAAAAGAAATTGAACAAAAGCAGCAACAACACCAAGTCCGGCCATGACTTTCTAGAGAGCCCTGTTTTCCCCAAGACACCAGCCACAGCTTAATGCAATGAGCCCCTCCAAGATTCCAAAACGAAGCCCAACGCCCCTGCAAGAGGCCACCGACTCATCCACTCATCCTCTTCCAGATCAATATTGATATCATTCACCCTCCACCTTAAGACCCCAAATCAAATCTCCTGCTTCATCCTAAACTTCAGCTGAACTACGCAGGCAAATCTCAGACCTTGGAATTAACGCCCCACACACCCTTAACAAACTGGAATTTCTAAAATAGTACTCTAAGATCACCATGGGCTCTGAACACTTTTCACCCACGTCACCATTAAAAAGAATTCCCCAGAAAACCAGCTCTCGACACGATCCATACCCCCCTGCCTATTCTCACCCAGCCAGCATTTGGATAAAACAAAAACAAAGAGCTAAAAAGAGCCGAGGCCCCAGACACACTCCCGCAAGACTTCACCTCCAGGAAACCCGAACCACCTACTCAACATCACCCAACAACAGGACGTTCACCTGGACAATCCCAGGTCTCACTACTTCCCCACCCAGCCTTATTCCACCTCCTTTCCCTGGCCACCAGCCCCCCTTTCAAGCTCTTCCATCAGTCCCCCTGTCCATACCTGCCAACACTTTTTTCCCGGGAGTCTCCCATTTTTCAGACCCATCTCCTGTTTTGTTCTGTCTCCTGGAAAACTCCCGGAATTTCAACCTGCTTGCGATTCCAGCATGAGCATGACTCCGCCACTCTCTTCTCCCTTTTCTTTCCAGCATGAGCATGACTACGCCTCTTCCTCTTCCCTCCAGCATTGAGTCTGACTCCTCTACTCCTTCCTCTTCTTCTCTAGCGCAAGCTCAACTCCTTAACATTCTCACCCCTTCCCCACCAGCTTCTCTCTTTTCCTAGCTCCTAAAAAAACTTTACTTGCCCATCTATGACTCCTGCAGGAGTGTTACCCCAAGCTTTGACTCCCACAGGAGTTATACCCTCGTCCCATCTCTTGCAGGTGTCTTCACTGCCTCCTCCCTTTCCCAAACTCCTGCAGGATACTTGCCCCTGCAGCTCTGACTCCCGCAGGAGTGTTACCCTGAGCTTTGACTCCCGCTTCTAAATCCGCTGTTGAGATGTAGCATTTGAGACTTAATTTGTCAGGTTTTTTGTCAAACTCAAGCTGCTCCTGTGTGCAACACTAGTTTCTTCCACATCTCATCCAAATCTTTCTGTTGTGTTTTGATGTGATGGTTGACTGTTGTAGCTGTGCAATAGCTCAAATCATTTAGCGTAGTTTTACGGAGCTGTAATGTGCTCAAAACCTGTCGGAACTACTTTAGCTGTGCATTTATCTGACAATAACCAAACACTTCAGAATGACCATCAGCCAATCAAAATCAAGCATGTGTGTGCATGAGCCACATTAATTTCAATAAGAGTCTTCCAAATGGATCAAATCTAAAGGTTAGTATGCACCCAGAGATAAAAACGGCACCTGAAAAAAGAGGTGCCATTTGGCCATGGTGTTGGGGTGTTTGGTGGAGCAGTCGCTGTAGCTGGAGCAGTAATCCTGAGCCACTTCTGCTGGGACCTGAATAAGCATCTGATGCCCTCCGCTGCTAACCACACCAGTCTCCACTGCCGCCAGGAATGGCAGCACAGACAGGTAGTAGTTTACACCTGCACACACCAACAAAATGATGATAATAGGATTCAGAAGATGTACAGAATCTTTAATTATATGACCCATTCCAGAGCAGCAGGTACATTTCAGGTGTTTTTCAATTATTTTCTTTAAACTGGAATGATATAAGGTACACCTAATGTGTAATTTACAGTAAACTGAGGTCATTATTATTGTAAATTAATGCAAAATCCATAAATGTGATTGGGAACATTTGATTATTACTAGTGTGAGTCTTTACGGTAATGTTTTCAAGACTAAGACCCAATCCCTATTCTACCTGTTTTTTATTCTACTTTTTTTCTCAGGCGGTGCCACATGCTGTTGGATTGGGTGAAGTGGCAGGGGCGGAGACGCAACTGCAGAGATAGACCCCACAGCTTGATGACGCACTGAACCAGGTCAACTATGTAAAGGACAATCGCCTACACCTTGCCCTACCCTAAAGTTTCACAGTAGTATGGGCATTACTTTAGTGTGCGGTACAATGCCCACAACATAGTGGACCTGGTCAAGTAGCAACACTGGACACGTGACCCTAACCCCGATGCTAACTCTAGCGATAGGTCTGGAAGTGCTGGTCTGAGCATGTAGTTAGGTCTGCGGGCCTGCAGCTTCATAATGTTGAATTCAAGGGCTATCTCGCCTTTCCCTTTAGCTCTATGACTTCAAGTTAAAGAGAATCAGGACACCCCTACTCCTTCAAATTAACATCAAAACAAGGGGTCCCTAAATACACATACAAACATTAGATTTCAGAGATAACTTGATATAATTCAAAATTGTTCAATAACATTTAAACTTTCGAAAAATAATAGGTGTATCTAGAAGATGCAAATTGAAACCAATTTTAGAATCACACATATACTGTACACATCTAGCAGTGCAAGTAAAGACTACAGTATACTTACATCCAAAAAAGCTTAGAGGAGAGATGCAGACCGGATCTGAAGCTTCAGATCCACATGTGCTGCTGCTGTCCGGGGTCGGGTCCGCCAGCCGGCCTGCGGGATCAACACGCACGCACTCAGACAACAAGCACAGCAGCCACTTACACTTTTATTGAGCTAACATTATCAACTTGACTCAATTTTCTTCACAATTCGCTTCATTGTTAAATTTTTGCACTGTATATGTCTATGCTCATTGTGTGTACAGTGTTTAAGTTCATTTATTTGCACCTGCACTAATCATCACGTCATCGCAATCTCTTGCTTCATATGAGATCAAATGATAGCGACTGCTGTAGTTATTCCAGTTGTGTTATTTTTGTTGGTGTTTATCTTCAGAAAATCAATGAAGGCAACAATATCATGTTATCATGATGATCTAATGTGGCAATAAGATCGTAACTGTACTGTACATTTACACTGTGGCAATATTCATCTATGTAAACACCAAAAAACAACATTAACATTAAAGCAGACACTGTAGAATCTCATTCCTAGCCACTAGATTTTCTGACAGGGTATTCCAGTGTGATTGAGTGACAGAATATTGTGGGACTGCTGTACAGGATATTTTTTATTTTAGCGTTTTTTCTTTTAAAGGGTGACACTAAAACACAAGCTTGGTTATAAATATATTAAAACATGCTTGTTTGATGTAAAAATTCACAATAATGACAAAAAAACTAATTTGTGCATCTCCTGACATGCTATGCACCCGCTGTAGATGGTGAGCATGATTTTAGCATTAATTAGCATGTTGTTAGCATGTTTCTAGCATGAATTATCGTGTTATTAGCATGTCCCTGCTGAAAAATCCAGCTTAAACCAGCCTAGGCTGGTTGGCTGGTTTTAGCTTGTCGGCCAGCCTGGTTTTAGAGAGGTTATGGCCATTTCAAGGCTGGTTTCCAGCCATTTCCAACCTGGTCTTAGCTGGTCAGGCTGGAAATGGCTGGAAATGAGCCTGGAAATGGCCAAAACCCCTCTAAAACCAGCCTGGTCGACCAGCTAAAACCAGCCTAGGCTGGTTTAAGCTGTTTTTTCAGTAGGGGTTTCTAACATAAATTAGCATCATGTTAGCATGATTTCAACATGAATGAGCATGTTATTAGCATGATTCTAGCATGAATCAGCTTGTTTCTATGTTGTTAGCATGTGCTAGCATGAGTAGCATGTCAATAGCATGTTGCTAGTATGTTTCTAGCAAAATTAGCATGTCAGTAGGATGTTAAAACTATTGGTATGTGTTAGAACAGCTAGTCACAGTCTCAGTTACTAGGGTGCTGAAATTGGTTGCTAGGGACTGGCTAGTAAGTTTAAAGGTCATCAATGATTGGCTGCTGGCTAGACTGAGTTGAATGAGGCAAGACTCTAGACTGTATGACAGTCTGATCCACAAAGTTTGACCCAATGTTAAGTCAATGGGACTTTTGGGAATTTTCTGCATCATTTTTCTGCAAACAGAAAGTCAGATCAGTTAGAAAAGACATAGCAACCTGAGTCAGACCAGTTTGAAGGTTGGACAAAAGTTTGAAGTATGTAGCTAGAAAGGCTTAGGAGGAGATACACTTTAAAATTAGTCTCAGAAGACGGAAGAATAATTATAAGGTTATGTAGAATATCAAAATGGTGGCTTTCTCAAGCCACCATAATAATAATGACCACAACAAGAATCCAAAACATCTTTAAAAATATCTAGTTATTTATTATTTACTGTCATCATGTCAAAGACTAAATAAATCAGTTATTAGAGATGAGTTATTAAAACTATGTTTAGAAATGTGCTGGTAAACAGAAATTGGGGGGAAAATAAATGGGGGCAGAATAATTCAGAATTTAACTATATATTAATGAAACTTCCTGTTAACCAGGCATTGAAATCACAGCCAATTAGCTAGGGTGTTGTTTCCTACAGTGCAAAATAAAGGGCACCTGATTTGAGTTTCCAGCCGAGCTGCAGAGGAAGACTCCAGAGCGGATTCTCCTGCTCCCCGGGGCCCATGGAGCTCATGTAGGCATTAGTAGCGTTGATCACCATTTTCAACATGGTCATCCTCTGGGAGTAGACCCACGGGTTTACCTGGACCCCCGTGTTCGATATGGGCAGGTGGGAGAGATCGCTGGGAGCTTTTCTCCATTGAATCGGCAGTCCATTCTCAGTCACTACTGCTGCGTGGCTAAACACAGCCAACAAGAGCACAGCGGCCACTGATCGCAGGAAACCCATCTCAGACATCTAGCAGGACTGCTGAAACACTGAGTCCAGCAGAGAGGAGCTTTAATCAATGGGCAGCACATGGACTTTGATCCCACATGGAGACAAAACCAAACCAGTGTGGGTGGAGAAAAACACACCCACGGCACAAAAACATACTTTAGTCTCGTTTCCATGCCAAATATCGACAAATGGCAAATACCAAAGAAGGTCACACTCAATAACTCATTAAACGAATCACGGGAGAAAAGAAAAACCAATCGATTCAGTTATGAGCCTTCATCAATCCCAGCTAGCAAAATTCATGTGCCTCACATCCGGCCCACATACCGCATGGAATGATGGCACTTGGCACTTCCGCTCCTGTTTGCCAGATCTGAGCCACAATTAAACCACAGCAACACCACATATCAGCCAGAATTCAACCAAATGAACCAGAACTGACCCTATTCTGGGCCACAGTTTGCTTTTATTCTGGCCCAGATCTGGCGTACACCAGACACTTACATCTGGACCACATACTGAATGGAATAGTGGCTCTAAGGCGGTCCACTCCTGTTTGCCAGATCTGGGCCACAAATAAGCCAAAGCAATACCACATATCAGCCAGAATTCAACCAAATGAACCAGAACTGACCCTATTCTGGGCCACAGTTTGCTTTTATTCTGACCCAGATCTGGACCACATACTGAATGGAATGATGGCTTGAGGGCGGTCCGCTTCTGTTTGTCAGATCTGGGCCTCAAATATGTAAAACCAGTACCACATATCAGCCAGAATTCAACCAAATGAACCAGAACAGACCCTATTCTGGGCCACAGTTGGCTTTTATTCTGGTCCAGATCCGGCCCACCCCAGCCACTTACATCTGGACCACATACTGAATTGAATGGTGGCTCTAAGGCGGTCTACTTCTGTTTGCCAGATCTGGGCCACAAATAAGCCAAAGCAATATCACATATCAGCCAGAATTCAACCAAATGAACCAGAACTGACCCATTTTCTGGCCCAGATCTGGCCTATACTTACATCCGGGCCACATACTGAATGGAATGATGGCTCTAGGGTGGTCCACTCCAGTTCATGTTCCAGTTAAGAGAATGAATTGAAAAAAAGAAAAGACTGTTCAGTTATGGTAAAGACACATTCAGACCTCAACAATCAGACCTTGCACCTCAACAATGGTAACACTTAAAATATTCATGCTGCAATGCATGCTGGGTGTGGCAGAGTACAAAAATCCCAGCATGCATTGCAGTATGACTACATTCTATAGCTTACTGATGCTCCAGTTTTGATTATCCGCTGTTGATTCTGCTGTTTATGTTGACGCTGTAGATTTTGACACTTTTAGTCTCCTGTTTGTGATGTCAGTGAGTTTTGTTCATGTTGTTAATTGTCACCGTTGTTGAGGTTCATACGCTGATTATTGATGTCTCTGTGAGCAGACGTTGAATTATTGAGTTTTTAGCTTATAAACCTTCATAATTCTGTGGCATGCGCAAGTATGATATTACAGTTCTTTTAGTAATGGATTAAACACTGTTTTACAATCATGAATTATATCATCACACAACAGGTTGTGCCTCACTTAAAACAACATAAGCATCCCCTGACATTTTATTGTTTTGGGTTGTTTTGGCTGGTTTGCTGTAACGAATACACTTTTCAAACAAAGTTCTTACAAGTTACAGCGGCCCAAATAAATTTATATTAAGAGTTTAAGCTGTAAAAACAGTGTAAAATGTTAAAATACATTTTACACTGTGTATGTAAACTACATGAGTGGACTGTAAAAACACAGTATGCGGCTGACAACCCAGCTGCCGGTGTTATTCTGTAAATGTACAACAAATTGTTTTGCAGTGTTTATTACTACCCATCAGGGCTGGAGTCCTTTTCAGCCCTGGAGTTTCAAGCCTTAGACCGGCCCACCTCAGTTCATGACTGACTATATTAAAATAAGGTCATTTCCAATTCAGTTTCTTATGACACGATCACGTCTTTTTCAAGAAAACTTGAAAGAAAAAAATAATAATAATAATAATTACTCAGGTGAAGTTTGAACACAGGTCGGCGGCATCATAACGCACAGTGCTGACCACTGGACCACAATGGCACTGTTATGTTTGGAGGAGAAAAGAAACATTGCAGTGTTATCCGCAAGGCTGCATTTTGCTCACGGGGCTGCGAGACAATAAATAAAAAGAGCAGAGCTGCGGCAAAATAATGAATAAAAAGAATGAGGCTATGGTCAAATAAATAAATGAAAAAAGTGTGACTGCTGAGAGTGCAAGCAGCTAAGAACACCCGCCCTCACGGCCAAAAAATGGACCGGCCCACCAGGAATTCTCCCAGTCCTCCTGATTAGCCAATCCTGGCCTGCTACCCATATCTGCCATGTCAAAGAGCTATGATTTGACCCCTATAGTTATCACCCCTTTTATGACCCCTTACTTTTCCGGATATTCGCCAAAAGTGGCCCACATATGTCTTCAGATAACTGGGCCACATTTGCACTTACACATGTGAGCCACTTTTTTTCCAATTGTGGCCCACATTTGTCCATCATTTGGGCCAAATTGATCGTTTTCCACATTAGGCTGACATTAGGGAGCGCGTATGAAGATAGTGTGGGGTTCGGTGCCAAAAAGCTAGCCGGACTATACCAAAAAGTCGAGGAGCTGCTGTAACTTGTAAGAACTTTGCTTGAAAAGTTTGTTCATTACAGCAAACAAAATCAAGTGAGGCACAAACTGAAACAATATAATTCACTGATGTTTACCGATGTCTACAGCGGACCGCCCTAGAGCCATCACTCCATGAGGTATGTGGGCCGGATGCAAATGTCTAGTGTGGGCCGGATTTGACCCACATGAATTTTGGTAGCCGGGCAATGTTCTGCAGAGCAGGGGGTGCAGTGTTTACCAGTGCAATGTTTAAATCAATAAGGGTTTTTTTCCAGACTATAGTGTATTTGTGCAGTCAGATCTGCAGCCAGTCAGAGTGCAAGTGTGATATAACAAGAGTAACTGAGGACAACTGGGCATTCACACAGGCCTGACGGTGAAGAATTAGACACTTAATTTCCTGTAATTGAGTAGTCTTTCTCACGAGTTGTGCTTTACTGATTAGATTAAGGGTTCTTTCACACCATTCATATGCATTTTTCATGTAGTTGCTTTGGGCAGGTGTGAAATGTAATTATTGCATGATTGTCAAACCTGTAGAATAATAATAATTTTTAAAAAAAGAGTATAAAAGCATGCCCAATTACACAAGACAGGCTTTCTGCAGGTTTCACAAAGTCAAATTTAAGAATTTTAAAGACCATTATGAATGACATTTCAGACATGTACAGAGCTAAACACGAATGCCCCATTCACACGGGGCTTCAGCGTCAACGCTTGACAGAGGGCGTGTCTGAAGTTGGAGCTGATGCGATCGTCAAAGCAGCGTCAGCCAATGAAATTAGTCAGCAATAGACCACTGTCTGAGCTGGTGTATTTGCATACAGTGATCTGATTGGCTGATGCTTCCATCGGTGCTTGAAAAGTTGAGCTAGTCCCAACTTCTGCAGCAAGCAACGCCTCTGAAGCGGCGCCGACGGATCCACAATGCAGTTCGGCAACGCCTGACATCACCCATTCAAAGTGAATGGAAAGCGTTGACGCTGACGCCCCGTGTGAATGGCGCATAAGGCTTTATTCTAAAGGCCCGGTTGGTCCATGCAACTTTATTTCTCAGCCAAATATTTGAAGTAATATCAAAACAAGCAAGCTCTAGTTTTTTTACATTTTCAACATAACTTTTCTAAAAAATAAATATAAAAAAAATTATTTAAAATTACAAAAAATTAAATGTATGCACAACAATTATCAGTATTTTTATAAGCAGGTTCTTTTATACTGGAAATTAATTTAGAAACATAATTTTCCCCCACATAATTCAACAATTTGGAACACTAGGCACATTTTACATAGAAACTATTTTTTTTCTACAAAGATTGGTGGGAGGGAGCGAGGGTGAGATTTTAAATCAGATTTTTTTTAGACTAATATAACTTTGAATGTGATCATAAGCAATACAACTGGGTATTGAAATCTATTCCGAAGGCATTTGTGGCGTTGACATGATGCTCAATTGGTACTAATGGCCAAGAAAATCTCCCCCACACCCAGGGGCGGACTGGGACAAAAATTCCGCCCTGGCACTGTAGCCACACCAGCCCACATCACCACACCAACACAGCCCCACCCACGGACACGCACATTCACTATTTATTTTGGTTTAAAGATGGTGAAATAATATGACATTCTTGTCAGATTTTGATTATGTTGCCGATTGGGCAAATGCTTAACATTTATTATTATTATTATTTTTATTATCATCATCATAATATCACATCTAGCAAGTGATAAAAGTTGTCTGCACTTAAGTACAATACATGTTAAAAAAAAAAAAAAACTGACCGGCCCACATTTAAAAATTGGTCCGGCCCATCTGGCATTTGCCAGAATTGCCAGATGGCCAGTCCGCCCATGCCCACACCATTACACCACCACCACCAGCCTGAACCAGGATAGCAGGATGGATCCATGCTTTCATGATGTTTACGCCAAATTCTGACCCGACCATCCGAATGTGGCAGCAGAAATGGAGACTCATCAGAGAAGGCAACATTTCTCCAATCTTCTGTTGTCCATTTTTGGTAAATTGTAGCCTCAGTTTCCTGTTCTTAGGTATTTTCTATTAAGTGCATCTCACTTATTATAGGAATGTCCTTTTGTTCAATCCGTTTTAGATAAAAGTGCTTTTTTGAAAATGCTGTCATTATCCAAAATAATCTTCATCGTTGTGTAAGAATCAAAACACCTTGTTTTGGGTTTTACATTAAGATATATTGGAGAGTTTTATATCTATAAATGTAAACCCCTTTTTAGCATATTCAAAGAAGTATCAGCCTAGAGTGATGATTAAACTCCTAAAATGTGTGCTTATTGCTTTGTATTTTTTTAGGCCTATTAGTTTTTGTTATCATTTCTGTCATGTTTTTGTTATATTTTTAATTCATAATTCACTAATTGTTTAAAAATGAACTAGTTTGTTGAGACTGTTTTCTGTTTTATTTGTACGGTAAATCTTTTGTTGTTATAAATTTAAAAATGACGATGACGCAGTGTGATCAGTAGGGCCAGATGGAATCTCCATACATTTTTTGCTATTTCTGCAGAGAAATTTGGTAAAAATCTGCGGAATTATTTTGGGAGTATCATAACTAAAACAATCATATTTGAAAAAAAACTTTTATTTAATGTTTAAAATCCCAATCCAATTAGATTATTTTTATTTGGTAAACAAAGCAAGTATCTCGTATCTCTACTAAAAGACAGAAAATATTACTGTACAAACTGCGTTGTACATAAATCAGATGAACATTTTCATATTAGTCAATAATAATACTGTACTTAATTTAAAAAACTGAATAAACTTATATTTACTCAAGTAAATAAACAGAATTAATGATGGGCTAAAAATCTGCGCGCACAGATTCCGTGTGGGCCTCGTGATCGGTCATCATCTGAGTGATCTACCACAACTGAGGCCCGAAGTGTCCGGCTAGACGGCTCCGTTTTTAAATCCGTCCCCGCCTTTACTCTTTTAATCTCCTTGATCACTGGCTGCAGCCGTGCTTCCTGTCGAACGCACCTAATATTTCCGTCAACTTAAAACTTATTTTACTAAAATTTTATTTTTGAAAATGAAGGCTGGCGTCACGGTGGCGCAGTGGGTAGTGCTGTTGCCTCACAGCAAGGTCGCGGGTGCACCTCAGTCCAAACACATGCACTACAGGGGAATTGGGTAAGCTAAATTGTCTGTAGGGTATTAGTGTGATGAGTATGTTTGGATGTTTCCCAGTGATGGGTTGCAGCTGGAAGGGCATCCACTGAGTAAAACATGTGCTGGATAAGTTGGCGGTTCATTCCGCTGTGGTGATCCCTGATTAATAATACAGACTAAGCTGATAGGAAAATAAAGGAATGAAAATTAAGACTTCAGACATCCTGCAGGAAAACTCTGGACTTGGCAACCCACTATGTTAAAACACTTTCCCGCAATTTTATTAAATTAAATTAAAAAATATATATACATTTGTTTTCTATTGTGCAATTAATTACATTGTTCCCAGAGTCAACATACAAGTCGTTCAGCAGAGACCACAATAATAGTTAGTTTGATCAGCTCTGCGTGTCGGTCAGGTATCCCCACTGTCTGAGCAGCGCCCTCCGCTGTCCTGGTGGAGTGATGAAATACTGCTTCTGCTGGTCCGAGTAGCGATCCTCTGCGGGCACGATGTCCCTGTAGCTCCAGTCCCGCCAGCGGAGGTTAAAGCTCTCCAGCAGCCGTATGCGCTCCTCCTGCGTGCACACACAGTCTGCGGGATCCCTCTGCTGAAAACCTGCTCCCGCCTGCACATCTCTGAACACCAGCAGCGCACGGATCGCAAACCAGCCGCCCAGCTGAGGGTGGACACAAACTCCAAACATCTTCTGTGTAAAAGGAGGAAGACTTCAGGTCAGAAGACATCCAACACGCTGACAATAGATAATATATTCAAAAAGAGGAGACGCCGTAAGCCTGCTTTATATATCAGTATGATCACCTGTTAGCATAATACTTCGGCGCGCTGTTTGTATTTGCAGAGGAATAACACTTCCGAAATGCTAGCTGGCAGTAGGTGTTTGTTCGTTTAGTTTTTTCTGAAAGCTTCCTTAATGTACAGGTAGCTCAAACGCGCACATTTTGAGGTGGGAACCGGCGAACGTGCAACAACTTTAATGATAAGGTAAACACAAAACATCAGTCTCCATCTGGGGTCTGTTCTTCATACCTGGCTTAAATGATCTAAGATTATTTCCTGGATCTTTTGATCTTGATAACTGATCTCTGGCTAATTTGGTTCGTCAAACAAGTTTGCGAATCAGATTAAAATGTCTGGATGAACTGATCTGAGATCGCTGCGTGTGTTGTGAAGGACAGATCTATCGATTCTCGAAATCTTGATCAGCAATGCAGCCATTGTCTGACGGCACAGCAGCGTAATGACATCATCTGATTAATATTCAATTATCCATGTGAGCAAAACTACCTAAGATGAGCAGTAAACGGTTTGTTTAATATGACACGCAATAACTTTACACCTTGTTGTGGGCTGTATGCTTCGCCCTTTCATGTGTCAAGAGCAATCTATTTAGTTTTACAGTTATGGCGGATTTTCCCAAGTAGCCATAGTAGTAATATTGTAGCTGTTTTTTTTAATCGGTGTAAAGAATAACTGGATGTTTACAAAAACATTTTGATATTGGTAAAGGCGTCTGCAGCTTTTGTGAAGCATCAAATCACTGTCATATTAACTGTCAAAACATGTTCATGGCTACATGTATTATTGCTTTTAAAAAAGGTACATATAGTGCATGAATCATACACAAATTACACTAAAGCGATAAGTTCATATCAATGAAAGTTTTCTCTTTGCACCAGCAGGTGGCAGTCTTTGTACTTTCATTTCGGGGGTGCAGATTGCATAAGTTTTATATAACTTTATTTATTTTATTAATAACTATAACGTTATAGTTAAAAAATATTTATTATTTTCCCAAGTGTATATAACTACTACTGTAAGAAAATATCAGAATTCGGAACATACTCTCTGTATTTTCTTTGCTTGAACTGAGCCGATCTAATCCTGTTTATATGAATTGAACCTGCTTCCGATCAGGTTTGATCTACCAGAACTGTTGCTATGACAACAACTCTCGGATCAGCTTTGAAGAACGCAACGATCCTGGATCGTGTCAAATCGTCAATAACCAAATCCAGCTGAGTAATCCCAGATACGAAGAACGGACCCCTGGAGCTCCTTCACGAGACTCCAAACCTACGCATGCGATTGACACAGAAGTGTAAATCAGCCTTTAATTCTAAACAACTTGATATTTTAGCCTTTACGTCATCATTAGCTTTGAGCACCGTATTGTACTCCACTGCAAATTAAGTAAGCCTCCAACTACATCCCAATGGCTTGTGGATACCACATATTTTGTAAAGTAGGTTCGATGCTCTGGGAAAACTCATTTCTCTAAAAAGTGGCAATGTTTCATCATTTTTTAGATGTTTTAAGTCTCTTTAAAGGTTCATGAAACCCTCCAGTACTTTTTTTTCAGATGTTAACAGATTTGTGTGTGTTGAGCATTAGCTAAGACAATGTTGGCACCTGTCAGCTTTAATTGTAGGGGAAACTGGATAATTTTGAGCTTTTGTCAGCTAATTTCAGCTTCCGGGTTTAAAATTATTTTTGGGGCGGATCAAAATCGGTGACGTAGTGCAAAACTGCAAGTGCAGTGATGACACGTCGGTTTCTCATTATTATTCATATCGGAGTTTTCTTATCCTGTGAGAAGAGCCGGCTTCTTAATTATTTATGACTGTGCATGCTTTCTGAAGGTAAGACAGACCTGCCAGTGCCAAGCTGTGAGACACGTTGACGACTGGGTGAGACTGAAGATTGAAAGACAGCACATTATTTTTGGTAGAGAAGCTCACAACCGTAATATTTTCAGATTAATCACTATTTCTGATGTAATAAAGATGATTTAAAATGTCTATTGAGCTTTCAAACAGAGTGTATTGGCATATAAAGACTGACCTTCTCTCCCCATGGCGGATTGTGGATGTCTGATGTCTGATAGTAATACGCTGCTCCTGACACATGGGCTGCAGTCTGGGCAAGAAACTTGGGCTTTCGGCTGGGCAGCATCTCATAGTCGTAGCTGACATCCACAAACTGATTAGCGAAACACTGAATAAACAGAGAAAGAGAAATTAAAGAATCCAGATAGAACGATTATAAGGGCTTATGTAGGTTTAAATGTGCTGTATGTCAGTTTTTGACTCTCCTAAAGTAAAGAAATTGCATAATATGTTTGTAGATGTTTCCGAACATGCATGTTTATCTGAAAAACAATGCTGAAGTCAGATAATCTGCTTTGAGAATGTGCGTAACGTCTGTCTTTGTTTTGGTCAGTAAACAGAATAGTGCACTCACTGCACTCCAGCGATATAATAAGGTTTATAATCTAATGAATGCATATTAAACCTCTTTAACATGATTAAATGCAGATGCTGAATCACTGATATTTGCACTGAGTCACAGTTCTGAAGTGAATTAATTTTGTTTTCTAGATCTGAGGTGAACTATCTGCTGCTGCTTTCAGTAGTATGGCAATAAATGTTTAGTAAAATGACATTCAAACTCACATTATTAGCATTAAGCACTGAATAAAGCACATGAGGTGTACCTGAGGTGATCAGTAAGTTTTAAAATATAAATTTCACAACTTAAATCAGCCTCAAATTAGCCTTCAGGCTCGATTGTCAGGCTTGGTGTTATCAATCTGGCAACCTGCGCTTGCATGTGTATGCAACCATGAGTGCAATACCTAGTTCAACCACTGGGTGTCAAACTTACTGCACCTTTAATAAAGCTGTGCTTAGCTAAAACTAGAGAGTAAGCAAATAATCTAAAGGAAACAGAATGTAGCAAAATGTTTGCTTAATGTACATTTATAAGAAGCACAACATGAGTTAAATCAGCAAAGATTCAAATACAAAATAAAATGCACAACTTATTTAACTTGGCACTGGGGAATGACTGTGCAAAAAAATCTGGTTCAGTGTGTTATAGGTTTGTTCATTGTTTTATATTAAAACAACGGATTTACTGAACAAAGTGTGTTTTTTAATTAATATAATAAGAATCACGACAGAGTAATGTTGTTTTACAGTATTATATAACTGGTGGTGGTATTGTTACATGAAAGGTTTTATTGCTGTATGACAGGCAGTATTGGTATATGACAAGCGGTATTGCTGTATGACAGGTTGTATTAGGGTTGGGCCGACAGACGATGCCATCATCCATCACCAACGGCCGACAAACTTCACGATGCTGAGCCGGAATCGAGATCCATCGCCCCGCCCCACATTTATATTGATAAATAACTTATTATCTGCATGTCATCTTAATAGCAATAACGTTCTTTTCATGAGCTGTGCTAAATGTTACATCTTGCACAGCTGACAGCATGGTGAGGATTAAATTAAGGATTATACATGTGTAGATTCAGTGGCAAACGCTGTCACCTGCAAACCTCGTCCCACAGACTTTACATTAAACAGCTTCAGTTATTTTCATAGCGGACTTGAAGCCACTGGATATCTTTTATCCAGTGATAAGATCTGCCATTATTAGTAACTTTAGGTAAATCTGTCAGTGTTATTTTCATTCTCTCATCTTCAGCGCTTAACATTTTGGCGGTTGCAGCTCCTGTCATCTGAAGGCAGAAGGCATCGACTGAGTGATTGACAGCTGATATTGACCAATCAATCGCGTTCAGTTCTAGCACAGTGGGCCAATAAGAAGAGCACAAAGGCGGAGCAAGCATTGCAGGCTTTTTTATTGCAGCAAGTTCACATAACAGCTGTTTATCTGTTCCTGAGTGCTGCGTTTGGCGTTTTTAGGTGCAAAGATGCATTCTGCATAAATGTCTCCTAAATCTGCGCACGTATTTTGCAGTTAAAAACAGTGAAAATGTATGCACTCGCCCAAATATTTTTTAGGTCGCAGAAATAAAATTTCGGGCGCATATGCGACCAAAACGGTCGAGCCCTAGCGTCTTTACTTGTTATTATTTCCTCATAATAATAATAAAATAAGGAAGTTATCATCATACACAATACATATTACAGTGAACTCCAAACAAACTCTCGTCTACTCCACCAGCTGTGGGAAAAGCCATCATAAGGACACGGATCACTGCCTATTCATGCCAGAGTCCTGCGAAAAAAAGTGATTGACAGGTGGTCATTTGTTTGTAACTTTACTTATTAATGGTTTGGTTATGAAAGAAGCAAAGACCATAGGTAGTGAAAACGGTAGGCTACAATTAATTATTTCATTATGAATTAATTGATATTTAACAATAACAACCACCCCCACCCTACGACGACGATGCCATCGTCCATCGCGATGTTTCACATTAGACATCGTACGATGCCAAACTGGTCAACATCACCCAACCCTAGGTTGTATTGCGGTATGAAAGGTTGTGTTGCTGTATTACAGTATGACAAGTTGTGTTGCTGTATAACAGGCGGTATTTATGTGGGACACACAGTATTGCAGTACTGTACCAGAGAGATGCAGGCAGACAGTGTGTGTGCCGTGCACTGGTCTATGGGGTCTCTGAGGCTCTCGCAGCTCTGGCTCTGTAAGAAGGGCAGGAATGCACACTCAAACATGGCAGGAGTGCTGATGACCAGCACAGCCAGAGTGTCTGCTGGATACTGCAGATGATGAGCAGCGGTGAGCACTGCATTATACCAGCCCACCTGCACAACAAACACACACACACTTATCAGTCCCTCGGAGACCAGTATTTAATGCTAATTTTATTCTAATGTGATGCAAATTATATGTTGCAGGATGCACTATATATTACATTATCTCTGCATGCATTGAGCCACTTGACTAAGTGTATTTTAATCTGGGCTAAACATGCCATATATGAGTGCTCTTGTTTGTTATTATTATTATATTATATTATATATATATATATATATATATATATATATATATATATATATATATATATATATATATATATATATATATATATATATATATATATATATATATATATATATATATATATATATATATATATTATACTTAATACAACTGGTTTTAAATGACCCATATGCTACATTTGCAAAGCAGTTTTACTTTTAGTGACTCAAGCAGAGCTAGCAATGTGCTACACATGTAAATAATAATAAATCAATATAATAAATCAATTATATTTCTACAGTAGTATAATACGCTACCAAAGAATAAAATGCATGTAAATAATCATTTGTTGCTCTCAATCTCCCAATTACCTTGTCTTTAGTCATTTGACAATCAAATGCTTAATTTTATTGAAATATCTATCATTTTAATTGTGCTAGACAACACAAAAAGTACATCATATCTGATGAACACATATTTTTGCATGACTTTCCTAATGATGATGATTTAGCGGACGTGAAAGTGAAACTTGAACTAAGTCATTAATACATTTAATATTTATTTTATTATTAATAATGATATTTATATGACACGGTAGGCTTTATAGACTTGGACGCTGTAGTTAATCTATTTGTTGCTCTGTTTTACAGAGCTTGGTGTCTCCTCCCTACTGAAACAAACTGCTAAAACCAGCCTAGACTGGTTGGCTGGTTTTAGCTGGTTGACCAGCCTGGTTTTAGAGAGGTTTTGGCCATTTCTTAGCTGGTCAGGCTGGAAAATGACTAGCCTGGTTTAAGCTGGACATGGCTGGGCTCCCAGCCTGCCTAGGCTGGTCAAGCTGGTTTGCCTGAGAGATGGACAGCTGGAAGGCCTGGCTGGAAATGGCTGGAAACCAGCTTGGAAGTGTCCAAAACCCCTCTAAAACAAGCCTGGTTGTCCAACTAAAACGAACCAACCAGCCTAGGCTGGTTTAATCTGTTTTTTTTTTTCAGTAGGGCTGAGATCAAAAATAGTAATGCACATTTTACAATATTGTCAATATTTTCTCTGCAAATAAACCTGCAATTACTGACACAGAATAAGGCTTTTTTTGTCAAATATAATGTCCTGTGATGACCTGGACATGGAGGGCTTAACAGATCAGCAAATTCCCTTCTGTTGTCTTCATTTTCAGTAATGAACTCTCTCGGAAAGATGAACAGAACTGCAGATTCACATTGATTCAACATGCAGTACATGCGACACACACCAAAGCTGTTAGCTGGATTATTGGTGGATCTGTCTGCGATACCTTAAAGGGGTAGATTTCAAAACCTTTCGCTTTTAAAGACTCGCGGAAAGTCCTGAGAAGCTCCTCCACGCGTTCACTGGAGATCGCCATTTTTCTTCTTCTTAAGGGTGTTGATGAGGTGCATTTCCGCCCCCAGTGGAGCGGAGCGGAAGTGGAGCATCTGCAGAAAGAAAGCGTTGAATTAATTCACAAAAAAAACGAATAATTGTGTTTTTGCGAATAAGAGATGGAGAGTTTGGAACATGTTATTTCATTGTGACATGGTGCTTTCCTTTTGGTCAGCGATTCAGATGTGGTTATGGTCCAGGAATGCACATTTCCCTCCCCTCACTGTGAGGACTGTTAAGTTTGGTATCTTCCATGAAAACAAAGAGCTTCATTTTGCTGTCAATGTTCTATTATGTCTTGGAATAATCTTTATTCACAAATGCAGATGATTCAAATCTACTCCCAACTTTAATCAGTGGTTGAATGAGGTAAAACTTCTTTGCAAATATATAAAATTGGTAACTGTTAAATGATAAAATAAAAGCCCTTACGGTTATGTCTTTTCTGCACATTTATAAGCAAATGTAATTTTTAAGGCCCCTTTATTATTTTTATTATTTATTATTGCAGTTTATTTAAAACCCTTTTTTATTTTTGAGATGCATATTATGATTACCTATTTTATTACTCAACTTTGTGATGACAGTACATACAGATTGAGTTATTTATTTAAACCAGTGGTTGAGTTAAACATATTTGGTGCTTTGTTGGGTTATTTTTTAACCTTTATTAGGTTATTTAGTAGTAACTCAAACATGCTTTTATCTATGTGAACTTTTAACAGACTTTAAAATACTTGTAATTTAGTTTATTTCAGAAAAATAAGCTTCTACTGATTTATTTGTTTATTTTTTTAGAAGTGTATTCACTTGCTGTTGATGTAAATGTATTTTAGTATTACTTTAACTGTGTGTTGCAACAAAGCATTTACAGCACACTTAAAAGCATTGTTAAATAAACAGAAGTATACTTTTGTTCAATTTTAGAGTAAGTTTTATTGTAGCTACTTATTCTACATTGCATTCAGTGTCAGTCAGTACTAAATAAAGTATACACTGCACAAAAAGCTACTCTTATCATTTTTCAAGTTATTTTAAAGCTATGAATTTTAATTCTTTCATTATTTACTCATCGTTTACTTGTTGCTTTCTTCTGTTGTCCACAAAAGAAGATATTTTGAAGCATGTTGTATACCTGTAAGCGTTGGTGTTTGTTTTTCTTACTATGGAAGTCAATGGTTACAGATTTTCAGCATTTTTAAAAAATATATCCTCTTTCGTGGTCAACAAAAATTAGAAACTTATAGGAAGATGAGTAAATAGTAAATTCATTTCAGGAAGAGTAAATAGTAAGAACCTCATAACCCCAAGTGTAAAAGCCTAAACTCACCTTAAATTGTAAACATTTCTTAAATCTGATTGGCTGATTGTAATGTTAATCCTGGAACATGTCCTGTTTGGTGAAGTCACACTAACCATCTGTGCCTTTGACTTCAACATATCACTTTTTGGCAATTCATTAATTTTTTTTCATGAGTGAGAATATGTTTAGAGTTTTGCAAAAAAAAAAAAAAGCACTACTATTACTAGTATTCAGTTTATAGTGCAATGTAGTAGTGTAAAGACGTAACTATGGTTAATTTAAGTTATTTGGCAAGTCATTGGACAACATTGCTTTCTTAGGGGACAATTAGGCTAATATTGAGCAGTTTTGCATTATATTTTTTATTCCTCCAAACAAAACAAAGCAATAAATTAATAAATAAACAAACAAACAAAATAAATAAATAGTTACACCCAACCTGGCAACCCGGCAAAACTTTTTTCGTGTGGCAGTCGCGTAAAACCGTAAAATCATTGATTTTGAGTGTAATAGTCGCCCAATCTGGCAACCCTGTGAAAACTTTGTGTGTGGTGGTCGCGTGAACCCGTAAAATCATCGATTGTGCGTGTAATAGTCGCCAAATCTGGCAACCCGGGGAAGCACTTTTGTGTGGGAGTTGCGTGAAACCGGACACTTTCTCCAGCGCGAAGGACGCTTGACGGTGGATATGTTTGCTCTGTTGACTGACCGCAGAGACAAGTGTCGGTGGTTTTAAAGCTGACTTTCTCTGGCTGAAAGCCCGCTCTTCATCATCATCATCATCATCCTCATCATCATCAGCTGATCCAGGACCTGCGCTTCAGCACCACTGACTGCGGTAATGACACAAACTGACCTTCACCGCTGACAGCATCTTGCAGCTTTAGTTCATTGTCTACTCATCATTACTCTGAGGAACAGTTTTTTCTCTTAACCTAAAAGTTGATTCTTGTGTTTTACTGATATACAGTGTGAATCTCGGGTCTGTTTCATCTGCTGCAGATATAGAAATAGTGTTTTCTGCTGGGATGTCAACACTTGTTTGTGTGATTTACTAGAGATATTCGTGAAGAATAAGTGTGTTCCCACGTGAAAAATCCTGTTGTCATTCATAGTAAACATTAGTGATTCTGATGTATTATACTATTACACTTTGTTAATGATTGCTTACTGTTACTAACGTTATAGTGAACTGACAAATTGTAATGTAGTGTACTTTAGTTTGTATTAGTAAACTTTAACCCAATGGTTAAGTTAAACATATTTGGTGCTTTGTTGGGTAATTTTTAACCTTTATTAAGTTATTTATTAATAACTGAACTATAGTTGGTTTAAAAATTTGAATGTCAACAGATAACTGATTTAACTGACACAGAACAGCTGTATTAATCACTCTAAAAACAAGTTATTTCTTTAACCCAATAGTTGAGGTAAACATTTTTGGTGCTTTGTTGGGTTATTTTAAACCTTTATTAGGTTATTTAATAATAACTCAATTAGTTGGGTTACATATTTGATGCTTTGCTGGGTTATTTTTAACATTTATTTGGTTATTTATTTAATAACTCAACCAGTTGGGTTAAAATTTTGAATTTCAACAGTCATTTAACTGACATAGAACAGCTGTATTAATATGCATATGTAATGTTGTTTTTGCGTTGTAAAGTTTATTTAAGCTCTATCGTAATAATAGTTTTTTTTTTCAAATTACCTCTCGTGTCGTTTTTTTTTTTTTGTTAGTTTCACCAGCACTTTCAAACACGCACTTTATAGCCGATAAAACGCTTTCTCTACCTCCTGTGTTCATCTCTACAGTTTTTTTTGGGGGGAGAAAATGATGCACATGTTTGGGATATTCGGCTGTCATTCTCGACTTTAGGACGCAGCGGAGACATTCATTAATGTACACAGCCATAATTCGAACAAAATAGTAGTACTTTAATAGTAATACCCAACAAAATCTCACCGCAATTCGTAACTTTTTGCTTTAGTGGCTAATTCATATGAATTCGTACGATCTAATTCATACAATTTAGTACGATTTGCTCATCACCCAATGACGGTTGGGGTTAGGGGTGGGGTTGGGTGCCACGCCTCCTTTTTAAAATTGTACAATTTCATATGATTGAACTTGTATGAATTCATACGAATTAGCCACTAAACTGACAAAACGTAAAATACTTACGTTTTCTCATGAGATCAGGCTGGATATTTGGCTGTCATTCTCGCCTTTAGTACCCAGTGGAGACATTCATTAATGCACCATAATTTGAACATAATAGTAGTACTTTAATAGTAATACCCAACAAAATGTCACTGCATTTCATAACTTTTTGCTTTAGTGGCTAATTCGTATGAATTCGTACAATCTAATTCATACAATTTAGTACGATTTTCTCATCACCCCATGACGGTTGGAGTTAGGGGTGGGGTTGGGTGCCACGCCTCCTTTTTAAAATCGTACAATTTCATATGATTGAACTTGCATGAATTCATACGAATTAGCCACTAAACTGACAAAACGTAAAATACTTACGTTTTCTCATGAGATCAGGCTGGATATTCGGCTGTCATTCTCGCCTTTAGTACCCAGTAGAGACATTCATTAATGTACTCAGCCATAATTCGAACATAATAGTGGTACTTTAATAGTAATACCCAACAAAATCTCACGGCAATTCGTAACTTTTTGCTTTGGTGGCTAATTCGTATGAATTCGTACAATCTAATTCATAGAATTTAGTACGATTTGCTCATCACCCAATGACGGTTGGGGTTAGGGGTGGGGTTGGGTGACACGCCTCCTTTTTAAAATCGTACAATTTCGTATGATTGAACTTGCATGAATTCATACAAATTAGCCACTAAACTGACAAAACGTAAAATACTTACGTTTTCTCATGAGATCAGGCTGGATATTCGGCTGTCATTCTCGCCTTTAGGATGCAGCGGAGACATTCATTAATGTACTCAGCCATAATTCGAACATAATAGTAGTACTTCAATAGTAATACCCAACACAATCTCGCGGCAATTCGTAACTTTTTGCTTTAGTGGCTTATTCGTATGAATTCGTACGATCTAATTCATACAATTTAGTACCATAAGCTCATCACCCAATGACGGTTGGGGTTAGGGGTGGGGTTGGGTGACACGCCTCCTTTTTAAAATCGTACAATTTCGTATGATTGAACTTGCATGAATTCATACAAATTAGCCACTAAACTGACAAAACGTAAAATACTTACGTTTTCTCATGAGATCAGGCTGGATATTCGGCTGTCATTCTCGCCTTTAGGATGCAGCGGAGACATTCATTAATGTACTCAGCCATAATTCGAACATAATAGTAGTACTTCAATAGTAATACCCAACACAATCTCGCGGCAATTCGTAACTTTTTGCTTTAGTGGCTTATTCGTATGAATTCGTACGATCTAATTCATACAATTTAGTACCATAAGCTCATCACCCAATGACGGTTGGGGTTAGGGGTGGGGTTGGGTGACACGCCTCCTTTTTAAAATCGTACAATTTCGTATGATTGAACTTAAATGAATTCATACGAATTACCCACTAAACTGACAAAATGTAGAATACTTACGTTTTCATGAGATCAGGCTGTATATTCGGCTGTCATTCTCGCCTTTAGGACCCAGTGGAGACATTCATTAATGTACTCAGCCATAATTCGAACATAATAGTAGTACTTTAATAGTAATACCATAATTAAAAAAAATAACATTCAATTAAAAATAACCCAGCGCATTGGGTTAAAATATAACCTATAGTTGGGTTATATGTTGGGGTATTTCTAACCCAACTATTTTAATGGAGTACTCCAGTTGTTGCTGCTGTACTAACTGTAGAATCACCACAGCAGATAAAAGCTTTATCTGGAAGATGCTAAATGTTCCTGCAATTCTAGAGTCTGGCAATCTAGAATGATGCAGGCGTACTTTTTATTATTATTGTTTTTTACAATTGCTCATTACACATTGTTTTTTTATGATCCTCTGCAAGAGCAAACCCTGTCTCTATTCAAACCAGTGAAGTCCTCTTTATTATTGGTGAACCTGCCGTCTCCATCAGGTCTGTATGATGATGCCATCTGTTGTGTTTTTAGCTTTGGGTGAAACCAGAAGACTCAGATGAGTGGAAAGAGACAAGTATTAGAGGCAGATGTGGGAACGCGCGGTTTGCTCTTTATCCAGCAGATTTACAGTAATCTGAGTTGCATAGCAGCCTCATGAGCTCACAGTGCTGTCCACGCTTTGTGCCAGACTGTCAGTGCGCACTTGTGTAATCAGAGCCGGCAGATCGAGCGCTTTTTAATGACACTTTTAAACTCTACTCTGTTTGTTTTGTAAGAAGTGGACAGTGGTTGCGGAGACCCTTCCAGCTGCAGCGGGTCTCTTTTAGGGCTGCGCGATACTGGGAACACATGCAATATTGTTGCAGAGTGATAACATTTATAACATTTTCCTAGAAAACGGCTATTTTAATTAGCTCTGTTTTTAAATCATTTATTGATATTAACAGGTAAAAATATTTTTTAAGATCGAATTAATTAAAATTCAGACTAAAAACTGTGTCGAGGTGCAAACAAGTATTCTTTTATTTGCAATATAGTATGTATTGTATTTACAATTTATTAATTTATTAAGTATATATTTATTTGCAATACACTGAAAAAGTATTATTTAAAGATGATTTACTCAATTTTTTTACGTTAAGTGGCTGTAAACAATTTATTTGGGCTGAATTTAAACGCACAAATTACGTAGAATTTTATTAAATTTAATTTGTTTGTTTAAATTCAACACAAATAAATAGTTTGCAACAGTTTTGCAGACATCATTTTTTTTAGTGTACATTACTATAGTATTTATTATGTGTGTAAAAGCTGTGCCAAACAACATTTTTCATGCAAAACCATTGTTTGCTATTTTATTATCTCATATATAATCTTATATTACCATTAAAAACTTTCCTGATTAACTGGTTATCTTACAGCTACCAATACATCTTATTAAATGTGCTAATAAAGAATAAATACATTTAACATAACAAAATTTAACGGTGCTCTTAGTAGTTTAAAGGATAGCTGTGTGTTTGTAAGTATTTAAATATCAAGTAATGTATAAATCTATACTAAAGTGTATAGAATTTAAGCATGAGATATAGTTGTGATGTGAAGCGAAAGGTGCTTTCTTTTAGAGCTGCACAATATATAGCAAAATTAAAGTTATTGCGATGACAGTATATGCAATATACAGTTAAAGTCAGAATTATTCGCCCCCCTGTTTTTTTTTTTTCCTGCTTTCTGGGTAACGGAGAGCAGATTTCTTCAGCACATTTCTAATCATAATAGTTTTAATAACTAATTTCTAATAACTGATTTATTTTCTCTTTGTCTTGATGACAGTAAATAATATTAGACTAGATATTCCTGAAGACACTTCTATACAGCTTAAAATGACATTTAAAGGCTTAACTAGGTTAATTAGGGTAACTAGGCAGGTTAGGGTAATTAGGCAAGTTATTCTATAATGATGGTTTGTTCTGTAGATTATCGGAAAAAAAAATTAGCCTAAAGGGGCTAATAATATTGTCTTTAAAATATTGTTTAAAAAATTAAAAACTGCTTTTATTCTAGCCGAAATAAAACAAATAAGACTTTCTCTATAAGAAAAAATATTATCAGACATAATGTGAACATTTCCTGGCTCTGTTCAACATCATTTGGGAAATATTTAAAAAAGAGAAAAACATTCAAAGGGGGCGAATAATTCTGACTTCAACTGTATTTATCACAGATAAATGAGAGTGGTTTAAATGAATCTGAATCCTCGATGATGCAGTTATTAAATGAATCTGCTTCTCTGCTGTGTTTCAGTGGGCTGTGAATGGAGAATAGGGCGATGTACCTAACCACCACCCATGAGGACCGGGAGAACAGCTCTTTCTATGAGGAAAGCTATGATGGCATGAATCTGTCCAAACTCAACCTGTGTGAAGAAGGTACAGAAATCTGCACCATTTCTTCTTTTACCTGTGCCGCTATATATTTTCTGATACGGTTTCAATTAAGTGTTTACATTCAGTTGAAGTCAGAATCATTCGCCCTACTTTGATTTTTTTTTTTTGCTTTTTCAAATATCGCAGAGCAATCTTCTGAAGAAAGAAAAAATACTTCTTTAACGTTTTATTTCAGCTAATATAAAAGCAGTTTTTTTTTTTAATAAAACATTTTAAGGACAAATTATCAGCCCTCTTTAGCAATATTTTTATTCGATTGTCTACAAAACAAACCACTCATATACAATGACTTGCCTTATTATTCTAACTTGCCTAACTAACCTAGTGAAGCCTTTAAATGTCACTTTAAGCTGAAAAATAGTGTCTTGAAAAATATCTAGTCAAATATTACTTACTGTCATCAAGGCGGAGAAAAAAAAATCAGTTAATAGAGATGAGTTATTAAAACTAATAATTCAGGAGGGCTAATAATTCTGACTTTAGCTTTATATACATTTGTTTGAGCAATAATACATGAGTAGCCATGCAATATGTCTGTATATCGGCACTGCTGGTAAAAAACATGCAATCAAACATGGAGAGTCTCAAAAATCCTTTTGTATGAGGAACTACTTTCTTCCCCCATTCATTCACATCTGCAGCTGACGACAGAACAGCAGAAACTGTTGCTACTTCACTGTCACTTGTTACAAAACCCAGTTTTTTTTAAAGGCTTGTCTAGGGAAGGGGTTAGCAACATAAAAGGACACAGAACTCAGAAGTGCAATTGTCTATTTATTTAGAGCCCAGAAAATACGTGTCCTGGCGACGCAGTGGCGCAGTAGGTAGTGCTGTTGCTTCACAGCAAGAAGGTCGCTGGTTCGAGCCTCGGCTGAGTCAGTTGGCATTTCTGTGTGGAGTTTGCATGTTCTCCCTGCGTTTGCGTGGGTTTCCTCCAGGTGCTCTAATTTCCCTCACAGTCCAAACACATGTGGTACAGGTGAATTGGGTAGGCTAAATTGTCCGTAGTGTATAAGTGTGAATGAGTGTGTGTGGAGGTTTCCCAGAGATGGGTTGCGGCTGGAAGGGCATCCACTGCGTAAAAACGTGCTGGATGAGTTGGCGGTTCATTCCGCTGTGGCGACCCCGGATTAATAAAGGTACTAAGCCGAAAAAAAATGAATGAATGAAAGTAAGTGTCCTGTCAAAATAAGGTGGCAAAAAATATATAGAAAATTAATTAAACAATATTTCTCAATCAAAACAATTACTTAAACAAGCACACACAAAACATAAATAAACCATAGAGAAAGCATAGATCAACAAAGAATTAAATAAACAGCAACAACACCAGCATGGCCCCTCAGCAGCGGATGCACAAGATGCACACAAAAATCTCAGACCTTCATCAGGACAAGATACGTAGAGATTCTCAACAAGTACGAGTCATACTCTCAAGAGAGCAAAGATCAGGAGGATCAGACACGCACTGGAAAACAAAGAGCCACCCCGACACACACTCAGCTTTCGCTTATAAAGCCGCCAAACGAAATGAGCCGCAGGTGCGAGGCGGGGTTAACCTCAAAGAAAAGAAACATCAATTAATAAAACAAACTCCAACACGACACAACAACCAAGATAATAATAATAATAATAATAATTATTATTATTATTATTATAAGTAGAAGAAGAATGAATAAACCATGACATACTGTAGAGCTATTGTTTGAATGATTCTCTAGCATAATATTTAAAGTGATGACAAAGCAGCTGATTTTGCTCACATTTTAAGATTATAAGGCTGAACATCATGAAAAGCCATCAGTTTAGAGATTTACCAGTATTTCTCTGTTGCAATCGAGATATCACAATAATTAACCCAAGCAACAACAAAAAAAGCCAAAGCAAAGAAAGCACTAGCAGATTACTATGGTATAAGTACAGCACTACAACATACACAATAGAGGGAGATCGATTTAGAATGTAACTTACCTGTTATGTAATGATTTGATCAGCTGTAGTCAGGGCCGGAGCAAGCTGAACTGCTGCTCTAGGCAAAGAACGATCACGCCGCCCTCAATCCCAATGTGAAAACGAAAGTGACCGGTTATGAAAATAAAGTGAGGTGTGACGGACCTCTATTCAGCTGCCTTATGCGGATATAACTAAGGATGCGCGGGTGCTGAGGGAAGGAGGGAGGTGTCGCCGACGCTGCCCTCTCTATACTGCCGCCCTATGCGCGGAAATAACTGAGGGCGCGCGGGTGTCACAGACCTCTAATCTGCCGCCCTACGCACGGATTTAACTGAGGACACGCGGGTGCTGATGGAGGTGTCACTGATGCTGCCCTGCCCTCTCTATTCTGTCGCCTATGCGCGAATATATCTGAGGATGTGGGTGGTGAGGGAGGTGTCGCGGACATAACTGAGGGCGCGGGTGGTAAGGGGGGTGTTGCTGATGCCACCCTCTCTATACTGCCGCCCTAGGCGGCTGCCTAGGTCGCCTCTATGGACGCGCCGGCCCTGGCTGTAGTTTGAAATTACGCTGAGTTTTTCTCCCCCTAAGGACTTATTTTGCTTATTTTACTAGATTATTATATCTTGTGGTGAAATGTCAACTGTCTTTGCTCAGCTCAGTATGACAGGCTGATGGCCGCTGACGCGCTGTCTCTCAGAAATTTTAAATATTTAAAATAGGCACTTACCTTATAAATAAACTGCATAGTTGCAATCTAAACAACTACATTCTCGCCTAAAAAAGCCTCAAAAGTACATGATGTTGTCCAACAGCTGCAATATTTGTCAAACTGTAGTGAGTTTATTGATCTGCTGTCACTCTGTGGGCGGAGTAATACACAAGGGTGAAGAGGCTGCATGTATAAGTGCTATTATTGCAGAATACCCCTGATTGGCTATTAGACAATCATATTTGAGAACCAGACAGAACTTATTCATTATTATTTAATAATTTTTTATAATATTTTATAATAATATTGTGCAAATGTCTTTCAGTGGATGTCTATAAAATATGAGGGATTATTGTTCCGTGCTTGTGTTTTACAGTAAATTCTACAAAGTACAGGAGAAAGACTGATAATCGCTGTGGACAGTTGGATTCTCTCACTTCAATCAAATATGCCATCGTGTCGCTTTATATTCTGGTGCTGCTCACCATATTCGGCCTCTGCATAGCAGGTAAGCATGTTTGCTTTCTGTTTGCATTATCTGCTTTTATAGTTATTTGACAAGTTTACATAGTTAGATATCTGTTTAAATGAGTTATTTCAGCGATTCCCAACTGGAGTCGGGTCCCGACCAACAAGGGGTTCTCAGTGAGCTCTGTTGGTGGTCATGTCATTTAGCAGTGGACAATTAAGAGAATGATCATGTTGCCTTAGTTCATTTTATCCCCTGACTGACCAAAAAATGTACAAATTCGTAATTCGTTCACCACAAAAAAAAGACTCACTGATTCACCTTCATCAGCTAATAGTAATGTCCCAAGCATACTTGACCCAAATGAGGAAGCTCCAAACATTTCAAATTCAAAAATGGGCCATTTAGGGCAAAGATTTGGCACTTATGGCAAAATGTGATCTGAATGTGAGCCTAATGTGGCCCATGTGGAAAATGATCAATTCGGCCCAAATGATGGAGGACAAATGTGGGCCACAGTTGGCAAGATAGTGGCCTAGTCATTTAAGGGTAATCTGGGTCTAAACCTAAAGTGGCTCACATGTGTAAGTGCAAATGTGGCCCAGTTAAGACATATGTGGGCCACTTTTGGCAAATATTTGGCACAGTAATCTCTGGCTTTTGCGGCTGTGAGCCTAATGTGGCCCAGAGAAGATATGGCAAAGTTGGCCCAGTTATTTTAGAACATATGTGGGCCCCTTTTGGCTAATATTCCTCACAGTAAGCTCTGGCTAATGTGGATTTGAGCCTTTAGTGGCCCAGAGAAGATATGGGAAATGTGGCCCAATTATCCTAAAACAAATGTGGGCCACTTTTGGTACATATTTGGCACAGTAAGCTCTGGCTAATGTGGATTTGAGCCTATTGTGGCCCAGAGAAGATATGGCATATGTGGCCCAGTTATCCTAAAACAAATGTGGACCACATAGACTAAAGTGTTTGCTTTAGGTGGGCTTTTAGCCCTGAACCTCTTAATAGAATGTAGTCATACTGCAATGCATGCTGGGATTTTTGTACTTTGCCACACCCAGTAAGTGTAAGGTGTGGGCCAGATCTGGGCTGGAATAAAAGCCAACTGTGGCCCAGAATAGGGTCAGTTCTGGATCATCCTGTTGAATTCTGGGTGATATGTGATATTGCTTTGGCTTATTTGTGGCCCAGATCTGGCAAAGAAGGGAGCAGACTGCCCAAGTGCCCTCATTCCATGCGGTATGTGGACCGGATTTGAGCCACATGAGTTTTGCCAGCTGGGTTGCCACCAAACATTCAGAATTACACATAAAGCACCCATGCAGTGGACGAACAGGTCACTGATTGCTTCAATGTTAAGCTTGATTCCCCTTTTCCATTGTCCTGAGGTTGAAATGCAATCTAGCTCACAGCAGGACAGCTTTCAGAGCCCCCAGTGAACCTTCAGTGATTTATATACTGTATGCAAGTGCTGATTGCTGTTTTGTCACTATGGTTTTGCAGCAGTAAAGTATGGATGGCGTCCATGGTGACTCCAGCACTCAGAGCTCTGTGGGGAAGAATGGCAAATAAGCAATAACATCAGCTCATTAATCAATGCAGAGATATTAATATTGTTAATGCTGTTATCATTGTATGTCTACACTGCATTTTATTTACCTTCACTCAATTTGAGTTAAGGTAAATTGCATAAACTTTATATTGAAGTGATAGTTCACCCCAAATTTGAATGTCCTCTCTACATGCCTCTCTAAATATCCGTGTTATTCAGTGCAGGAAAGCACACTCAAGTTTTAGCAATGGACAAAAAAATGGAAACATGTGTGTAGTTTTGTGAAAGTGCTGTATTTTGGGTTTCACCAAGAACTGCTCAATGTTTTTGGTTTGTCGTGCAGGGCAGACACACATGTGCGCACACACACACACACACACACACACACATCAGCTGAATGAGTCATTCACAGCACAGGCCATTACATCATTCATCTGTTTGCCTGAAATTTAATATGAGCAGAACGGGAGGGAGGAAGATCTGCACGAGAAGAAAGAGGAGGTCGAGAAAAACAGAGAAAATGCAGCGCTCTTTGTGTTGCACGGTTTAAGAACAAATGACTCACGCTCGGTTCAGATTTCCCCAAAACACCGAACAAGCTGCAGTCCAGGCATCTCGTGCAGTTGATGCAGTCGGCTGATATTGTCGACATATGACAGGGGGACACTGCGGGGGGCACTTTAATGAAACATGCACTTATTCCACACAGCAGGATTACTAACTCTAAAGGGTTAGTTCACCCAAAAATAAAAATAAAGCATCCCATGGTTTACTCACCCTCGAGGTCTTCTAAGTGTATGTGGCTTTTTCAGTCAAATATTATCAGAGTTTAAAAAGAAAATGATCTTGGGCTTTTTAGCATTTTAGCATCAGATATAAATGCCTTTACTCACAGCTGATTGGTCCAGTTGGGTTTGTAATGTCTAACCAAGAATAAATCCTGCTCTAGAGCAGGTTAGCTGTAAATTACTGTGGTTATGAAACCTAACTAAAACCTTCTTGAGCCTGAAAACGTTCTGAAAGTTTCTCAAAATAACCACAATTTTACCAGGGTTAAATCCCAAACTGACTTTGGGATTTTGATTGACATTTTCCCTTTGTACATGTCTTCAGCGAGGGGAAAGCCCCACCCAAGAATCTTGGTCAAGAATCTTGAAGATTTTATAGCTATTTTCCAAAGGGCGACACGTTGACTCAGCGGCTGAGTCAGTTGGCATTTCTGTGTGGAGTTTGAATGTTCTCCGCCGTCTTGGCATGGGTTTCCTCCGGGTGCTCCGGTTTCCCCCACAGTCCAAAAACATGTGCATAGACAAAATTGGGCATTGTGTATAAGTGAGAGTGTATGGATGTCTCCCAGTGATGGGTTGCAGCTGGAAGGGTATCCGCTGTGTTAGGAAAAGTTGGCGGTTCATTCTGCAAATAAAGGGACTAAGAATGCATGAAAATATTGTCCAGAGTCTATGCAGTGTGGACTTTGTTACCGTTTCCTTTTTGATCAAGCTTGTAGAACTTAATGGCTCAATATAAAATGCTACATCTGCACGCTTCCTGTTTCAGTATCAAAAAGCCATGCGTCCTGGAGACGTGAGGAAGCACTTCTGGAGAATGTGACGCGGCTAGGGGAGCAGTCGGAGACCCTGCAGATGTCTCTCAGCCAGATCCCGTCCCAGAGCGACCTTCTGGAGAACATCTGGAAGCTGGAGAGCCTCTTTCACAACCACACTGAACAGCTGAGGCTGCTGGGTAATGCATCACAGAAGAGTCTAGAAACTTATCTATACTCACACACTTTTAAAGACTACTTTAACAGCTTTTCGGTTGTTATTTATTCATTTTTTATTAATGGACTCTTCACACTTCGAGGGCAGTGAATGGGAGAGTACAAACAAATCATTTATTTACAATCATATATGCTGAAATACTAAAAGAAAAGCACGATGGTGTTACTAAGACTTCCAAAAAATAAAAAAAATAGTGTGAGACTGACAGCAAGATGAGAAAACGATGTCAAATTTACTTTTCTGTTTATTTATTTTACATTTTTGCATTAATAAGGGGAAAAGCTCGGTTATGGATGTGACTAGGGATGTGGAGTCGACTCCGAAAGAGTCAATTCCTCAACTCTCAATGGACCAAGTACCGGAGTTGACTCCATGCTAGAAATCAACTCCATGAGTCGAGTCTGTTTTTTCAAATACTTCTTGATTATTGGTCATTCTTGAGTTTGATAAACATCGAAGGCGCCCGCTTTGAATGCATGATTACACTATTTACGCTTTTGCTTTTGAGTTTCGCGACCACGAGCAGTCTAGGCTATTAAATAGTGCTGTGGTATTTCATTTTCAAATTCCTATAAAGCACGTACAACTTTTGCATTTTGGTTTGGATTTGCCTGCGATGTCAAGCTTGCTGTGTTATAAGTGAAATATAGTTGTATATATGTGTGAATTTGGCGGATCGACCTCTTAAATTAGCACTCCAGGTAAAACTATGAAGTTATGTTAGGCATTGGGTGCTGCTATATGCTCAATTAAAATATGTATTTAACCTATGCATATTTCAGGAATAAATAAATATATAAAACACTAATCATAATGACAAAAGTAGCCAAGATCAATTTATTGTCACAATATCTGACAATATATGTGGTCTTGGTTTTGTTTTGGCCCTGAACACTGTTAATTTCACCTCTAATTCTTTCTTGTGTGTTTTTTAATATCCACAAAAATACATCAGAACTATTCCAAACGTAATTCGTTTCCAATAAAAGAGAATTTTAAATAAAAATATAGCCGAGGTTAAATGTTCAAAAACTAGGTCTGACTCGCTCCTTTTCTTCCGACATAGACTATGCCGTCCCATTAACACACCGTTAATCAATTACAATAATTAACATATTGCACAAAACAAACTGGGATATTTAAAAGTAAAGTAATTAAAAGTTAAATAAAGAAATCTGCTCTCCGTTAAAGAGAAACCGGGGAAAAATAAACAGGGGGGGGGGCAAATAATTCTGACTTCAACTGTATGTTTTCTGAGAAAAATAGTGACGTGTTCAATATTTATTTCCCTCACTGTATATGACCAGGGTTACTGACACAGGGTCTGGAGCGGGACATTAAAGACCTGCAGGCCTTCGCAGAGCACACCACTGACTCTGTGGCTCAGCTGTGGGATCATCTGTCCATGATCAGCCACTCCAGCCAGAGAAATAGCACCCACCTCGGGGACGAGCTGGCCTCCACTGCCGGCTCCATCCGAGAGCAGGACGCACTCCTAAAGACAATGGTGGGGAACGTGGAGACTTTGCAGGAGCGTCTGGAGGATATGGGCTGGACGCTGCAGACGCTGAACCATTCGCTCGGGGGGGACGTGAGTCTGCACCAGATCAAAATCTATGAGCTGCAGGAGAAAATTGTAAATGTGACGCACGACACTTTAGGCATGAAGATCACACAAACACACCTGGAGGATCAGCTCCGGAACGAGATTCAGGTCCTGAACGTGGTCACGGCAGATCTGAGGCTGAAGGAGTGGGAGCACTCCATGGCTCTCAAAAATCTGACCATATTTCAAGGTAGGAGCGGGGTTTTTCCATGTTCTCAATACATATAGTTTTATTAAAAATGCAAAAATGGAGCTCTAGACTAGTTTTTAACAGCAGATGGAGCTCTAGGCTAGTTTTTAACATCAGATGGCGCTCTAGGCTAGTTTTTAACCGCAGATGGTGCTGTAGACTAGTTTTTAACAGCAGATGGTGCTCTAGACTAGTTTTTAACAGCAGATGGTGCTCTAGACTAGTTTTTAACATTAGATGGTGCTCTAGGCTAGTTTTTAACATTAGATGGCGCTCTAGGCTAGTTTTTAACAGCAGATGGTGCTCTAGACTAGTTTTTAACAGCAGATGGTGCTCTAGACTAGTTTTTAACAGCAGATGGTGCTCTAGACTAGTTTTTAACATTAGATGGTGCTCTAGGCTAGTTTTTAACATTAGATGGCGCTCTAGGCTAGTTTTTAACCGCAGATGGTGCTGTAGACTAGTTTTTATCAGCAGACGGCGCTCTAGACTAGCGTTTAACATTAGTCGGTGCTCGAGACTAGCATTTAACATTAGACGGCGCTCTAGGCTAGTTTTTAACAGCAGATGGAGCTCTAGGCTAGTTTTTATCAGCAGACGGCGCTCTAGACTAGTGTTTAACATTAGTCGGTGCTCGAGACTAGCATTTAACATTAGACAGCGCTCTAGGCTAGTTTTTAATATTAGACAGCGCCCTAGACTAGTTTTTAGCATCAGACAGCGCTCTAGACTAGCGTTTAACATCAGACGGCGCTCTAGACTAGTTTTTAACAGCAGATGGCGCTCTAGGCTAGTTTATAACATCAGACAGCACTCTAGACTAGCGTTTAACATCAGATGGTGCTCTAGACTAGTTTTTAACATCAGACCGCGCTCTAGACTAGCGTTTAACATCAGACGGTGCTCTAGACTCGTTTTTAACAGCAGATGGCGCTCTAGACTAGTTTATAACATCAGACAGCGCTCTAGACTAGCGTTTAACATCAGACGGCGCTCTAGACTAGTTTTTAACAGCAGATGGCGCTCTAGGCTAGTTTATAACATCAGACAGCGCTCTAGACTAGCGTTTAACATCAGACGGCGCTCTAGACTAGTTTTTAACAGCAGATGGCGCTCTAGGCTAGTTTATAACATCAGACAGCACTCTAGACTAGCGTTTAACATCAGATGGTGCTCTAGACTAGTTTATAACATCAGACTGCGCTCTAGACTAGCGTTTAACATCAGATGGTGCTCTAGACTAGTTTTTAACATCAGACCGCGCTCTAGACTAGCGTTTAACATCAGATGGTGCTCTAGACTAGTTTTTAACAGCAGATGGCGCTCTAGACTAGTTTATAACATCAGACTGCGCTCTAGACTAGCATTTAACATCAGATGGCGCTCTAGACTAGTTTTTAACAGCAGATGGCGCTCTAGACTGGCTTTTAACATCAGACGGCGCTCTAGACTAGTTTTTAACAGCAGATGTTGCTCCAGTTTAGTTTTTAACAGCATGTGGCGCTCTAGACTAGTTTTTAACATCAGACGGCACTGTAGACTAGTAACATCAGACGGCGCTCTAGACTAGTTTGTAACATCAGACAGCGCTCTGGAATAGTTTTTAACTGCAGATGGCGCTCTAGACTAGTTTTTAACAGTAGACAGTGCTCTAGACTAGACAGCAAATGGCGCTCTAGACTAGGAAATGTTGCTCTAGGCTAGTTTTTAATAGCAGATTGGGGTTTGGGGTTCAGTTGAGTCATTTAGTTTGACTTTTCTGTCACAAGATTAATGTAAATACAGCCCAGTATGTACACTCTTGTAAATCACCCAAATCGTTTCTAACTTTATAAAGTATTTGAGGTTCAAGTCATATTTGTTAGTGAACAGGATGCAAGTACAGTACAGTGGTTTATAAAGCGAGAAATGTGTCATTGGATGACTCTGGAGCCACTAATTAAACTTTTCTACTGATTTTTGTTTTACTCTGTTTTCAGGACCACCAGGGCCGAAGGGTGAGAAGGGTGATGTTGGACCCCTGGGACCAGACGGTATTCCGGGTTGGATTGGACCAAGAGGTGCAGCAACACACTCGTACCACACACAGTCAATACACACTTCACAGAGTTCCCATGGTTCACAGGATATCTGGAATATAATGGAATAATAGAAGGTCTGCTCCAGATATTGGAATACACAGACAATTTAATATAGTTTTTGGCCCCAATTGTGGAAAATCAGGGACTTTTCCTGCTTTCACAAGCTCCAGCGTGCTTTCAGTGCAAAAAAACTACTGCTGAGTGCTGAGCATCTCTGATGTGCATCACTGTGTCCTGAACAGCATTAATATGATTCAATTATTCACTTTCTTTTCGGATAAATCCCTTTATTAATCCGGGGTCGCCGCAGTGGAATGAACCACCAACTTATCCAGCATATGTTTTACGCAGCGCATGCCCTTCCAGCTGCAACCCATCTCTGGGAAACATCCACACACACTCATTCACACTTATACACTACGTGAAGTTTATGTATAAACAAATTTCGAGAGGATCACGTGCTTATGATTGCTAGCAGCTGACCCGCATTATCTAATTCACTACGATCCAATCAGATGACTCCTAAACTACTATAAATACCCTGGGGTTTATTCCATTGCTATCTTCGTTTTGAAGAGTCCCCCCTTCCTCCCCTACTCCTCCTTCTTAGACGGGTGACACGGTGGCCCAGTGCCTAGCACTGTGGCCTCACAGCAAGAATGTCTCTGGTTCCTGGCTTTACCAAAACTAGCAGACATTTCTGTGTGGAGTTTGCCCTTCTCCCCGTGCTCACGTGGGTTTCCCCCGGGTTCCCCGGTTTCCTCCCATCGCCTAAAAACATGCAATTAAGTCAATTGAACAATCCAAATTGTCAACATAGACACGCTTCTAGTTAGTAATTAAGTTCAAGAGCATTCACTTGCTAAAGCAGGGGAGTTCTCGAGATCTACCTGAGCTCAAACTCCCCTCCCGCCTTGCAACGGGAGGGAGCCCTGGGCTCGAGGATCTCATGAGCTCAGGGCTCTCTCCCGGGACAGCATGCCAAACAAGCTTTATAATTAATCATCAGCTAAGTGTGAACTCTTGAAGGACAATTTACCCTACCCAATTCACCTGTACCGCATGTCTCTGGACTGTTGGGGAAACTTGTAAAACAAAATGGTTACATTTAAATCAGATGGCAATATTAACGACAGACACCACTGTAGCTTATCTCTGTGAAAAGAGAGGAATAGAAATAATAGACAATAGCCCCTTTCACACAGTGATACCGGTAACTATCCGGAAAATTTCCGGAACGACTTTACCGGTATATTGAAAAAAGCACTGTTCACACAGGCGAGGACGTTACGGAAATTTTCCGGAAAAGAGCATTCACACATCCATTCCAAAATACCGGTAAATTCTGACATCATTCACCACAAATGAGCTTTAAACGGCTGCGCTTGTGTTTGTAAACATTTGACTAAATTACAAACTCTGTGGATGATCAATATTGTGAACAACTTTCGCATGATCATTTTCTCATGTCGAGATGTTCATAATATGTGCGTGTGCAGGCGCTCACAGGCTGTTTCACAGGCACACGCAAAGCTTGAAGGTAAACAAACAACGGCTTATCATAAGCATCTCATCGATGATTATTTACACAGTTGGCATTAAGAAGAACATATAAACGTGATCTGACTAACTTCTAGCAGCTAAATGTGTCTGGAAAAATATTCAAAGGCTTTTATTCTCATAAACTGCGCGGACGTGAATGCGTCTGACTGTTGTGATTGGCTAAAGCAGACGTCTCACGTCAGCACGTTCTAGACGTGCACGCGCTTATTACGGGAATCTTCCTTCTGCGTTCACACAGCGCAGCATTCCGGCAAATTACCGGTAATGTTACAACTTCTCTTTCCGGAAAAAAGCCAAAACGAATTTACCGGTATTTTCAAAAAGGGCCTGTTCACACATACAGACCTTTCCGAAAAATTGCCGGCAATTTTCCGGAAAGGTCTGTATGTGTGAAAGGGGCTTATAATAGCCAAAAAAAGGCCTTTGGGAGAGAATGCTCTGCACAAATTAAACCCTTTACAGTTTTGAACGATGTCTTACACTAATCCGAAAATAGATGTTTCATTTAGCTTGTAATGAACATGATCATGAAGTCTGCCTTGTGCACTTATAACAATGTTTTACAGCCTGCGTATCAGATTATTTAAATGCCAAATAAGATATTTAACTTGTGTTATTGTAAAAAGTAATATCAATTAAATAAAATGCGGTGTATCTGATGGTTTAGTTGACATAACCTAGTTAAATGTGCATATAGCGCAGGATATGAATATTCATTTAGCAGGGATGCATTCATGGGGTCAAATTTAAATGGAAATGTTTTTGCAAATCTGAAAGCTATCCGATCTGAGAAAACACACCCTGTAAACAGAGTCCTAATGGTATCACACTAAATGCTCAACTTTTTTATTTTTATTTTTTTTGTTTGGGTAAGGCTTGACTGGAGAAAAGGGCGTTCAGGGTCCTCGTGGACTGGCAGGACGAAACGGGCAGGATGGACACAATGGAGATAAAGGAGAGGTCGGCCCTGAGGGACCTAAAGGTTAGACATTTACTGTGTTTGTGTTTCGGAGCAAGTCGATGACTCTTGATTTGATGAGATTTGTTCTTGTTATTGACACTCACTGGCCACTTTATTAGGTACACCTGTCCAACTGCTTGTTCAAGCAAATTTCCAATCAGCCAATCACATGGCAGCATTTCAATGCATTTAGGCATGTAGAAATGGTCAAGGCAGCCACCTCACACCTGGCCTAAGGCGCAAATCATCTCAGATTGCTTTCTTGAACATGACGATGAGTTCACTGTACTCAAAAGGCCTCCACAGTCACCAGAGCTCAATCCAATAGAGCAGCTTTAGGATGTGGTGGAACAGGAGATTGGCATCATGGATGTGCAGCCGACAAATCTGCAGCAACTGTGTGATGCTATCATGACAATATGGAGCAAAATCTCTGAGGAACATTTCCAGTAGCTTGTTGAATCTCTGCCACCAAGGATTAAAGCAGATCTGAAGGCAAAAGGAGGTGTAAGGTGTACCTAATAAAGTGGCCGGTGAGTTATGCCTTAATTTTAAGCGCCGACATGTTAGTCTTTTGGCCTTTTAAGGCACATGGGTTTTCACCCATCCACTTTTCTATCAACAGTTTCCTATTTTTGCATTAGACACAATAACCGAATGTGTTTATGTAAATATCATGTGGTTTTGATGTGATCAGATCAGACATGAAAGATAACCCATTCCTGTTATTATGCACTGTTCGAGACTCTGTTATGGATGTATATCGCTGTCCTCAGGTGTGTGTGCTGTGTCTTCTTCATATAATCAGAGGAAGAATATATAATATAGAAATATAAGAATATATAAATAAGAAGATTTTAAAACAAATAAATAAATAAAAATATCTTTGTGTCATAATATTTTTACACTCTAATTCTGATGATTTGAAGTGCTTCTTTCATCCTCAGCGTCTGCTAAATGAATAAATGTAAATGCCTCAGTCCTGGGGCCTCATGTATCAACGCTGCGTACGCACAAAAACTTTGCGTACGCCAGGTTTTACGCTCAGAATCGCTCACGTTTGGATTTGCTAACGATGAACTGAACGTGGGAATGTGCGCAGCTTCACGGCAGCTTCATGGCAGGCGTACGCACATTTTTTGTGCGTGTCTGTTTTATTTCCATTGGCGACTCCTAGAGGCAGTTGTGTTAAATTCCTCTCTACAAAGTGTCTGAGCCGTGCAATGGCAGCTGTATGAGACGGGTTCATCTAGCAGGTATATAAAGTTTCCATACCATACAGTTGAGCAGCTAAACATTAAAGCGCAATTTGCAGCGGTCGCCTGTTTTCCCAGTGTAATCTGAGCTATCTACTGCACGCACATTGCTATAAAGACACTATCTGAAGATGAATTTGCATACGTGAATCAGAAACATTTCCATTCAATAAATGTGCAAATAAAATATGATGCACACACTTATTAATGATTCCTACTTGTCTTTCTCGTGATAAATAGTTGGCAAAATCTGATATGTAGCAGGGGAAAAAAGAAGAAAGAGTTCATCAGACTCTGGATTCGAACCGAGTTCATGCTCGAACGTATCAAAACATGTTGACATGCGTCTTACGAGCTGCACCACTGAGACTGTTAAGGGTACTACAACATTTTACACCTATAAATCACACTATTTCTTTTCTAATTCACTCAGTGCGATGTTCAGACCCAGACTGTGTTTACCGCATCAGCTTTTTTTTTTCTTTTGTTGTTAATTCCGGTGAACAAACTTGCAAATAACACCGTTTTTCTCTGGTCTACCTCTGAAAGCAGCACCTCCAATTCACATTCTGTTCAAAGTTTCTCTTCTTGCTTGCTTTTGCCTTTGCTGTTTTGTTGGGTTTTGCCAAAGTAGAGTCATTAGCATATTCATACGGGGGCGGAGACAGGGAGGGGTTTTGCGCTCGTGCATGTTGCGCTCAGTTTCACGTTCATTCAGATGTACAAAAAGAATATGCGTGAGATTCGGCGTACGCAGTGTTTCATACATCTGAATTTTTTCTGCGTACACACATTTACAGCTTTGTGCGTACGCAATGTTTTAGTAAGATTTCCACGCAAGTCTTCGTACATGAGGCCCTTGGTGTTTTTGAAGTGTGTTGTAGCCATCAAAATCAAAACGTCTTTACATTTTCACAATATAATTTATTAGCTCACTGAAAACATTGGAAGTCTTTTCTTTGTACTTTAGTTAAATAAATAATGTTAAACTCTTTAAAGAGAATCTGCAAGCGCCAACTTTTTCTTCCGGTTTTAAACATATATTGCTCGTAACAACTATTGTGCAAAAATAAATTGTATAAGAGATTTAAACACAGTTGTGTTAAACACAGTCCGGCCTCTTTTGAAAAGTCAACAAAACAACAGAGTTTGGCTCAAAGTCTAAAAGGGTCAGTTATAAAACATTATTTGTAAGATATTTTGAGCTGAATCTTCATTTACACACTCCAGGGACATCTTGTGAAAATTTAGCTGAGGTTGTTTTATGTTAAACAAAAGTTTAGTGTTCACGAACAGACAGTCCATCTACTTTTGACTGGACCTTGGTTTGGACAGGGCATGTGGTTCTGGGCTTGTAACACAGCTTTGCTCAATTAGACTTCAGGCTTGTGTCTAATTTGACTTTTTTAGCTCAGATTAATTCTGAGCTCAAGCTCCAACCCACTGATCTCATTCTCTGAACATGCGCTGTTGCTTAAACACCTTCCAAAATATATAATGATTCCCCTAATGTTCTCCAGAGCAGCACACGTCCCCCTTCCTCTTTTCATCTCTCCTCAACCTCCACACAACCGTTCACCCTTTCATTGCCTCGTTCTGGCGTTCATCGGGCCTCAGAAACTTGTTTTTGTAACAGAATCATCCTCGTGCTGGTGTGTGACAGCGCTGACTGTGGTCCTGGGCGCTACACAGCTCATGTTTTCACATCGTGTGGCAAACAGCTGGGAAACATCAGTGGGGTTTGGCCAAGTTCTTGAGTACGGCTCAGAAGAGCAAAGTTATTGTGATGCCTTGTTAAAGCGCTTTCATCATGCAAAATCAACTTTTGGAAGCGGTATGAACAGAACTGTGTTTAGTGTAGTGTGTCCACAGTCATATTGGACTGATACACAACAAGTCTCTATTTAAATTTATTGACATTTAAATAGGGGGGCATCACAGTGGCTCAGTGGTTAGCACTGTCGCCTCACAGCAAGAAGGTTCAAGTCCCGGCTGTGCCAGTTGCCGTTTCTTTGTAGAGTTTGCAAGTTCTCCCCATGTTGGATTGGGTTTCCTCTGGGTGCTGAAATAAATCACCTCCGGGGGGTTTCCCCCACAGTCCAAAGACATGCTCTATGAGTGAATTGAAAAACGTAAAATAACAGGCTTTAAATTACAGACATCTACCATAAAATAACGGCTGATAAATTACAGACATTTACTGTAAAATAAGAATCATTAAGTTACTGACATTTACTGTAAAACGACAGCTGTTAAATTACATTTACCGTAAAATAACAATCATTAAATTACAGACATTTACCGTAAATTGACGGTTGTTAAATTACAGCCATTTACTGTAAAATAACAACCCTTAAATTACAGACATTTACCGTAAATTGACGGCTGTTAAATTACAGACATTTACCGTAAAATAACAACCATTAAATTACAGACATTTACCGTGAAATAACAACCATTAAATTACAGACATTTACCGTAAATTAACGGCTGTTAAAATACAGACATTTACCGTAAAATATCAATCATTAAGTTACAGACATTTACCATAAAATAACGGCTGATAAATTACAGACATTTACCGTAAAATAACAACCATTAAATTACAGACATTTACCGTAAAATAACAACCATTAAATTACAGACATTTACCGTAAAATAACAACCATTAAATTACAGACATTTACCGTAAAATAACGGCTGATAAATTACAGACATTTACCATAAAATAACGGCTGATAAATTACAGACATTTACCGTAAAATAATGGCTGATAAATTACAGACATTTACCGTAAAATAACGGCTGATAAATTACAGACATTTACCATAAAATAACGGCTGATAAATTACAGACATTTACCATAAAATAACGGCTGATAAATTACAGACATTTACCGTAAAATAATGGCTGATAAATTACAGACATTTACCATAAAATAATGGCTGATAAATTACAGACATTTATCGTAAAATAACTGCTGATAAACTACAGACATTAACTGTAAAATAACAGCTGTTAAATTACAGACGTTTACCGTAAAATAATGGCTGATAAATTACAGACATTTACCGTAAAATAACGGCTGATAAATTACAGCCATTTACTGTAAAATAATGGCTGATAAATTACAGACATTTACCGTAAAATAACGGCTGATAAATTACAGACATTTACCGTAAAATAACGGCTGATAAATTACAGACATTTACTGTAAAATAACGGCTGATAAATTACAGACATTTACCGTAAAATAACGGCTGATAAATTACAGACATTTACTGTAAAATAACGGCTGATAAATTACAGACATTACTGTAAAATAACGGCTGATAAATTACAGACATTTACCTTAAAATAATGGCTGATAAATTACAGACATTACTGTAAAATAACGGCTGATAAATTACAGACATTTACCGTAAAATAACGGCTGATAAATTACAGACATTTACCGTAAAATAACGGCTGATAAATTACAGACATTTACCGTAAAATAACGGCTGATAAATTACAGACATTACTGTAAAATAACGGCTGATAAATTACAGACGTTTACCGTAAAATAATGGCTGTTACATTACAGACATTACTGTAAAATAACGTAAAAACGTAAAATATCAGATTTTTTTACAGTGTGGAGTACGTTTCGTTCAAACTCTGGTACTACTTACTTCTGATATGAGTGCACTGTTCTCTCATTTTTAGTTATGCATTCAATCTTGTTTTTTTTTTTCAAACCCGTGTAACTTTAATTATTCCACTGATCAGAAGATAATAGTTGTCTGATAATTGTACTGTAGTAAACTTATAACTGTGTGCTTCACCTCCAGGCGTAAGAGGAGAACGAGGACCGAAAGGAGAGAAGGGAGAGCGGGGAGACAAACAAGGAGAAAAAGGTAAACACTTTAGTCAATTATCCTCCTATATTGTCACTGATCTTGAGTTTAGTCATATTTTGAAGGATTGAAATCGAATCAGTCATTCGCTCTGTTTCCATCGAATTAGATTTATGCGTGAAACTGTAATATTGCATAAAACTTTAGTGACTAAATCAGAATTTCCATCCAATGAGAAACAAAAAAAGAAAAAAGACAAGTACAATTCGCAATAATAAATAAATAAAACTTCAGTCGAGATTCTGAAGTGCGCTTCAAATGTATGCTACGCTATCCTATGATGCGATGTGAGAGAATTCATGAATGATAGTGAAGCAACGCAACTGATGCTGGTAGGTCATGTGATAATGATTAAGAGTGATTCTAATACATCCCAATTCCATTCATATCCACATTCATACTACATAGAACACACTTCCTAACGGTCATGTAGTACATTCAGATTCAAATGTAGAACCTTCTCGAGTAGTAGGCGATTTTGGACACAGCCCATTTGTCCCTGGTGATCGGTCCTGCTTGTCTCCTGACAGACTCTGATGTCATTCCTCGTTTTAAAGCTGCATCAGGTGTGGACTCTGAGCGATCACTTGTTTAAGATTTTCCTTCTCTGCTCTTATTTTCTTAAACTGAACACACCCTTCCCATGGCCCATGCATGTGGCTTTAATCTGCCGAGTGTATGTGTGTGTGTGTGTGTTGACTGCCAGGAATCACACAGCTGTTACACATTTATAAGACATATTTTCTGACTGTAGTATCTCATTGATCTGCTGAGCTCAGCGTGTTCTGCAGTAAACATCAGGAAGGTTTAAATATTGACCCTTAAAATCAGTCTGGATGAGCGCGTTCTGATCATTTGACCCTGACATCTGTATCTGAAACCAGCGTGTGAAACCCACACCGGATATCAAATCATCTTTTCTGATGGCTGTTGCAGGTTAAAGGGGAGATTCTCTAGTTACACTGTAAAAAGTGTCTGTCTATTTTGAGTTTTGGCTTATTTCCAGTCTTGTTTTTTGTTTTCCCTGCTGAAAAATCCAGCTTAAACCAGCCTAGGCTGGTTGGCTGGTTTTAGCTGGTCAACCAGACTGCTTTTAGACCAGCTAAAACCAGCTTGACCAGCCTAGCAGGCTGGGAGCCCAGCCAAAACCAGCTATGTCCAGCTTAAACCAGGCTGGTCAAGCTGGTTTTAGCTGGATTTAGCTGGTCATTTTCCAGCCTGACCAGCTAAGACCAGACTGGAAATGGCTGGAAACCAGCCTGGAAGTGGCCAAAACCCCTCTAAAACCAGCCTGGTCGACCAGCTAAAACCAGCCAACCAGCCTAGGCTGGCTTAAGCTGGATTTTTTAGCAGGGTTGTGATAAATTACACCACGCTGAACTGAATTAACTAAACTAACTCTGCAAACTACGGTGGCCGGGAGGTGCAAAACAACATTACAAAGTGTGAAACACTTTACGAAATGTACATTTTGGAAAACATTTTTACCTATCATTAGACACAATTACAAAGGAAAAACCATTTTACAAGGACGAAACAAATTTATTTTGTGACGTTCGAGGCTTCGAAGCAGGCCCGGATTGGCTAATCGGGAAGACCGGGAGAATTCTAGTGATAAGTCGTTCATGAACGATTCGTTCATTTTGAACGAATCTTCAATATGATTCGGGAACTACAAGTCCTCTCAGGGAGTGATTCGTTCATCCGCGCATGCGCACATTTGTGCAGGTGGTATCGTTCATTTCAAGTCTTTTGAGTAGTTCATCACAGAAGCCAATCATATACATTTAGAGCCGGAAAAAGAATTGATCCATTCATTGATCTCGAGTCCTCAGGTTTGAGTCATTCGTTCCTCCCAGGCCAATCATATGCGTTTAGAGCCGGAGAAAGAATTGAACCGTTCATCTCTCGAGTTCTCAATCGCACTGGTTCTCCAACTTCTTTTCATCAAGTACCACTTCAGAAAAAATTGTCTCTCCAAGTACCACCAAAATGAGCAGTATTGAGATACAGTAGCGTAGTAGGCCCAGTAAAGCAGCTACAACTCTGCACAGTTAAAAACATGGCAGATTACCTCAGAGATATAGGCTACATGTCATATATGGCATATTATATACATCATTTTTGATCAATTTTTAAATGTGTGTAGCATGTACATGACATATTTCATTCCTCCGCGTACCACTAGAAGGAAGCCCGCGTACCACTAGTGGTACACGAACCACAGTTTGAGAACCACTGCTCTATCGGGTTTGAGTCATTCTGTCACTTGATGAACGAACGACTCAAGAATCAGAAGACTTGAAAGGTGAACTAATCATCATGGCTCCTATCGGCTCAGACTGTGTACATTGGTTAAGATTATATGTGACTGTCAGTGTAACGTGAACGAACCACTGACATTTGAAGACGTGAAGAGGTGAGCTGAGCAGAGACAATACCTTCATAGACAAAAGAGCAGGTCAACATCGAATTATTATTTTCTCCTTCTTATAGTATTCTAGTTATGACTTATCTGTCGTGTTGTCAACCTTTTGGGCTAGTTGTTGATGTGTTTGGAAGCAGCTGGTAACATTTTAATAATATTTTGGCAAATTGAACCAAATGAACGAAATGACTCGAAAAAAGATTCGTTCATCTCGATGAACGAGACTCAAAGATCCGAGTCAGTAAAATGATCCGAACTTCCCATCACTAGAGAATTACAGGTGGGCGCAGTAGGTAGTGCTGTCGCCTCACAGCAAGAAGGTCGCTGGTTCGAACCAGCTCAGTTGGCGTTTCTGTGTGGAGTTTGCATGTTCCCTTTGCATTCGCGTGGGTTTCCTCCGGGTGCTCCGGTTTCCCCCACAGTCCAAAGACATGCGGTACAGGTGAATTGGGTAGGCTAAATTGTCCGTAGTGTATGAGTGTGTGTGAATTGACTGTTTGTGGATGTTTCCCAGTGATGGGTTGCGGCTGGACGGGCATCCGCTGCGTAAAAACTTGCTGAATAAGTTGGTGGTTCATTCCACCTTGCCGACCCCGGATTAATAAAGGGACTAAGCCGACAAGAAAATGAATGAATGAATGAATGCACTTCCTGGCCACTGTGGAAAACTGGACTGACAGTTTCAATTTACTAAAACAGGGGTGGCCAACCCCGTTCCTGGAGAGCCACCTTCCTGCAGATTTCAGTTGCAACCCATATCAAACACACCTGAACCAACTAATTAGGACCTGAACACCATGTGATCATTACAGGAAGGTGTGTTTGATATGGGTAGCAACTGAAATCTGCAGGAAGGTGGCTCTCCAGGAACAGGGTTGGCCACCCCTGTACTCGAACTTCTGTGTTAAGCTGCTTTATCACATTCAAACTTGTAAATCCGCTATAGAAATAAAAATGAATTGAATTAAACATATATATTTTTTCTTAAAACAAGCAAAATAATCATGTTTTCGCTTTGAAATAACATTATTGTGCTTACTTTTTTACCTCAAAACTTCATTCTGACTTCATAATTATTTCTAAAAAACAACAACAATACAATATATTTGTGCATGTCTAGAAAATTATTCTCAGATTTTGTAGATTTTAGACTAGAAATAAGACCAAACCTCTGAGTAAGAAACCCATTTTGTGCAGTGTATTTGGGTGTAACCCCTGAGGATGGCTCAGTTGCTGTGTTTTCTTCAATATGAATCACATAATCGAGGACAGGAACATGATCAACAACTCATGAAGCCATGAACGCATGCCAAGAGTCTGATATTCAGTGTGCAAAATGACCCAACAGCGCCACCTATAGAGTTACAACTGGCGCAAACCTAAACTATGTTTCTCAGTGCCAAAGGAAAAACCAAATGCAGCAGTTTTTGGAACATTCTCCTCATATTTAGTGTTCTGGAGACCATCAGATCCACACCAAATCTCACCTAAAGGCGTTTGCCATGTTAAATAATGAGGGTTTCATGTTTGAGTTTAAAACTGAATCTGCTTCTGGAAGCAATGCAAGTAATTCCTAGTACAAGATATTTGTAACTCATTACACCTTACACTAATATTCCCCTTATGGCAGTGTAAGTTTTTCATTGTCAGATGTGTGTTGCAATTGATTGACTGTAGAGTGTGTGTGTGTGTGTGTGTGTGTGTGTGTGATTCAGTTGAGGATGCTGTGGTCCGGCTGGTGAACGGCTCCGGGCCTCATGAGGGCCGGGTGGAGGTCCTGCATGACCTGCGATGGGGGACGGTGTGTGACGACGTCTGGGACATAAAGGATGGAGACGTTGTGTGCAGGATGCTGGGATTCCGCGGCGCCAAAGAAATACACAAGACGGGACGATTCGGACAAGGTCAGAGTCAAAACACAAGCGCTATGGGGGAACTGAATAAGCTACATCGGCCGTAGCGTATGTGTGTGAATGTGAGAGTGCCGCTGGAAGGGCATCCGCTGTGTAAAACATATGCTGGATAAATTGGCGGTTCATTCCGCTGTGGCGACCCCAGATTAATAAAGAGACTAAGACGAAGGAAAATGAATGATCAGAGGTCTGCTTTCTCTGTCTTTCAGGCACCGGGCTAATCTGGATGGACGATGTTGCTTGTGTTGGTACTGAGGACTCCATTGACCTGTGTAAGTTCTCGGGATGGGGAAAAACCAACTGCGGTCATGTAGAGGACGCAGGGGTGACCTGTAACGTGTAACCCGTTCAAGTATTCAACATCCTGCAGAATGGACTGTCAACCAGTGAGTTTGGAGGACTTACGGAGAGCTGGAAGAAGCGTTGTGTTCGTCTACACAGTAGAAGACTTGCATGAACCTGACTGTGTGAAAGTCAGCATACCAGCAAACAGCCCATAGCCAAACACTCCAGCCATAGCCATCAAACAGAGGGACTCATATCTCTGTGTGTGTGTGTAGATGTGGTCCTGGTATTCCTACCGAATGTCCTCACAAGTATAGCAATACCAGTACATTTTGACCTTGTGGGGACATTTTTTCAGCTCGTGAATCAGACAGAATGAATGTGTGTGTGTGTGTGTGTGGATGTGGTCCTGGTATTCCTACCAAATGTCCTCACAAGTATAGCAATACCAGTACATTTTGACCTTGTGGGGACATTTTTTCAGCTCGTGAATCAGACAGAATGAATGTGTGTGTGTGTGTGTATGTAGTTGTGGTCCTGATATTCCTACCGAATGTCCTCACAAGTATAGCAATACCAGTACATTTTGACCTTGTGGGGACATTTTTTCAGCTCATGAATCAGACAGAATGAATGTGTGTGTGTGTGTGTGTGTGTGTGTGTGTGTGTGTGTGTGTGTGTGTGTGTCTTCTATGCCGCTGCTTGGACTGTTTGTGTGTGGTTTGTATAAGAAGTCTCTTTTATTATGAAAGCCCAGATGCATTTAACTTTCCAAAGATTTCTACGAACATACTTTAAACTTTAGTATATTTGTCCCAACGTTTAGCTAATTAGGAATGTTAAAGACTTGTGTAGTTTAAAAAAATGTTGCTTTAAACTAAAAACATTGAGCGTGTGATGATCTGGTCAGTAAATGTTAATGGTGGGGGCTGATTACAGTCAGTATTCACTGCCCAGTAGCTGTTATCCCAGATAGCATGTGAATGTGGGCCACTTTAGGCAGGTATGCGGCACTGGTGGTCTTTATTCGGCCCAGACAAAATCAATGTGAGCCTGAAGTGGTCCACTTGTACAATGGACCAAAAGGGGGGGCCAAAGATTCTACTTCATATATGGGCCATTTAAGGCAAAGATCTGGCGCTTATGGCAAAATGTAATCTGAATGTGGGCCTAATGTGGCCCATGTGGAAAATGATCAATTTGGCCCAAATGATGGAGGACGAAAGTTGGCAAAATAGTGGCCTAGTCATTTAGGGGTAATCTGGGTCTAAACCTTAAGTGGCTCACATGTGTAAGTGCAAATGTTATCTTGAAGCATATGTGGGCCACTTTTGGCAAATATTCAGCACAGTAAACTCTGGCTAATGTGGATTTGAGCCTATAGTGGCCCAAAGAAGATATGGGAAATGTGGCCCAGTTATCCTAAAACAAATATGGACCACTTTTGGCAAATATTTGGCACAGGTAGCTCTGGCTAATGTGGCTGTGAGCCTGAAGTGGCCCAGCAAAAATATGGGCCAGTGTGGGCAAATGTGGGCCAGTTATCTTAAAGCATATGTGGGCCACTTAGACTAAAGTCACCATCATGGAGAAAAGTGTTTGCTTTAGTTGGGCTCTTAGCCCTGAACCTCTTAATATAAATGTTATTTTGGGCCGCTGTAACTTTTAAGAACTTTGCTTGAAAAGTGAGACACAACCTGTGATTAATATTATAATTCACTGATGTTTACCAATGTTTAATCCATTATCAGAAGTAATGTACCAGAGCTGGGCCAGAATAAAAGCAAACTGTGGCCCAGAATAGGGTCAGTTCTGGTTCATCTGGTTGACTTCTGGCTCATATGTGACATTGCTTTGGCTTAATTATGGCCCAGATCTGGCAAACAGGAGCGGACCGCCCAAATGTGGGCCGGATTTGAGCCGCATGAATTTTGCTAGCTGGGATAACACTGAATCAGTATTGATTAATCTTGACTGTACAACAGTAAATGAGAATGTCCTATTTTATAAATGATCAGCTATACAACAGAATAATTGTATAATACACTATACTAAAGCATTATTAACTGAAACACAGACAAAAACAATGTCTTTCCTTTATCCTTTTTAAATAACCACAGCCTTGATTTAGGATCAAAGCAGTGAATTTACCACTGCCTGTGCAAAGTCATCTTCATCATGTCCAATCCTCAACCAAACGTAGTTGTGTGACAGATCTACCGAGCACAACATGTGTCATTACGACTCTGTGGAGGCTGTTACAATCAGTGACAGTTTAATACAGTGATCACCAAACTTGTTCCTGGAGGGCCGGTGTCCTGCAGATTTTAGCTCCAACCCTAATCAAACACACCTGAACAAGCTAATCAAGGTCTTACTGGGTATACTAGAAAGTTAGAAACATCCAGCCAGGTGTGTTGAGACAAGTTAGAGCTAAACCCTGCAGGGACACCAGCCCTACAAGATCGAGATTGGTGATCCCTGGTTTAATAAGTGAGAATGTTTCAGCAGTACTTACAGTTGAAGTCAGAATTATTCGCCCCCCTGTTTATTTTTTCCCCCCAATTTCTGTTTAATGGAGGGAAGATTGTTTCAGCACATTTCTAAACATAATAGTTTTAAATACTTTTATTTCTAATAACTGATTTATTTTCTCTTTGTCATGATGACAGTAAATAATATTTTACTTGATATTTTTCAAGACACTTCTATACAGCTTAAAGTGATATTTAAAGGCTTCACTAGGTTAATTAGGTTAACTAGGCAGGTTAGGGTAATTAGGCAAGTTATTCTATAATGATGGTTTGTTCTGCAGACAGTCAGAAAAAAAAAATTAGCTTAAAGGGGCTAATAATATTGACCTTAAAATAGTGTTTTAAAAATTAAAAACTGCTTTTATTCTAGCCGAAATAAAACAAATAAGACTTTCTCCAGAAGAAAAAATATTATCAGACATACTGTGAAAATGTCATTGCTCTGCTAAACATCATTTGGGGAATATTTAAAAAAGAAAAAAAATCGAAGGGGGCCAATAATTCTGACTTCAACTGTATATATGACTGTGCTTTTATTTTCTGTACCATGTGTCTTTTACAGTTTTAAATATTAAAAGAGTAAATATTTCACATATAAAGGATCTCTGCCGTTTATTTTTGAATGACTGAATATCCCTCTGTGATAATGTGCTAATGTGTGTTAGGAGAATTGGGGCTCTAATTTAATGATCTATATAAACACATTTTTAAAATTATGAACCAATGCCTGATAGTATACGAATGTGGGCCACTTTAGGCAGGTATGCTGCACTGGTGGTCTTCCTTCAGCCCATACAAAATGAATGTGAGCCTGAAGTGGTCATCCTGTACAATGGCAAAGGGGGGCAAAGATTCCAATTCACATATGGCACTTATGGCAAAATGTAATCTGAATGTGAGCCTAATGTGGCCCATGTGGAAAATGATCAATTTGGCCCAAATGATAGAGGACAAATGTGGGCCACAGTTGACAGAATAGTGGCCTAGTCATTTAAGAGTAATCTGGGTCTAAACCTAAAGTGTCTCACACTTGTAAGTGCAAATGTGGCCCAGTTATCTTAGGACATATGTGGGCCACTTTTGGCAAATATTTGGCACAGTAAACTCTGGCTAATGCGGCTGTGAGCCTAATGTGGCCCAGAGAAGATATGGCAAATGTGACCCAGATATCTTAAAACTAATGTGGGCCACTTTTGGCAAATATCTGTCACAGTAAGCTCTGGCAAATGTGGCCCAGTTACCTTAAAACATATGTGGGCCAGTTTTGGCAAATAATCGGCACAGTAAGCTCTGGCTAATTCAGCTCTGTGTTATCCTAAAACATATGATAGGTCATTTCTGGTTAAGATAAAGTACAGTGATCATTTGGTAATTACAGGTGTCAAACCATAGCTCTTTGACATGGCAGATATGGCTAGTAGAGCTAATTTGTGGCCCAGATCTGGCAAACAGAAACGGACCACTCTAGACCCATCACTCCATTCAGTATGTGGTCCAGGTGTAAGGGTTTTGTGTGGGCCAGAATAAAAGCAAACTGTGGCCCAGAATAGGGTGGGTACTGGTTCATTTGGTTGAATTCTGGCTGATATGTGATATTGCTATTGTTAAGATACAAGATGTGCAGCACCTGAATCTACGGATACTGGAAGCCTGTGCTGGCATTTCTCCTGCGGTGTTGCTATCAGTGTGTGAAGAGGCTTGCATTGACAATCCAACACAATGGGCAGCACATTGTACACATTTTATAAGTGGTCAGAAACTTGGTCGGCGCCAATACCTAGTGGATAAGTGCACCGAGATATAGCACCATGGTGCTTACGGCGATCCAAGTTCGATTCCCAGCTTGAGGTCCTTCCAAGAGTTCACACTTAGCTGATAATCAATAAAGCGTATTTGGCATGCTGTCCCGGGAGAGAGCCCTGAGCTCATAATATCCTCGAGCCCGGGGCTCCCTCCCGTAAGAAGGGCGAGAGGGGAGTTAGGTCTCGAGAACTCCCCTGCTTATCACCGTGAGAAGTGTAAACTATGGTTGTATTGGGTGATAATTTGTTTTAGTCGATTGGCTATGGTGTATGTTTTTGGACAGTGGGAGGAAACCAGGGAACCCAGGGGGAAACACACGCAAACACGGGGAGAACATGTAAACTCCGCACAGAAACACCAGCCAGCCCTATATGTTGGACCTGCGGTGTTCTTGCTGTGAGGCAACAGTGCTAGCCACTGGGCCACCGTGTCACCCGATCAGAAAAAAGGGGGAGGATGTAGGGGTGGAAAGGGGGAAGCTTCAAGACGAAGATAACTGGAGTTAAAAACTCAGGTTATTTATAATCCTTCTGTAATCATCTAATAGGGCTGATTACGGAGCTAACAAGGAGCCAGCCGTGTTGATTATAAGCACGTGATCCTCTCGAAATTAGTTTATGAATAAACCGCACTTGCCGACCCTTCCCCTTTCTCTGCTCCCAATACTTTCCTGTCTACAACTTCTACTGTCCGATCCAAATAAAGATAAAAAGTCAGAAACTTGTAAATAACGCATGAAAGAATAAAGTTATGTTAAAACCAAGCACACCATTGATTTTCTTGTGAAATTCCCAATAAGTTGACGTGTCACATGACCCTCTTCCTATCGACAAAACAAAAGTTGGATCCAAGATGGCCGACTTTAAAATGGCCACCACTCATTTACCCAGTTTGCACATATACTAATGTGCCACAAACAGGACGTTAATATCACCAACCATTCCCATTTTATTAAGGTGCATCCAAATAAATGGCCCACCCTGTAGAAACCTCCAGGCAGGTGTGTTGAAGTTGGAGCTAAGATCAGCAGGACACCCTTATCCTAATTGAATCTGAATATTTAAAAAAAAAATCCAGCAAAGGAAACATTCATGTTTTGTGTTTTAATTATTATTTATACTATAATCATCCTTAATTTTACAAATAACTTATGAGTTTTCCCAGCTAAGATTACCAAAACAAAAAGACCGAATCTCCAAAAGACGTCTCTCCTGGTTTTCTTTTAAAAACAGATTTAATGGTTTCTTTGGGTTGTTGCAGAGTTAGTGAAACCAGCACAGAAAGACGAAAACAGAAAAGCAGACCGAGTAAACCTCCAGCCTTCAGAAACCAGCATGTGGAGAAGGTGTATTTGTTTGTTTTATAAATAACAGCCTCATTCAACTGGTCAATGCACACGTTATGCATTCGCACTCCTGTGAGGATGAACGACAGAACATCGCTTTTCTGCAATAGAGCTTTCGCTCGATAAACTTTTAAACTTACAAAACACTTCCGAGGATCCGTTTCAATCCGTGCGCAAGCGAAGGCACTGTGCATGTACCACATATATCCGTGACAAAGGCACATGGAGAAAGGTTTCGTCGGCTCTTCCTGTGTTTGTGGCAATTTATAAAACCTGAGCCACAAAGGCTAGCGAGCACTGAGTGTGTTTTCATCCAAGTCTTTTCTCTTAAGCCCACATGACTGCAAATACTCTGAAGAAGCTTCATCAATGCATAGCAAGGAAAGATGTTTGGCACAAGGGTATAAACTCTCCTAATAATAAACCTACATTCCAGTTGTCACAAAGGAAAGCATTTGATATCGAGGGCTTTGATGGGTTTCCTGCAAAGTCCTTTGACCGCTCTGAGGTCAAGTACCTTATTAATAAAATCTAGATCTGTTTTGCTGCATGTGCAGCTCGTACGCTGATACGGTGCAGAGCATTTCGCCGCTTGCACTTGCACATCCCTTTAAAGTTCTCAAGAAAGCTGACGATGGGAATCCATACTGACTTGACAGAAACGAAAAACAGAGAAATAAATGACGTCTATAACGCTATACTTACAGGACATACATGTGAAATCTCCAGAGATAAAATGGCCATGGAGGAGCTCACTCTAAAACTATGTACAGTAAATTCTGTGTTGCCTTTTGAAACTGTACATCTAACGCATGCACTTTTTTCTGTCCTTTTTTTTTTTTTTTAGCAAACAAAATAACTGCGAGTTTAGCAGATTCCGCCTATCATGCTTTGGGAACAAAGTCAGAAAAACAGTCACCGTCCGTTCCCATGAATAAGGCACACTGGCATCCGTACGCGCGCGCACACACATGTAAACCGCGTGTGTGTGTGTGTGTGTGGACGTAATAAACGTGTTAATATCAGCCTCTTTACAGGTGAACTTTCCCTTGATCTTCCACACACACACACACACACACACACACACACACACACAATGACACTGTGAGAAGGGAAAGACGAAGCTTTGGACAGAAAGCCTCCAGCAGATGTGTCCTGGCGGAGGCCAAACGGTGGCAGTCTCCACGTTTACACGTGCTGTGTGTCGTGTGTGTGTGGCTCAGAAATTGCGTGGGAATTCACACTCTTCACATCGGTTGAGGGCGGGGTGGTTGAGGAAGGTGCAGGCGGTGCAGCTCCACTGAACGCCATCGTCCTCCTCGGGCTCTGACAGCACACGCACACCCGCATCCGTCCGGCTCACCTCTGACAGAAAACACGGCACACATGATTCAGGATATGGTGGTAAACAACGTGCACTGACTCAACATTGGCTGATCTTCCTGTACAATTTACAAAACCTGAGCTAAAACGGCCACAAATTTCTGATGGTAAATGATACTAAGCGTTTACTATTTTAGGTCTGTTAGGATTACCTAAATGATTTACATTTTCTAAATGCCAAAATAATGAGAGAATTGTTTAATCATTTCTAGACAGTCAAAAGTTTACACACATTTCCTTGGTATATTTTTAGCTTTGCTTTTAAACTTTGGTCAAATGTTTTGGGTCTCCTTCCACAAGCTTCTCACAATAGTTTGCAGGAATTTTGGCCCATTCCTCCTGACAGAATTGCTGTAACTGAGTCAGATTTGTTGGCAGTCTTGCTCGCACAAGATTTTTCAACTCTGCCCACACATTCTCTATAGGATTGAGATCAGGGCTTTGTGATGGCCACTCCAAAACATTCACTCTAATGTACTTAAAGCATATTTGAACTAGTTTGGCAGTATGCTGAGGGTCATGGTCTGTCTGGAAGATCCATTTGTGGCCAAGTTGTAATGTCCTGGCTGATGCATTGAGATGTTGCTTCAGTATTTCTCCATAATGTTCTGTCTTCATGATGCCATCTATGCTGTGAAGTGGACCAGTCCCTCCTGCAGCAAAACAGCCCCACAACATGATGCTGCCGCCCCTATACTGCACAGTTGGGATGGTGTTCTAGGCTTGTTGATTTCCCCTTTGTCCTCCAAATGTAACACTGCTCATTATGGCCAAACAGTTCAATCTTAGCTCCATCAGAGCACAGCACATGTCTCCAAACATCAGTCTATTCCCAGTGTCATTCAGCTAATGGTAATCTGGCTTTGTGTTGATTCTGGCTTGCTGATTTTCCCATGTTGTCACACAAGGAAGCAGTGTGTTTGAGCTTTTCCTTCAACACTATTCTACAGTTGTGCCTCACATTAACTCAAATGTTGTTAATTAGCCAATCAGAAACTTCCAAAACCTCGACATCATCACCTGAGCTTTTCCAGAGGCAGAATAATCTGATTGTGTGTAAACTTGACTTCCAACAAGAGTCATAACAATTTCAATGACAGTCCATATGTCCATACTTATGCTGGGTTCACACCAAACAGGAAATTAAGGCCTAATTCCAATTCTATTTTTGTACCCCTTCCCCTTGGCCCTTACAACTTAGGGTTAGGGGGAAGGGCTTTAAAATGTACCCTTAAGAATTGGCGCTAACTGGGCATAGGAGGCAGTTGTAGCAAAAGTATAGGTGTGAAAGCATCCTAAGACTTTTTCCAAAAGATTAAATATTAATGCAAACACTGTGAGAATGTCCTTGCTCCATTGAAACATTTTGAAAAAGAATAAATATTTCTCAGAAGGGTTAATAATCGTGCCCTCAGCTACAGTTAGGAAGCAGAGTTAGGAGTGAGAAGGATGGCGGAGCAGAAAGCCAGAAAAGGACCCACCCGTGGGCACAGCGGCGGCAGGAGGAGGTACAGGAGGCAGAGACGGGTCTCTCTTTAACTTTGAGCTCACATTTATTCTGCGGCCTCTCCTGTCTAGAGAACCTGTGTGATCTGCAGCTGAAGAGCACCAGGACACACGGATGGAAAACAGAGCAGGACAGAGAAACAAACGGAGCATGAGAAGGTGGAGAAATGACAGAAAACATTACTGCAGAAGCAGAGATGTCAGGACTATGCTACAGGCGTAAAACAGAGCCAGGGTAAAGTGTTTCTCCGGATCTTACCTGCTTTTGTAGGACCTTTAAGGGGTTTTGGAGGTACAGGACCCAAAAAACCAAGGTTGTCGTAAAAATTGTGAATGGCAATGGGATTAAAGTCTGGTCCTAAAGGTGTGGAGAACAAACCGTCAACAATTACTGAAAAACTACACACTGCTAAAACACATCAAACAGGCAAGGAAGAAAAGTTTCAGGGTTTCTGCAGCTTTCACCAAGTTACATTCAAGACATTTTTAAGCCCATTATGAATTCAATTTTAGACTTATACAGGGTTAAATGCTCAGTATTTTTTTTTTCGAACATACCAGTTAATAAAGATTTTCACTTACCCTATCAAAAATTAATAAAAAATGTAATGCATTTAATAATGCAATAATAATAATTTTTGTTTATATAATTTTTTTGCAATTTTCAAATACACCTATTCACAAACTCTATAATCTATAACAAGAATAGAGCAAAACAGCTGTAAATTACTTCAGTGTACAATAAAAATAATTTAATAATAAAAATATAGGTCAGTCAGGTCAGTATCCTCAGCAGTGAATAAAGAGAGAACTTTAAAGCAAATGCCACAGTAAGGAAATAATTAAAAGGTTAAAAGATTAATTGAGATTGTATGGGAGTTAATGGCCAGATCGGGTAGTTATACATAAAGAACGGAAAACTAAGACCTGTTACCAAAAAAAGATTTCAGACCTACAGCACAACATTTTAGTAGATTTAAGACTTTTTAAGACCCTGCAGGTACCCTGAGTTAAAGGACAAACTGCTGCAGTCTTTAAAAATGTCCAGTAGGTGGCACACATGTGAATGAGCTCAGACTGTAAATATTTTTGATGCAGCTGCAGCACAGGCCACACACTTCACCAGGCAAACCAACATACTCAAGAAAACCGAGCAAACTATTTTAGGACTATTTGATGATTTAAAAGAAATGGAATAAAGTGTACTGCAAAAACAACTGCACAATCCTGTTTTCTAAAACCCCTCTTACATGTTGATGGATGCAGACAGCACTACATGAGCGAACAGCGCCATCTAGAGGCTGAGTGTGGTGTTTGACTGTAGTCTTCATTTTTGACAGTACAACATATTTCTAAAATTAATTACTGCTGAGGTAAAGTAGTGGCATGATTTCATCATTCCTTAATTAAATATATATATACAGTTGAAGTCAGTATTATTAGCCCCCTTTTATTTTTCCCTAGTTTCTGATTAACGGAGAGCAGATTTCTTCAACACATTTCTAATCATAATAGTGTTAATAACTCATCTCTAATAACTAATTTATTTTATCTTTGTCATGATCACAGTAAATAATATTAGACTAGATATTCTTCAAGATGCTAGTATTCGACTTAAAGTGACATTTAAAGGCTTAACTAGGGTAATTAGGGTAACTAGGCAGGTTAGAGTAATTAGGCAAGTTATTGTATAACGATGGTTTGCTCTAGGTTATCGAAAAAATATATTGCTTAAAGGGGCTAATAATATTGACCTTAAAATGGTGTTTAAAAAATTAAAAACTGCTTTTATTCTAGCCGAAATAAAACAAATAAGACTTTCTCCAGAAGAAAAAATATTATCAGAAATACTGTGAACATTTCCGTGCTCTGTTTATTATTATTATTAAATCAAATTATTATTATTATAATAATTATTATTAAATTATTTGGATATATTTAAAATAGTAATAATATTTTAACTGTAACTGAATATTAATGATGGATGAAACCTTATTAGATTCTTTTCCAAAATCGTTCCCCCAATGTTGTTCACAAAACATAACATACACTCACTTTGTTGTATAAAAGTTTTGATGGTTCTTTAATTTGAACGATTGAGCCTTTTCTCTACTAATGCCCACCTTTGCACTGTTTGTTGTTTATTTTTAACGTGCTGAGAGCCGTTAAAGATTCGTGAGAGTCGGCTTCAGCCACACACACAGTACATTTCTTAAATAATTTCAAGGTAAAGTGTAGCTGCAAGCAGCAATAATGGGGCCAAGCAGACCACAGGCTGAAAGAGCAAAGCAGTCCGGAGGCAGAATGAACGAAGGCACAAAATCAATGCCACAAGTCTTGAATTAAAAAGCTTGTTGAATAGCACAAACTGAAAACAAATAATGCACCGAATTAACAAGTGCTTGCATTTTAATGACTTGAATTGCAGGGTTTGTATTTTTAGGTCCTGAAATTTAACAGCTGTTTATTTAAGCTGTTAATAATTCAGCTAACAATATTTCAAACACGTTTTCATACTTATAAATTCAATAATTCATATTCAAATTCCAGATTTCACTTACAAAATATTGAATACTTTTTAAAAATATGATGTTTAATATTCAAAAGGCAATTTCAGTTCATTTTATTTCAGTTTCCATAAATTCAGTGGCTCAAATTCGACTGTTAAAAGTCGACATCACATCCGGGAACTGCAGGAAATGCAGTAGACTGCAGATTGAAGATCGCCTATGTAGGCTGCCATTCAAAATCGCAGAGGAAGACGAAGAGGAGGAGGTGGAGAAGAAGAAGAATAAGTGCCTTCGCAGCTTTGCTGCTTGGCCCCCAATCAGCATGGTACTCACCTCGTGTCTGAAGAAGGTCAATCTCTTTGGTTAAACAGTCAATATCAATCTGTAGAAGCCTGTTTTTACACCTCAACTGCTGCATCTCCTCAATCTGAAAATAAACAAACATTTGGTGCAATGACTCAAATATGCAACAAGATCATAATTTTTCTGCCTGTTGCTTGTTACTCATCAAGTCCAGCATGAAGTCACACTGATCCACATAAAGAAGGTACAGATCAATTCATGCAAGGACAAACAGATTCAAATAGTTTTATTCCAAGCGCAATAACCATTCCTAATGCAGACTCAAGGCAATTCTGATGCACTGGTCACATAATTAGATTATACCTTCACAATGTTGATTTACCACAGCAAAAAACACTTTCAAAACTGTCACAGTAACAGAGATGAGGGTAAAAGAGTTGACATTTTCCATCATTCTGTGCTTTAGCTCCTCAAACTAGACTCCACTTCATTAAAAACAGTAATATGACGAAAATGCATATGAATTGACTGAAATCTCACAGTAACAGAGTCGACACATAATTAACCCACTATTGCCTCAACGCCTTCCAGAATTACCAGCCACAGGAAGTGACATGGCTTTTCAGATTGTTCTGCCTTTTGATAACCGATCTAACAGAGTTAACCAGAACACAGAGGCAGACACTAAATGTGTTTTTAATACTGAAATCACAAATACTAAAGAAAACAGACATGTCATGCAAATGTTTTACTTGGTAAACACATGAAAAAGATGATAAATGAAGCGTTCATTATGTACTATTATTCAGAAGGCAGAGACGGTCAAAAATAGGTCTAGAGCAGGGGTGTCAAACTCAATTCCTGGAGGGCCGAAGCCCTGCACAGTTTAGTTCCAACCCTGCTCCAACACACTTACCTGTAGGTTTCAAACAAGCCTGAAGGACTCAATTAGATTGATCAGGTGTGTTTAATTAGGGTTGGAACTAAACTGTGCAGAGCTGCGGCCCTCCAGGAACTGAGTTTGACACCTGTGGGCTAGAGGGAGTAGTAAAATTTGTATTATTGAAATCTATTTCATTAAAGTTTTCATTTTCAATGAATAGGTTTATCACCCATATATATATATATATATATATATAAACAAACAGTTGAAACCAGAAGTTTACAAACACTAAGTATGGGAACATAACCATTTTTTTAAATGTCTGATGGCAAATAATACTAAATGTTTACTATTTTAGGTCTGTTAGGATTACCTAAATGATTTACATTTGCTAAATACCAGAATAATGAGAGAATTCTTTATTAATTTCTAGACAGTCAAAAGTTTACACACATTTCCTTGGTATTTTTTAGCTTTGCTTTTAAACTCTATAACTTTGGTCAAGTGTTTTGGGTCTCCTTCCACAAGCTTCTCACAATAGTTTGCAGGAATTTTGGCCCATTCCTCCTGACAGAATTGCTGTAACTGAGTCAGATTTGTTGGCTGTCTTGCTCACACAAGCTTTTTCAACTCTGCCCACACATTTTTTATGGGATTGAGATCAGGGCTTTGTGATGGCCACTCCAAAACATTCACTCTGTAGTCCTTAAAGCACATTTGAACTAGTTTGGTAGTATGCTTAGGGTCATGGTCTGTTCAGAAGATCCATTTGTGGCCAAGTTGTAATGTCCTGGCTGATGTGTTGAGATGTTGCTTCAGTATTTCTCCATAATGTTCTGTCTTCATGATGCCATCTATGCTGTGAAGTGGACCAGTCCCTCCTGCAGCAAAACAGCCCCACAACATGATGCTGCCGCCCCCATACTTCACAGTTGGGATGGTGTTCTAGGCTTGTTGATTTCCCCTTTGTCCTCCAAATGTAACGCTGCTCATTATGGCCAAACAGTTCAATCTTAGCTCCATCAGAGCACAGGACATGTCTCCAAACATGAGTCTATTCCCAGTGTCATTCAGCTAATGGTAATCTGGCTTTGTTGTTGATTCTGGCTTGTTGATTTTCCCATGTTGTCACACAAGGAAGCAGTGTGTTTGAGCTTTTCCTTCAATACTATTCTACAGCTGTGCCTCACATTAACTCAAACGTTGTTAATTAGCCAATCAGAAACCTCCAAAACCTTGACATCATCATCTGAGCTTTTCCAGAGGCAGAATAATCTGATTGTGTGTAAACTTGACTTCCAACAAGAGTTATAACAACTTCTCAAACAATATCTCTCTCGTTATTCTGCTATTAAGCAGTACAGAAACACATCTGATCATCCTGACTTACCTAAAAGAGTAAGAGTTTAGTCACATTAACATCCGACTTCTTTTAAATGGTTATGAGCCTTTTTATACAGCGTATAAACTTCTGCTTTCAACTGTATGTATAACATATAACCAGTTTAGCAAAGCACCATTTATTTGTGCCAAATCCAGTATCTAAACCCTTCAGAAAGTGAGAAGTGTTGGGAGTGCAGAAAAGGTGCAGAAACTCACAGATGGGATCTGACAGAAAGCGTTAGAGCGCTGCAGTCGTCTCCTGGTCAGATCACTCTCCATCTCATTCACCTCCTCTTTTAGCTTCTCCAGCTTTCTCTTCTTCAGCTCTAACTCATGCCACAATCGCTCCATTCGGGCTCTCTGATGCACTAGCAAAGCTGGACAAATACACAGATCATTATAAGACAAGTGCAGCGTTTATGTACACTTGGCTCACACACAGTACACAAATACAAATGCAGCTTCCACAATGTGAGGTTTTGAAATCGTATACATGAACAGCCGGATAAGGACTGGACTGTGGAAAACAGGATGTAAATGATGGTAGATAAATATCTATATATGATCATCTGCTGAGTAAGCTTTTAAAACTGAAGCTTTGAATGATCCTTGGTGGTTTAGTTTAGTTCTGTCTAGGGCTGGACGATATGGCAAAAATTGATATGATATATTTGTTAATTTTGGTCAATACGATGTAATTTCGATATCGATATGAACAATATTAAAAACACAGAGAAAAAACTGGCAAGAACGCACGCGATGGATGTCTACAAATGTCTGCAAACTGAATTTGCAAAGTCTTTAATACCTCCAGGCTCTTATAACTTTTTTGTTAATAAAAAAAAAGTACAAAAAAAATTAATGTTCACTTTTTATTTGCATTTGGCCTTTAAAAAACAGAACGTTGAACGTCCTTGAACGTCCTTTAAGGGTTCTATCTGTCTATTTATATTTGTGTATGTAATTACCTAATTAAATTAAAAAGTTTAACATAAAATAGTTCTTTTGTCAGCGCAATAGCCAAGTGGTTAGCATGCCGACATATGAAGCAGTAGCATGTCAGGGCGTCCCGAGTTCGAATCCCGGCTCGAGGACATTTCTCTACCCTACCCCCCTCTCTTTCTCCCACTTCGCTTTCTGTCCTATCTAATAAAGGCAAAAAGGGCAACAAAAAAAAAATTGTTCTTATATATTTTATATAGTCTATTTGTATAGACTAATATTTTATATAACACACAGGGCTCAACAATAAGGACTGCCTAGTGGCTCAGGTCACACATGTCAGAGACATCTGCATTTGCGCCCTCAAATGTGTCATTAAGCTTGACGTGTCCACCCCTACACACAAGTTTTGTAAAGCGTCTGCTTCACGTTGCCGTGTCAGAATCCTTGCTAGTAAAATACGCTTTAGAACTCTTCGTTTAAGCAAACTTGATGAACGCGATCATGCGTGTTGATCTGAAGAGAGTCGCTCTCGCTCACTGAATGCGCTGTACTGTGTGCGTTCCCTAAGCAACAAGAACAAACGGCTGACATCGGCTGTCCGTATTCCTCAAAGTTGTTTAGAATTAAATGTTTAGAAATGGTGTGACAACGCGTAACTATATGTGCCTTTGATGCACCCCTTGGTGCTTCTTACTTCCTTTTCGCAGCACCAGTGGCTCCGAAATAAGGCATCGAAATTCATATGCTAATTTGATCCGGTACATACCGATTACAAAGGTATCGGTGCTATAATGGCACCGGGTTTCAGTACACAACCCTAACTGAAGCTGCAAAAAGTCGTACCTTGTGTGTATGCAGCATCATCAGCACCCATGCTGAGTCTGCGGGGCTCCACGGCTTTGTCCCGCATCGGGTCCGGCTGGCTTATCTCCGGCTCTGCATAGTGGTGATCGGCAGGCAGGCTAAGCATGTTGTTCGGCTCAAACGTTGGCGACACCACTCCAGGAGACACTGATGGGGGTTTATTGGGGGACACAGTGATTTTAAAGGTGTATTTGGTGTTGGGCTGCGTTACAACCACCCGAGGCGATGTGGCCGTGCCTCCAGCTCCAACGGAGGGACGGGATTTGGGCGGGTGGTGGTGGATATACGCAGGACCCATGCTCATCTGGCTTCCCAAAGCCCGCAGGCCAGCGGGACCCTGCAGCGCGGGATTAGCAGAGATGTAGACTGTAGGCGGGTTCCTGCCCCCTCCGTCATCCGCAGAGGTGTTTGCAGAAAAGTAGATCTTCGGCTGCGAGCGAGGGGTGTTGGGGACAAGGGCGCAGTCCTCCGACGGGGCAGTAGCAGCAGTGGGTGGAGACGGAGAGATGTAGACGGTGGGCTGGCTGCGGCTGAGGCCTGCGCCGCCGATGGAGATGGGTGTGGAAGACCCGGAACTTGAAGCCAGAGAGGTGCAGGAGGAGGGGCAAGAAGAAGAGGTGGAGCTGCAGGCGGAGCGTGGGGCGGAGCTGGAGCGCAGGAGCGAGGATGAACCTGAACCCCTCTGGGGAGACTCCAGCTTTATCTCTATCTGGTTCTTGCGGGGGCCAGTGGAGATGTTCTGGATGTTATACTGGCTGAAGGAGGAGCCGGACGAGGGAAGAGGCGATGAGGAGACGGCCTGGGACGCCACCGCGGAGGGTATGGAGGGTGCCTGTGTGTTGGTGGGTGAGCTGATAGGCATGTAGACATGAGAGGTTTGGTGCTGGCTCCAGGAGCTCTGCGGTGCTGCAGGATGGGTGATCTGGTAGATCTGCTGCGCGGGCTGGGATGTGGGGCTGTACTGCGCTCGGCATTGCACCTGACGGGTCGAGCCTGGCTGTGTCACGTAGGGCCGAATATAGATGGAGTTGGGACTGTTCAGACCCGACTGAGGCCCTCCGTGAATGTGCAGGGAGGTAGGAGTATTTCGGCCGGTGTTGGGCGCCAGCGTTACCGTGATGGGGTTGAAGCGTGGGGCTTGAGGTGGCGCGTGACCTTTGCCCCCAACCTGGTACAGGCCCAGGTGCTGAGGAGGCTGCGGCTTGCGGGTGGACTCCATGCTAAGGCTGGCGGGCGTGTGTGTGGGCACAGAGGGCGTTTCAGGCTGGTAGAACTCAGACAGGGCGGACGGCACATTTAGGGGCCCGTCACTCACACTGGGGGCGAGAGTCCGGCTGCCGTTCATCCCGACTGCATCTCGCTGCACTGCACCATGGGTATTCTGGGAGACGCCAAGGTTGAGCTGGGTCATGTGATTGCGGAGATCTGTCAAACTCTGGCTGCCTTCACTGTACAGGAAACGAGGGCTCACCTTGGTCAGATACTCGCAGCACGCAGCCAAATCACTCTTGTTCTGAGGAAAGAAGAGAGAGAGAGATCTTTCAGAGTGAGCTTCTTAAGTTAAATTTAATATCTTTTATTATCTTTTTTAAAACCTTAAAGACAGTTAATACCAGCACCACTTAAGCCCCGTGCATGTTTCTTTTTTAATATAAATTTATATAACATTAATGCACATCAGTAACTCGCCAGTAACTTATTTAATGTATGTTCCTGTTAGAAAACATTGTAAATAATTAGAAATCCGGCGACCGCAATCATCAAACCCTTCGGAACAACTGTGGTCGGAACCAAAGTTCACAGGTCTGTGTTCTCTGAACTCCTATCAAGCGGTGGACGTCTTCATTCTGATTGCTTGCCGCCGAACCGCGTCATAGCTCATTACCATAAAGTTGACTTGATCTCAACTCTCCTCGACGCCCACATCGGCGAATATGCGCTCGCCGCTACTCCTCGCCGCTTATCGCCGCCGGCTCTCATTGAAAATGAATGATTTCTAGCTACTTTGACGCTCTTGCCGCTTTCGGTGTGAACGTACGTTAATACGTCTTGGTATTTTAGAACGAAAATGATCCACATCCTGTTTTACCTAGCATTTCTAAACAGCCCTCTGTCCGATGAAAACGCAGATCACGTGACCCCACACACACAACCCCACCCACTGCGTGCTGCACACTGTCATGCGCTCCTCTGAGCTCCAGAGACAGAGAGCAGTGCACGTCGGACAGTTTATAGTCGTCTCACTATAGTAGTTAAACGTGATATTCAGACATCCCAAGTCTCCTGGAAGTTCCGGGAGTCTCTATGCATTTGCGGGACTCGTAATGCCTGCAAACGAGTGATAATCTCATCTCAAATCGCACGTTTCCCTCCCGGTCCTCAAATAAGTCACGCACTATTCTCACCCCCGGATCCCTCGTCGCTCTTCAGAGCACGTCACGCGCACTCTATCAAACAGCACCCCCCCCCCCCTACCCCATACCCCCCTGGTTTTCACATGATGACGATGCCATCGTCCATCGCGATGTTTCACATTAGACATCGTACGATGCCAAATTGGTCGACATCACCCAACCCTAGGGGACACCCTTGCTTTGTCCAGGATGCCCTCTCCCTTTATTTAGTTGTATTTAACAAAGACCATGCACATATTATACACACAGACATCACCTTTTTAAAAAGCACACAGTATATAAACATAGTTGACCTTCAGTATAAACTGTATACAGTCCACCCTGTACACAACACCTTAATGTTCTGATTTTGAATTAGATTTACTTCTAAACAGCTTACAGTAAGATTATGTATTAAATACCTTTACACATACAAAAATGAAGGAGGTTTTTGCTACAATTTTAGTTAGTTTCACCTAGTTTTTTTATGTACACAATGCAGTTTCGGTTAGTTCTAGTTTTTTAAAAACTCTCGTTTTTATTTTTAATTCAGTTAACGACAATTACTTTAGTTTTCGTTTTCTGTTCGTTTTCGTTAACTATAATAACCTTGCTTTGAAATCAAAAAACGATTATTATTATTATCATTATAATAAAAGTCAATAAGGCAAAAACAGCCACCAACATCACGAAAGAGGCCCTCATCCAGCCAGTGTTTGTGCAGAGCAGCTCTCACCTGTAGGACACACTCACACACCACGTCCTCTGGTACTTCTGGAAACTTTTGCCGCAGGTGGTGCAGAACCTGGTTGTCAATCTGCTGGTTTCCCTGTGCCATTCGTCAAATGCCAAAACCGAACGGACTTGACCACAGCACATTCGCTCACACTATCATAGCATCTTCTGGAAAAAAGAAGAACGAGAAGGAAAAAACAGTAATGTCAATGAAACACTTTGCTGCTGATGGGCTTATATGGGGCCTTGAGGTATCGACGACTGATGAAAGCGGTCACTGCTGCTCAAAACCCCAACAGGCTGATGGGTAGGCTCGCTAATACTCAGACTATGGTCCTAGACCACAAATTGGAAAATATCAAGGTGAAACTAGCAGCTTTGCAACAACATTTGGCCAGATCTGGAGACGAGTGACGGACATTAAATATCTGTAAAATTTGCAGATATTGACCCAAAGTTGAAGTACTTTTCTACTCTTTCGGCTCCCCTTTGTTTTCCTGCAAGACGGCCTCGGCTCAAGAAAAACAACTTCTCCCGGAGAGCAAGATAAGGAGACACTCTGAAATTCCTGCTCCCTGGCTGCAGGACCAGATGGCTGCCCGCAGTTTAAAGGGCACATAGGTTACCCCTTTTTTCATATTTAATATAAGTCTTTTGTGTCCCCAGAATGTGTCTGTAAAGTTTCAGCTCAAAACTCACATTAGAGTATTTATGATAGCTGTCTGAAGTGTCTGTATTATAGCTGGGAAAGGGTTGTTGCTGTTTTTTGCACTGGGCCTTTAAGGCGAGTCATCCTCGCCTACGGATCCCACGTGCCCGACAGCATGCCTCAACACGCCCTCGGCTGTCTCAGGAAGCAGATCTCGCGTAACGTTTGTGAGAAATACTACAGTAAGAACTTTACCAATCAGTATTTGATGCATTTTTTTGTGGAGTTGCAACAATGAGTTCACGCACACACATATCGCAGACACACACACACATAGCACAGGCACGTAGCAAGACACACACGCACATACAACGTAGAGGCGCAGGCAGACACACACACACATAGCACAGACAAGTAGCGCAGACACACACACGGATACATAGCGTAGAGACGCAAGCAGACACACACACACATAGCACAGACAAGTAGCGCAGACACACACACACATACATAACGTAGAGACGCAGGCAGACACACACACACATAGCACAGACAAGTAGCGCAGACACACACACACACACACATATAGGTAGAGACGCAGACACACACACCCACACACAGAGAGACACGAGGCTGTGGTTATGAAGTGAATGGCTGTACTTCATTACACACGTGCACACGTTTTAAAACATGTTAAACTTGTCAAACTCACTCTTGATCACGTCTGATGATGATTGATGATCCTAGCGAACTGAACAGACCTTTTATTCCCGGTTGCTTTGCGCTCGTCCTGTCTTGTCGATATGAGTATATGCATTACTATGCAGGGCTCAACAATAAGGACTGCCCGATGGCCCGGGGCCAGCGTGCGAGATGCTCGGGACAGTAGACAGGATCGTTACTGCCCGATTGGGCCACTAATGCCCTGTCACTGTGATGTTTTGTACAGTTTGCCGTTAGTTTGGCAGGTCAGTCATCTTTTGTTTTGCAAAAAAAATACCTGCACATTTTGCTACTTTTGTTTGCAGAACACTTTATTAACATTTTTTAAATATTTAAATTCTAGATTTACAAACATTTTGACATTTTTTTTATTTGTGGCTAAGAAATAGCTATTAACTTTTTTTGGTGGGGCCAGTGACAATATTGGCAGGGCAAGTAAAAATCTGAACCACTGGTCCGATCGGGCCAGTAGAAAAAAATCCTTAGCGTTAAACCCTGCTATGGAGACATGTTAATGCGCGCAGCTGTCAATCAATATGGGTGGGCGGTGAGATTGCACTCCTACGTAAAGTTGCGGTCGATCTGAAAACCGATCCAATTAGTCCACCGTTTATATGTCGTTAAATTTGAAAAAAAGGACTGTGTGTGTTTATATCAGCTCAATACGACAGTCTATACACTATACTTACACACATGTCTGTCCAAACAAGTGAAGCATTTACTACTTTTAGAAGATCCATTTCTAAACAGTCAAACACAGATTTGAAGAATGATGTGGGGAGCGTGTCAAGACTGCAGGTTGACGTTTTCATAATTTGCACGACCTCTTCTAAGATTTTACCTTTACTTGCCATGAAATCAGACATAATGCCTGATTTCTTAAGTTGTGGTTGAGCTTAAGCGTACAGTTTAAAATCTTAACTAGGCTAATTAAGCAAGTTAATGGACAACAGTTTCATTAATGCAAAACATAAAATCAACAATTGCATTTAAACTTTTCTTTTAATAAATCAGACGAATAAACCATGACAAAGCCGAAAAACCTAATAAAAGTCTCATCTGCCCTGACAGCATTTTTAAGTCATTACTGGTGCTGTTTCAACATGCAGTTAACGCTGCCTTCTGAAGCCTGGAGTAAAGGAGTGGTAAAAACACTGATTGCTTCATGCACTTCATCTTCATTTGTATGATTCTCAGGCAGATCACAGGCAAATAGAGACGATAATCCTTGCCGTGCGCATTTAATAAAGCTCAAATCCAGCATTGACACAGCACAATTATAACTGCTTAATGTAATGAGATGTTGGGACTTGCGCTCATTTTGTATTGTACAAATGTAAAAAGATTTAAATGAAAGTTATTAGGTAACTAAATCAGGGGTGTCCAAACTCGGTCCTGGAGGGCCGGTGTCATGCAAAGTTTAGTTCTAACCCCAATTAGACACACCTGGGCTAGCTAATCAAGCTCTTACTAGAACTTTCTAGAAACATCCTTGCAGGGGTGTTAAGGCAAGTTGGAGCTAAAATCTACAGGACACCGGCCCTCCAGGACCGACTTTGGGCAAATCTAATAAATGTTGGAGACATACTTGCTACATAAACGACTGGATGACAAAATATATATATATTTAGATGGATATACAGTAACATTGGACATTCGTTTGGACAAAAAAATGTACAAAAGCAGTTTGACCACAGCTTAGATCCATGGTCTCAAAGTCTATTAATGGGAGGGCCTCAGCAGAGTGTAGCTCACACCAGCTCCAACTCACACTTGTTTAAATTTACTAGTAGGCTTGAACAGCTTGATTAGTTGCATCAGTTGTGTTTGCGTAAAAGAGTAAAACTGAGGAGACATGGGCCGGTATAAGATTCAGTATAAGAAGCACGGCATGCCTGGATGAAGGTGCAGAAGCTATTTGCTTTTCAAATGTTTGCTGAATCGTGCGCAGACCAGTCGCTTTTGATGGGGATTTGTTGCTTGAAACTGTTGTCCTAAAAGAATAAAATATAAAAATAAAATGTCTCTGACAGCATGTTAAAAATGGTAGACAGACAGACAGACAGACAGACAGACAGACAGACAGACAGACAGACAGACAGACAGACAGACAGACAGATAGATAGATAGATAGATAGATAGATAGATAGATAGATAGATAGATAGATAGATAGAAAGATAGATAGATAGATAGATAGATAGATAGACAGACAGACAGACAGACTGTTTGAGATCTATGGCCTAAATATTGGCAAAAGCAGTTTCTGAATAAATTTCAGTCATGAAAATAAATAAGTGGGCATCAATAGTTTTACACCGAATCTTAACATCTCCACTGAATCTCATCCCTGTAAAACAGATCACTGTATAATTACTTTCTCACTGGCATAGTAACACTTGCTCCAATGTTACAGCTCAAGATGCACTAGATGGCGCTATGGAGTCATCTGCATATTCAATAAGGTATATAGCATATATATTTGACTTTTTATGAATAAAAAAAAATGCAATGCAATCATCACCCACTAAGTGCACTACATCTGCACACTGCGCAGTAGAGGAGAGAAAGAGACGAACTGCAGGAGATGCTCTGAGTCTGCAGCATTTCAACACAAACATTTTCAAGACTACAGAAACTCGAAGCTCTTCAGGGCAACTCATGGGGGAAATTCATGATAAATTAAAGCATTTGTGATATATTGGTGAATTGTACAGCAGAATCTACTTCAAATTACAGTAATACTAATAATATGTACGCTGAATAATAGTTTCTTTTTCCGCACCTTAACTTTAAGTGAATCTCTGTTTTTTATATATATATTTCGATCTTTGCATTTAATGAAGCCACTAAAATGTTAAACTAATTTATTAACAAATAAGTAAACACATTTAAAAAAGGACAAATATAACTTTATTTTATAGGGCCATAAGATAGATTCTGGTCAATCAACTCTACATTTGTACTTGAAATATGAATAAATACTTCATTATAAAAGAAATTCTGCAGTGTGCATGAATAAATAAGGTATTTAAACATCGCTTCCACTTTAAAAGAGAAGATGAGAGCTAATAAAAACTGCTCCTGCTCCAGACTGGGTTAGGTTCATAGAGTAAGTGACCACAGTAACTGACCTGGGCATGAGTTACCTCGCTTGTATGAACAGGCTTGACTTACTCTGCTTTGCCAGGTTTGACATTTACATTTATTAGTTCTTTCAACTAGGTGGGTCTGGAAAGCTTGCGCAAGCCTCCATTGAAAATAACGAACTTGCCCCCGTAAAACACGCAATATGTGAATGGCCCTTAGTTAAAACTCTAAAGGCTGATTTATACTTGTGAGTCAAACGCCGGCGTATGCTACGGCGCTGACGCATAGCCCTTGGCCGTGGCCGTCGGCGTCGCTGACGTGCACCTCTCAAAAAATGTAACTACACGTCGCAACGACGCGTAGCGTAAGCTCTGTGATTGGTCGGCTTGGTAGCGCTGACGAGTCTGGGCGGGACCGAGAGCCGTGCGAATGGCGCGACCCCGATGGAACGATTGTTTACAAGTGTGGAGTCCCTTGAAGGAGCTCCAGATGGAAAGTTTTGTTTTGTGTTTACCTCATGGTTAAAGTTGTTGCACGTCCGCCGGTTCCTGCTTCAAAATGAGCGAGTTTGAGTGACTTGTACATCCAGGAAGTGTTCAGGAAAACAAAACAGCAGCAAAGAAACTCGACACAGAGGAACATTTACACCTCACTGCCAACTAGCGTTTCGGAAGTGTTAATGCAGACCGACAGAGACAGCGCGCAGAAGTATAAATGCACAGCCATGCGCGTTGCATGCGCCGTGGGTTACACCGGTCACTTGACGCAGAAGTATAAACCAGGCTTAAGCGATAGTTCATGTAGTGTGTGCATGGGTATTCGCCTCGGTGTGCAAGCTTGGAACTTTAAACTAGCGCACAGTGGGCATAACTTTAGGTTGCAGCAGATTTTTTTCCATGCAGAAGCCTTTACGATTAATTAACCGTGACGAATTAAATCGCGGTTAATAGTGAAATCGGTTAATCGTTGCATACCTAATCGTCACTTTAGAATTCTAAGGTTTTATCTGACATTTTTTGTCAAAATGGAGTTATCGATTTATTCGTATTAAATGACAACTTATTGTTTACATTAAGACTTAAAAAAACAAAAACAAACGTTGCACACACACTGTTTGCTATATGGATTGCAAAAACTTTGAAGCTCAATGTCTCAAAATCATTCAGAACGCAGGGGGAATCTTATAATTCCAAGGTGATGATATGTTTGACAATAGCCTACTCATATTAACCTTTATTTTACATATACACAATCGTGATCTTGATTTTAAGCTAAACAAATCCTGATTCACATTTTAGCCAGAATCGTGCAGCCCTACAAGGTTTACATGGAATTGCTGCAGTGCATACTGCAGTCTTTCATGTACCACTTCTGAAATATGACATACCATGAAGACAAATATGATTACCAAGAAGTTTAGACATAATGCAGGGTTCAACGCTAAGGATTTTCTCTACTGATCCATCCGGGCCAGTGGTTTAGATTTTTACTTGCCCTGCAAAATTTTTTACTGGCCCCACCAAAAAAAAAAAAAAAAGAAAAGAAGTTAATACTTTTTTTTGCCAAATATTTAAAATAATATGTCAAAAATAGTCTGTGAATCTAGCATTCCAAAAGTTAATAAATGGTTGAGCAAAATTCTTAGTGTTATGCAATAAAAACGTCAAACATCATCAGGGAAACGGTTTGAATTTCCGCTTAGTAAAAAAACAGTGTGCCATTTGGGACGACACTACATACATATACTATACTGTTGAGTAAGTGCATAATAGTGCATAGTGTGCCATTTGAGACGCAGCTTAGGTTATGGGGAAAAACAGCATGCTCAAAACATCACGGACGAACCGAAAAGCAATATAGCATCTACGACATCACAGAGAAGATAGCATTTAAAGACTTAAAAGCACAAACTTAAAATGCACGCAATTGACAAAAAGTGGCAGGCAAATTAAACTTTAGTGACAAGGCAGCACTGTCCTAATCGGGCCAGTAATGATGCTGTCTACTGTCCCAAGTGTCTCTCACGCTGGCCCTGGGCCACCGGGCAGTCCTTATTGTTGAGCTCTGTAATGGAGCACTTATCATAATGGACATGTTTTAAAATCTCTTTCTGTGTATTAAAAACATCTAATCCAGGAATGAAGCATTGCATTTGTGTAATGTCACAGATTTAAGTGGCACTGGTAAACGTGTATTATTCTGTCCTGAAAGCTGGACTTTTTATTCTAGACATAACAGAAATTGCTTTTATATTATTTTATCATATTGTTTCAATTAGAAACGAGTGAAAGATCTGCCTGACATAAACAGAGCAACTATACTTCTGACAGGCAGAGCTTTCATTTGTTTTGAAAGGCCTGATTACCTTAAGAGTTGTTTCCTTTAAGAAGCAGATGACAAAACTAATAGAAAATCCTACTCCTGTCATTGCCCTGACGATCGATCAATAGTTAATGCAAAGAAATCATGCAACCATGAAAGAAACTTCAGTTTACTAACATGGCAGGCTGCAACTTAGGATCATTCTATCCTGAAACATTTGTTCAAAATCACACAGGAATAGGCTCAGTAACTTTACTAAGCACATAGACGGTGTAAAGCATAATTTAGACGTCAACAGACTAAAAAAATCTAAACAACGAGTTAGTGAATCAACCCGATCAGAGTAGACCGGATGCGGGGACGCAACAGGCTGGGGAAAGTTTTACAACTTTCTCATTGCGTTGTTAGCCTATAAGTGTGTGCACTAGCAATCAGAGCAGACATTACAGACGAGCAGAAAGCCAAACAATACGACTCAGTCAGCCGAGCTGTTCGGCGTCCTTCTCGATCTCGTAAACAGCCGAAAGGCCTAGAGTGAAGCGTTTTTCTCACCGTGTTGGGCGCCGCTCCCCGGGCCGCCTGCAACCCCCGAGACGCCGCGGCGGAACTGTGCTGGGCCGGGCCGCCAGCAGAACCAGGCCCGCTCGGGTACAGACCGCGGTGGGGGAGAAACACACGCCGCCCCGCTGCTTCTCAGACTCGGGAAATCTTCTGACAGCTCTTCTGCTTTTCCCCCCTCTGCTCCCCCTTATTTTCTCTCTTCCTTTTCACTTCCAACAGATAAGAATCAAAATAGTGTCACACAATATGGCGGCCGTGCAAGTAAGCGCCTATCGCGAGACTTTTCTCGGTCTTTTTTCCTCCTTCGCGCATCATCACACAGGGAAAGCTAACTTGCAAACCGCACTATGGAGAAGTCATACAGCTTCACGAACTCAGATTCGAGATTCTTCGTGACATTACAAATACTGATAACGAGTGCATTATACCGCGAGGAGGTTTAGAAAATATATATTAGAAAAATAAAATAAAGCACCCAGTCAAGAAAGCTAACATTGTGTTGTTGTTGTTGTTGTTGTTGTTGTTGCAAACACTGTTTTGGTTGTTGGAATGATAAAATGTCCATGAAGTTTTTTTTTTATTATGTCCTAAGGAAAAAAACTGCTTAAACCAGCCTAGGCTAGTTGGCTGGTTTTAGAGGGGTTTTGGCCACTTCCAGACTGGTCTTAGCTAGTCAGGCTGGGAGATGACCAGCTAAAACCAGCCTAGCCAGGCTGGGAGCCCTGCCAAAACCAGCTATGTCCAGTTTAAACCAGGCTGGTCAAGCTATTTGTAGCTGGATTTAGCTGGTCATTTTCCAGCCTGACCAGGTAAGACCAAATGGCCAAAACCCCTCTAAAACCAGGCTGGTCAACCAGCTAAAACCTAGGCTGGTTTAAGCTGGATTTTTCAGCAGGGGTATTTTATTTATTTTGTTTATAATAAAGATATCTGCAAATGACACAACCCAGCTAGCAAAATTCATGTGGTTCAAATCCGGCCCACACCAGACACTTGCATCCGGCTCACATACCACCTGGAATGATTGCAATTGGGCGGTCCACTCCTGTTTGCCAGATTTGGGCCACAATTTAGCAATAGCAATATCAAATATCAGCTAGAATTCAACCAAATGAACCAGAACTGACCCTATTCTGGGCCACAATTTGCTTTTATTCTGGCCCAGATCCGGCCCACACCAGACACTTACATCTGGACCGCATGCTGAATGGAATGATGGCTCTACGGGGGTCCGCTTCTGTCAGTCAGATCTGGGCCACAAATAAGCCAAAGCAATACCACATATCAGCCAGAATTCAACCAAATGAACCAGAACTGACCCTATTCTGGGCCACAATTAAGCAGATTTTAATATTTTAAGAACCATTTTAAGGTCAATATTATTAGCCCCTTTAAGCTAAATTTCTTTTCGATAGTCTACAGAACAAACTATCATTATACAATAACTTGCCTAATTACTCTAACCTGCCTAATTAACCTAGTGAAGCCTTTAAATGTCACTTTAAGCTGAATACTAGTGTCTTGAAGAATATCTAGTCAAATATTATTCACTGTCATCATGACAAACATAAAACAAATCAGTTATTAGAGATGAGTTATTAACACTATTATGATTAGAAATGTGTTGAACAAATCTGCTCTGTGTTAAACAGAAATTGGAGGAAAAATAAACAAGCGGTCTAATAATTCTCACTTCAACTGTAGGTGCTGATATTAGGGTGGAAAACGGTAGAATATGTCTTTATTAGCTTACAGCTTGACTGCATAGTTGAGAGCCAAGAAGCAGAGACAGGACAGAGAGAACAAGAAAACAGAGCAAAGAAAGCCCACCAATGCAAACTCAAACGTAAGAAGCTATTTGGGCACAATCTACATTGTATAAGAGCTATTAAAATGTATGACTTGACTGTAGCAATAGTAAACACAACTTAAGGTCAGTGAACTGCATACACTGTTTTATTACGTTCCCCAAATAGATTCCATAATGTTTATGTGTAATTTTATTTGAAAAACCAATGAAATGTTGTATATAAAAAATGACAGTCTCTTAATACATGTTTTAGGTCAGTAATCAAACAGGAACTTGTCTGTGGATGTACAAAGCCTCGCCATCAGTCCCGCAAACTAAACACTGCTCAAGCACATCAAGGCTGTTGACAGACAGGGTCTGGCTGGGGAGCATATGAGTTGCCTCCAATCTGCTTTTGCTGGAGTCCCCAGCGAGCCAGGCACTGACCGCAGAGTCATTTTCTCCAGCAAGCGATATGGCACTTTGTGAGACGACCCTACTGTGCCAGCCCTCTGCAACAAAGCAAAAAAAATTCAACTGAATTGAGCACAGGTGAACTCAAACAGAGTTTAAGAATGATCAGTGGAGACAGAATGAGCTCAATTTTCAGCTTCACGCTAAAGGCTTACTGATTTACATGTGATTTATCAGCTTTTTTATTTGTAATAAATTTGCAACAATTTCAAAAACTCTTTTTTCACATTGTCATTATGGGGGATTGTGTGTAGAATGTTGAGGAAATCAATCAATTTAATCCATTTAATAAGGCTGCAACATAGAGAAATGTGGAAAAAGTGAAACGCTATCAATACTTCCGAGGATGCGCTGTATACCACATTGCTACGATGTTTTTGGTAATCTGATCACACATTTCTATTCTACATATTATTTTTCGTAAGTGTGCAGCGAAATCATTGCTTACTCTGTAGAAGTGTGCTCACGTCTGATCCTGAAGTGCTCTCCCAGTGTAGCAGAGACCCGTCCTCTGAGCATGTAAACAAGTGATTGGGGTTGGATGGATGAAAATGTACTTCCCACACTGCAGAGAAAATAGATCTGAATCAGTGCCAATGCCACCAAATTATTGACATTTTAATTTACTCGCCATTAGCTTATGCCAAACCGATATTTTTGGAAGAATGTTGGAAACTGCTAGCCGTTGAGATCCAAATTTGGGAAAATATACAAAGGAAGATAGTAGCTACTGAATTTACATTTAGTCATTTAGCAGACACTTTTATCTAAAATGACTTACAAATGAGGACAAGGAAGCGATTTACACAACTATAAGAGCAACAATGAAGAAGTGCTGTAGGCGAGTTTCAGGTGTGTAAAGTGTAAGAAGCAAAGCATTAGTAATTTAATTTTATTTTTTTGTAATACAGTTAGCGGTGGAGCCAGAGAGGCAATTGCAGATTAGGAAGTGAAGTGAAGACTAAATAGTTGAGTTTTTAGTTGTTTCTTGAAGACAGCGAGTGACTCTGCCATTCTGATGCAGTTAGGGAGTTCATTCCACCAACTGGGCAGATTGAACGCGAGAGTTCGGGAAAGTGATTTCTTCCCTCTTTGGGATGGAACCACGAGGCGACGTTCATTCACAGAACGCAAGTTTCTGGAGGGCACATACATCTGCAGAAGTGAGAGCAGATAAGAAGGAGAAAAGCCAGAAGTCGTTTTGTAGGCAAACATCAGAGCTTTGAATTTGATGCGAGCAGCAACTGGCAGCCAGTGCAAACGGATGAGCAGCGGAGTGACATGTGCTCTTTAAGGTTCATTAAAGACCACTCGTGCTGCTGCGTTCTGAAGCAGATGAAGAGGCTTGATAGAGTTAGCTGGAAGCCCAGCTAGTAGAGAGTTGCGATAGTCCAGTCTGGAAAGAACAAGAGCTTGAACAAGGAGTTGAGCTGCATGTTCAGATAGGAAGGGTTGGATCTTTCTGATGTAATAGAGTGCGAATCTGCAAGATCGAGCAGTTCTAGAAATGTGCTCAGAGAAGTTTAGTTGGTCATCAATCGTTACTCCAAGACTTTTCACCATTTTGGATGCAGTAATAGTTGCCCCATCCATCTGGATTGAAAAGTTATGATGAAGAGTCGGGTTGAAACTTCAAGCATTTCCGTTTTCGTGAGGTTAAGCTGAAGATGATGATCTTTCTTCCAGTGTGAAATGTCTGACAGGCAGGCTGAGATGCGAGCCGGAACCGAGGGATGATTAGCGTGAACTGCAGCAATCCTAAAATATCTTCTATTGTGTTCAACAGAAATAAGACACTTGTACAGGTTTGGAGCAAGTGTAGGATGAGTTTGCATGAACTATTCCAGGGGTGGCCAACCCTGTTCCTGGAGAGCCACCTTCCTGTAGATTTCAGTTGCAACCGATATCAAACACACCCGCCTGTAATTATCATGTGGTGTTCAGGTCCTTACTAATTGGTTCAGGTGTGTATGATATGGGTAGCAACTGAAACCTGCAGGAAGGTGGCTCTCCAGGATCAGGGTTGGCCATCCTTGAACTATTTCTTTAGGATTGCACCAACTAAACCTCTAAGGGATGTTTTGAAATGTAGACCATCTCACATGGACAAAAGGGCAGTGTCCGTTTTTTGTCCCCAGCACAAATGCTTGCAGGTGTACAGTTATAAACTGGTCAAAGTATAACATCCTTCTGCCAAAATCAAGTTGTAATATCTCCTTAAAATATATTATGGTAGCACTCTATAATAACGGCACCTGTATCTATAAATCATTTATTAAGCATTAGCAAATAGTTAATTCATTATTTGTTAAGAATTAAATGTGCAGTATGTACGGTTGATCAAGGTATTGCCCTCCTGGTTCAAAACACATGCAAGCACAGGTTGCCAGATTGACGACACCAACAGGAGAGTGCCTGATTGTCGAGCCTAAAGGCTGATTTAGATCGTTGTAATTACCCAGCAGGGCTAATAATTTAGTCTTCAACTGTATGTGTGGCATTTTTATTTTTTAAAAGCATCGAACAGGTACTCACTTTCTGCTGAATGTGCCTCGGTGAGAGAGAAAGGCGTGTTTCCCTGTCTCACATCCCAGATACAAAGCATCCCATCCTGCCCTCCTGTGGCAACTATGTGCTGCTGGTTTGGGTGTTTGTCCACACAGTGCAAGGGCACTCTATCCCCGGTGCTGCAGGAGCAGAATAAAATAAAGCACAGAAAAAAGACCAACTTAAGCACATGTCAGTTTGTCAGCGAGCGCCCTGAAGTCCGTTTATAGACTAATGTTAGCTTTTCAGTTCTCGCGTTTGCATTTAAGATTCAAAAGTGCTCAAAGTTGTATTTCCTTGTGAGGATTATCCGGCTGGACAAAACGTGTAAGTGTAATGAACAGTGTTTGAACACAGAGCTTACTATTTGCACTCTTCGAAAAGCCTATGGGAAAATCCTAAAGGGATTTTATTCAGGGAACCAGTTTTATGCTAGCAGCCGATTCGCCTACAAGGTGACATCATAGTTCCTCCACTCTATAGCGTTAATCTATACAGTTAATCGCAATAAGACAATCTGATATGTCATAAGCCTATTTTAAAGATAATAGGAGTAAATAAAACATACAGTGAGAGAATCTGCGCAGGACTGTCACTCTGCTGTCTGAAGTCCCACATCTTCAGCTGACCGATGGAGTTCACAGTCAGAACTTCAGTCGTCCTCAGAAACGTTACAGCATGAATTGTACTGCTGTCTGCATTTTCTGTAAGAAAAGGGAACAACTATTATTACTTTTTGTATTTCTGACACACATCTGCACTACAGGTCATGTCTAAGCACTTTTTTCCCAGAACGCAGCCGCACGAGTGGTCTTTAATGAACCTAAAAGAGCACGTCACTCCGCTGCTCATCCGTTTGCACTGGCTGCCAGTTGCTGCTCGCATCAAATTCAAAGCTCTGATGTTTGCCTACAAAGCGACTTCTGGCTTTGCTCCTTCTTATCTGCTCTCACTTCTGCAGATGTATGTGTCCTCCAGAAACTTGCGTTCTGTGAATGAACGTCGCCTCGTGGTTCCATCCCAAAGAGGGAAGAAATCACTTTCACGAACTCTCGCGCTCAATCTGCCCAGTTGGTGGAATGAACTCCCTAACTGCATCAGAACGGCAGAGTCACTCGCTGTCTTCAAGAAACCACTAAAAACTCATCTATTTAGTCTCCACTTCACTTCCTAATCTGCAATTGCCTCTCTGGATATACCACTAACTGTACTAAAAAAATTAATAAATAAAAAATTACTAATACTTTCCTTCTTAGACTTTACAGACCTGAAACTTGCCTACAGCACTTATTCATTGTTGTTCTTATAGTTGTGTAAATTGCTTCCTTGTCCTCATTTGTAAGTCGCTTTGGATAAAAGCGTCTGCTAAATGACTAAATGTAAATGTATTTAAAAGAGACATTCACCCACCCACCCACAATAAAGACTCTGTATTGAATACTTGGTCACCTTCACTCGAGCTGTTTGGTATGACACAAATCACATATGATTAAGTCTCCCCTCGACCGCCATCTCCTGGTTTGTTTTAGATACAAACAGCTAGACACATTTTGAAGAGCTATATGGTGGGGAGAGCGTGGCCGAACACCCAGGAAGGTGGGAGAGCGAGTGGAGACTCCAGCGGCTGGCCAGTAGCCCAATCAGAAATAATTAATAAGACCTGTTTTCTCTTGCGATTGGGAAGAGATTGGGCAGGGGTGTCAACACTCAGTCCTGGAGGGCCGGTGTCCTGCATATTTTAGTTCAACCTCGATTAACACAGCTAATCACGCTCTTTCTGGGTATACAAAAACTTCCAGGCAGGTGTGAAGGAAGTTGGAGCTAAACTATGCAGGACACTGGCCCTCCAAGACTGAGTCTGGACACTCCTGCACTAAAGAATTACTGCAAAAATAAAGAAAATTACCACTTTATTACTTAATTATCACCTTATCGTCAACCCCGTCTTCTTCTTCCCACAACAACAAACCTTCAAATCCAAAACCACTGTGGTGTTCCCTAGACAAAGCTCATAGATTTGTAACACAACAAGAACAAAACAGAGAATCATTTATAAGAGAATAGCTCTTATTAAAGGGATAGTTCACCCAAAAAAATGAACATGTATCCACCATTTGCGCTCCCTCAAGTGCTTCCAAACATTAAAAGGAGCTATTCTGTGTTCAACTGAAGACAGAAACTCAACAGGTTTGTCACTTTAAGTGAAGCTGTTTTGGAAAAATGAAACAAGATTTGCACATGCGCCACAAAACACTTACCAATAACGCGCGTGACCTCCGCCTGATCCGCCTTGTAAAGAATAACTCGCCCGTCCTCACCCACGGACACTATTTCAGGACTTCTGCACACTATGGCTGTGCACGGTGCATTATCACAGGAACACCGATGAGCTCTCTCCCACACGTGAGCCAATGACAGAGCCTGGAAAACAACATCACAATCAGGCCTGAGCCATATGACGAAAATCCCATATCATGACACAAGTCATCTCCTTTACTGATAATGCTGCGCTGTTCTTGCCAGGGCCGGTGCAAGCTGAACTGCCGCTCTAGGCAGAGGACGATCACGCCGCCCTCAATACCAATGTGAAAACGAAAGTGACCGGTTATGAAAATGAAGTGAGATGTCGTGGACCTCTTTTCCGGCGCACTATGCGCGGATATAACTGAGGACGCGCGGGTGCTGAGGGAAGGAGGGAGGTGTCGCGGACACTGGGCTCTTTATTATGCAGCCCTATGCGCGGATATAACTGCGGACGCGCGGGTGTCGCGGACCTCAATTCTGCCGCCCGACACGCGGATGCTGATGGAGGTGTCGCTGACGCCGCCCACTCTATTCTGTCGTCTACGCGCGAATATATCTGAGGATGTGGGTGGTGAGGGAGGTGTCGCGGACGCCGCCCACTCTATACTGCCGCCCTAGGTGGCCGCCTAGGTCACCTCTATGGACGCGCCGGCCCTGGTCCTTGCTAACGAATGCACAAGGCTGTCCAAATTAAGACATTTGCACACGACTCATCCCCAATACCGCGAAAGTTTGATAAAGTCAAACCTACTCCCTATTTTATCTCGATATCCGGTATTACTGCGCAGAATAAAAAAAATTATGACGCAAGACATAGATAGCGTCACCAAACTGTTGGCTTGTGCCTAAACCACTCAGAAACTGAATACCATATATGCGACCTTAAGGCTCCGACACACCGGGACGCTTTTCATTTGCGTTTATCGTCAGCGTTTAACGAGACGTTTTTCTGTATTCAAACCCAAGCGCTTTTCACTGGCATCAAGCTGAAGAGTATGCTAAATCACTCTTTTGACGTCAGATAGCACTATACAACTTTAAGCTTCCGACACCTGCTTGTGACACAGAAGAAGAGGAGAAAAGGAAGTTGACAAGCTTGTTGTTAAAGTTACTGGTGACTCGAACAAGCATGGATGGTTGAAGCAGCAGCTCTAGCAATGAAGAAATGATTATTCAGCAGTGCAATAAGCAACTCCACGTTCATATCGCCTTTGGGCATCTTCTTCAATGTGCGCTCGCATTGACAGTTTTGCGCTTGAGCGCCTCCAAGTGCTGTTTACGGTAACTTCAGCAGCTCTGTGCACGTGAATAAAAGTGCCGATCTGATTGGTGGAGAGGATTTTGATGCGGCGCATTTTTTCAAAATGACGCTTTTCCGCATGGCGTTTTGCGCATTGGTGGGCACGATCACACTAACGCCCTTTTTTTAGTGGCGAGGCGTTAAACGTCGACGGAAAACGCGAGCAAATAACGTCTCGGTGTGCACGGGCCTTTAGGTTCGTGGTCAACTGTTTGTCTTGTTCGTATTAGAGATCTGCGCGGAACGCTCTCTCTCATTCACACACACACACACACACACACACAGAGAATCAAGCGACGCAGAGCATCACACTCTCTCACACACACACACGTACATACATAGAGAGCACACAGAATCACACGCACACAAACACATAAACAGCATCCACGTGGATGCGTGCTCGCTCGCTCAGGAGCTATATTGTTAGACCGCGCGCCTACTTCCGTTACCGCCCGCTCCTGCGCTTTATTCGGAAATTTATTCCCGCACCGCAAGAAATCTGGTCGGGTCCCGCGGAAGCTCTTTTTTACTACGTCTCCCTTCTCCTTCGGTCGAAACCCGAAATACTGCCAAACTGCAGAGGTTGTGTTCTTTTTCGAGACCAGGTCACTTGGTGCACGACTCGCCATCTTACCTCATGTCTCTCCTCCACACTGTGCCGTGATGACAATCACGCATACGCATTTTAGGCATTAAATAAATAATATTTAATGCTTGTCTCCTGTTTAAGTGCGTTGTTTTTATGACGGTATAACGGTTTTACGTTCACATGGACACCAATAATTCGATTTTAATGTGATTAAGACAATACTCTGATTAAGACTCGACCATGTAAACAGCGATTTTTGATTAATTTCATCAGATTAAGGTCATAATCAAACTAAAGAGAAATCGAATTAAGACGTGTGGAGTATGCCGATTTTAGTCGCATTATTGAAGTGCATTACAGACATGTAAACGCCTGAATCGTTGCTATTTTAAGATCCCGTGATATACCATATTACCGCCTAAGCCTACCGCGAGGTGCACCCAATACAATTGGCGTACTGATGTTTTGCTTCTATATTTTACATTAGCCTATTATTTGTGCATAAACATACCTAGATATAGGAAGAAACATATTGTTTGTTTGAAAATAAAAACATTTTTGTCATTCCTACTGCAAACTTATATGAGCGATAATATCATTAAATGTGGAGGGGGCCTTACAATATTTTCCGGGGATCTGAGAAAATGATCAGATGATGCAAGTATTTCAATTAAACACATACCTGGCAGTCCGACTGCAGCTTAAAGATGCTCACGGCCCCGCTGGAAGATGCAGAAACAAGCCGGTCTTGATCTAGAAACTACACCGATTATACAAATCAGTTTTGCTCATCTCAAACTAGTTCAGGTTTGAAACAAGTAAAGTGTGAGTAAATAACGACAGATTTTTCATTTTTGTGGGAACTATCCCTTATCCATCAAATTTATATTTTTTTAAATGTGCTTTATAGGTTGATGAACTATACTAGCTCCTGCAGTAGTGAGCAGGTGAGTGTGTGTTGTTGACAGTCATTATTACTGACCTGCAGGTCCATCACATCTCCCTCATGCTGAGAGTCGCATAGTAACTGAGGCTCCTCATCCAGGTCTCCATCCAGGGTTGAGCCCCCGCGGTCTCCCACTGACCAGATGGACACTTTGTTATTCTGAAACACACAGTGAAAGCCTGTTATTATCAGATCAGATCACTCAGCAGAGCGTAAGGGCTCATTCACACTGAACTAGGGCTGGGCGATTCATCAAAAAGTAATTAAAATCAACATTCAGAATTTACTATCGATCTAAATTTTCCAAGTTAATTTTTTTCAATTTCTTTCCGCTAGTTCTTTTTCGAATGTTCTTTTTAGGCAATGCCTGTTTTAATTTCAATTGTTCAATGCTGATGTTCAATAAATAATCATAGATAGTAGATAGTGTGTGTTGATTTTAAAACAAATTGAAAGAAAGTAATGCACCCATCATTTAAAAACCTCTCACTTGTAATATACGAGCATATTTACTGCACAAAACTTTTCAGTGAACTATGAGGGCAAAAAAAATAATAATAATAATTGTTTATTAAGCGCAATTGAGTTAAAATGTTCAATTAATCGACATTTAGATTTCAGGACAAATCGCCCAGCCCTACACCGAACGCATCTTCGCTTCTAAAAACACCATATACGACGCTCAGGAATGGGTTTAAAAGGTCCCGTCAAATAAAAATAAAGATTTTTTTTTAGATGTAAGCTTCAGTCTGTAAGATTTTAAGGATATCTATAATCTAGAGTGCTCTACAACAGAGACAAAATTTGTGTTTAGATGTAAACCGATATAAGCATCCAAAGCTTGCAGTTTGTCACTTCCGCCTAAATGGATAGTTTTTTTTTGACGTCACCTCATACTTCAGTTTCTCATTAAATCTTCTGACCATCTACTGAGAGAAATGCTTGTTTTGTTATAAATTGTATTTATTTTCTTTTTAAATTTCATTTATACAAATATGCAAATTTACTAATACCAAACCATATCTTTCTGTTTTTTTTTTTTTTGCAAGAATTTAGTCATTATTTACATTTAATCTCATTATCTAAAAATAAGAAAGCCAACAGAACTATTTTATCTTGTAATGACTTTAATTTTTCTTCTGTAATTGATTCTTAAATGTCTTCATTGACAGTGTGATTCATATTCTATATTGTAAACAAATATTGCTACAAACTTGTCAACTGTTTTTGCAAAAATAAATAAATAAAAAATAAATAATAAAAAAAATCTTCAGACCAATCAGATGCTTTCTAGTGTCTGGCATGCCCAGCCCCCTTCTAATTTGCTGTTCATTTGATGCACTTGAGCTTTAACACTCTCACTGGCAGAGCTGTGAAAAAAACTACACGCCATTGGCTATTTTTCTTAAAGGGGAGGGGCTACTATGTCACACCCTGTCTTTATGTTTTAGTTGAGATCAAGTACATGTACAATAAAAATGCACATTTCAAAGCACTTCATGGACGCAACGTGATGCAACATTATTGACGTGTTGTAAAATTAACAATTATGGACTTTATTAAAGGATCAACTGATTTGCTGGGAAAAAAGTATGGCTGTTACCACAGAAATTTCATGTTAGAAATAAAATTAAAGAAACACCCTATAAACTTCAACAGAATTTATCCAGCAAAACATTATTTACAAACATTTAAAAGTGGGATTGATGCAAATTGTATTTTTGTAATGAATATGAGGAGACTGCTTTACACTTATTTTGTCACTAGTCAACATATGGCGTGAGCTGCAAAGATTTATTAATAACAAACTGCAGTGTTCTAAACTGCTGTCATTGTTGTGTGAGAATTTATTTTTTGGCTTTACTATGTACACTAGGCAAGAGGAGAATTGTTTATTGATTAATTTAATTATTTTGCTAACAAAATTTTACATTCAAAAATGTAAATTTACTAATAAGAAACCGAATTTTGGCGACACAGTGGCGCAGTAGGTAGTGCTGTCGCCTCACAGCAAGAAGGTCGCTTGTTTGAGCCTCGGCTGGCTCAGTTGGCGTTTCTGTGTGGAGTTTGCATGTTCTCCCTGCGTTTGCGTGGGTTTCCTCCGGGTGCTCTGGTTTCCCCCACAGTCCAAACACATGCGGTACAGGTGAATTGTGTAGGCTAAATGGTCCGTAGTGTATGAGTGTGAAGGAGTGTGTGTGGATGTTTCCCAGAGATGGATTGCGGCTGGAAGGGCATCCGCTGTGGAAAAACAAGCAGGATAAGTTGGCGGTTCATTCCGCTGTGGCGACCCCGGATTAATAAAGGGACTAGGCCAAAAAGAAAATAAATGAATGAATGAAACCGAATTTTAAGGTACTGATGACTGAATTATGCTAATATATTAGTAGTATCAGAGACTCTAAATAAGATAGCTTTAAAACTCTGTGAACTCCACAATGTATTTCCTTGATTTTTACATATATATACAGTTTGTGTATTTGATTTTTGCTTACTCCTGGCATGTATATTTTGTTACTGTTAAAATGTTATAATAAAAAGAAATTAAAATAAAACCTCCTCCTCGCCATTTCTGTTTATTGTGATAGGGCTGTCAAAACTGACAGGAGGGGCGTAATCTGAGTATTTAGCTGAAAACACAGGTGAATTTTCAGATTTCAAGTACAATGTCAAACTTTTATTCTTACTGACATGCAGAGACGAACTGTCAGTGTGGTGAATTGTTTACGACAAAACTAGCAACGTGAGCTAACAACATCAACATGGTTAGTTTTGATCCCATGTGTACTGAAAACGCGGTGTGTATGTCCGTCCAGCGCGTGTTTACATAGAAAATCAACATAACAACAGTGCGTTGGAAAGCAAAAGTGCATTCTGTGTGATCGGCCCATGGTATATGTGTGGTGTCCGCTGTGAGCTCTTGCCTCGTTGTCCCAGGAGCCGGTGGCGAACACCTCGGGCTGCTGCAGGGACGCCGCGGACACCGGCCGCCAGCGCGTCTTGCTGATCTTCTGGGAGATGTACTTCGCGCTGATGCAGTCCATCGCGTCTCACTGGCGTTGTGTGCTGATTATGGAGTTTAGGGAGCTTCACGTGCAGCTGCTAGTGTATCCCGCCACCGCAGACTGCGTACTCGACAGTACGGTGGCCTGAAAGGATCAAGCGCGTTCACAAAACACTTCTTGGCTGTATCCGAAATCGCCCCCTATAACCTTAATAATGCACTATTTGAGAAAACAGGTGACCGAAACCATAGTGATTTCTAAAGTGCACTCAATCAGTGCCAAAACACTCAGCAGCCACCCAAAATGTGCTGTGAGAGTTTGCGCGCAGAATAATTTTCCGCATCTGACCGCAAGATGGCGGCCAAGCAGTGATGGTGGAATCCCATCAGCGAAGGTTTTAAAATTGAGTGATTCAAAAGTCTTCGTTTCATTAGTCATTTTCACAGAAGTCACAAAGAAGTTTCACATCTAATCCGGCAGAGGGATTTATTAAACAGTAACGCACAAACAAAACAGCGTCCCATCTCGTTTCATTTACTCCTTGAAGTGGACTGAGGGACGACTTCGGATGCAGCAAGTCTTTACAGCTGCGGTCGGATGCTTTTCCCTCGGCTTATAACATTGGATAAACAAGAAAAAGGGAGGGAAAAAATTATAATTAATCTAAAAAATAAAATACAACAAATAATAATAATAATAGAATAAAAATCAGGTTGCATGAAATATCTCATCATTTTTTAAAGAAGCACATTTCTAAAGGAATCAATGTCACATAAGACGTCCATAACAGCTGGTGTCTTTTTAGGAAACCTTTTTAGGAGAAAAAACTTTTAACTTTTTTCCTGTTCAGTGGCGTAATGTACACATCACACTTTTTAGGGTTGTAAAAATGAAACATTTGTAATTTGCAAATCTAAAAATTGCATTTTATGAAAATAAAAAGCCAACAGTCTGGTTGGTCTTATTATTGCTGAAGTGAAAGAATTATAAAAAATTAAAAGGTAAAAAAAAGTTATGGAATTTGTACAGAAAAATGAACTTAACATTTCACATGAGAAATGTCAGTAAAAGTTTCTATCTATCTATCTATCTATCTATCTATCTATCTATCTATCTATCTATCTATCTATCTATCTATCTATCTATCTATCTATCTATCTATCTATCTATCTATCTAATCTATCTATCTATCCATCCATCCATCCATCCATCCATCCATCTATCTATCTATCTATCTATCTATCTATCTATCTATCTATCTATCTATCTATCTATCTATCTATCTATCTATCTATCTATCTATCTATATTTATATATATATATATATATATATATATATATATATATATATATATATATATATATATATATATATATATATATATATATATATATATATATATTAGTATGCAATAATATGCAAAACATATGCCACAGTGTACATGCAAACATACATTCCCGGGCAACTTTTAACTTTTCTCTTAAAATTTTATATTGTAAATATCCAGCTAAAAAGGTTTTAGAGAGATTTAATTTGGATATTGATTAATCCTGTGAGTTTTGTTGCATGGAAAAGGAATCTATTCTCCATGTTTAGTGATTGTATATACTCAAAGTTTTTCTGGGTGGATGTGTACAATTTTCTTAGAATGAAAACAAATATTGTATTCAAGTTACAAAAGTTTTGATATTTAAATTTATTTTTTTAAATACATGTTCAAAAAATACCTTTCTAGTACAACTTTTTATTAATATGGGAAAGTTTAATATACATAAAAAAATGGACTGGATCAAAGCCAAATTTTGTTAACTTCCTTCAAGAGACTACTGCACAAGTTTGGAAAACATTGTAAATAAAAAGCAAAGAATACCTGCAATATTCTTAAGGAATATAAGATTTTTAATTACTGAATATTTTTTATGTAAACTCTGGTTTATATTTTTGTATATTACTGTATAATTCTGTGTTAGTTGGTAATAAAAAAAATTAAAACTTTGAACTTTTCTCCTGTAGTGACGTCATATATACGCCGCACTTCTGCGTCATATTTAGTGAGGAGAAAAAAATCAATGGGGAAGAGAAGACACTCGTCAGCTCACCACCACACGGGCTTAGTATACGACTAGTATACTTTCAATTCAGTTATTGTCATCACTGCTGATTTTAGAAATGTTTTTCGCTTCGCATGTGCCTACTATCATAATGTATGACGTCACGCGATAAGGCGCTCGTGCTTTCTTCCTGCTGGCGGCGCGCAGGGAGCGACTTTTGCATCTCCCAAAGCCGACACAGAAAAAAAGCACACAAACCTGGCCATGTGGAAATTAATCATGGTTCACAATGCATGACGCGGCAGCGGGTTGCTAACAACGGGACATGTCTGGTGATGACGTCTCCGTGCTGGAAGTGGTAACGGTCGTCGGAAGGGCGGTGTGCGCAGGCGCGGCGCTGACAGCCGCACTCTACCTGATCCGCAGAGTGTGTTTAATAATGGCCTGGAAATCCGGAGGAGCGAGCCACGCAGAGCTCGTCAACAACCTCCGCAGTGAGTTTAACCCGCACCGACTGTCCAAGAGAGCGGGATGGGTCTGTGTGCTGCAGTGTTTAGCCTGCAGGGTTTGTTTACGCTGTTGTGGAGAGCGAAAGTGCGCGTCCGTCAGTTAGCATTGCGTTACAGCGCAGGGGAAAGTGCGCGGATGCGTATTAGGAGACCGCGACTTCATCTAAACGTCGCTTTTATGTGAATTATCATGTTAGACGAGCACGTGCTGACTGTTATTTAACACTTACACTGCGCTTTCAGTGCTCTTCAATTCGTTAGCTAGCTGCTAGCAGTCTGTCTGTGTGATCGTCACTCCCAAACCACCTGCAAATAGTCTGCTCTGCTTATGTAATCGCATTGGTGTATTTATCTAGTCTAATTTCGGTTCGTTTATTTGTTTCGTGTTATTTATTTATTTGTTTTTGGCTGAACTGACAGCCCTCTGCTGTTTTTTTCGTTGCATATGCTACTGTATTACTCTTTAGCCTTGTTTGTATTAAATCTATTTGGATGTGCATGTTAATATAAATTTAGGCAATAACGCGAACGACTCGCATATTCGTGAAACGCTTCGTTGTTTAATGCTCGCATGTGCTGGTTTTATTTGGAGTTGTCCTGTGGGCGTGGCACACCACATGCTGCCAAAGTCATCGTATGATGACGTCACTCAGTACTTTGTGCATCTGCTGCACTTTGCTCCTTTATATTTCTGCTGCAGTAAAATCCACGTCTGTCTAATAATTTGACTTCTTGAAACCAAAAATGTGGGTTTTACTTGGATATTTTAAAACACTAAACGTGAAAAAAGCTACATATGCCTAAACATAAACCAGAGAAACCCACATTTCTGTCAAATTGTACTTGTAATTAACCCCAACTACTGTAAAAAGAGCGCAATTCCATAGATGAAGTAAAAAACATCTCATTAAGCGTGTTATCCCCCGTTGAAGTCTGTTATAAACAAAAAGCTGAACATGGCTTGATGTTTCTATCAAATTTTACTCATGACAAACACTTTCTGATGTCAAAAGAGCGAGCTCCTATTTACATTTTAAGTCCATAGGGTATATGCCGAGCTAGTGCTGTTCCCATGCTGATAAACTTCCGGTGAGCTGTTATTGTGAACTTTTTTCCATTTTATACGGTTCCTTATGCAGCATCAATGTTGTAATGTCATTAAAATACATTCAGTTAAATAAACTAGCATTTATTTAGTTGCTCAAGCGTAAAACGAGACAAAAAGCCGTTTACTCGCACGCGCCTGTCAGAATCGGCAGGCTAACGCAGAAGCTCCATTGAATATACTGGGGTAAAATAAATGCTCATATTATAAAGATATGATGGGGAAATGTAATTTAATGCAGTGCTTCTTGTACAATCTGAGATCCACTTTAAATCGGATATCACTCAGCCAGTGGAGATCGCTGATTTTTAAAGAAAACAGACCTTAAATGCACCGGATTTTGCATTGGCATTCAATTCGCCGGAAGCGCTTAAACCAGGTTACTGGCAAATTAAAAGTCCTATTAGCATGCTTCGGCATATACATTATTATAAGAAAACAGCTTAACATAGGGGAGCGCGGGGCAAAATAAAAGTAATGCAGGGTAAAATGTAACATGGAGTTTTAATGTATTTGCTCAGGGTTAACCATGGCATGCTCTCAAGGTTTTCACCACAGTGTCAGCAGATTATTGACACTTATTTCAATAGCTCCTACTAATTATTGAAATTTTTTTGACAAAATTTGGATGAGAAACACAGGAGAAACCATTTTTGCCGCATAAAAGTATTTTTTATTATAGTCGAGATTTTTTATTTAAAAATAATCTGGGAAAATACAAACCTAAAGTCTTATATTGTTGTGATTACTGTTTTCTAGGGTAAAAGATGCAACCATTTTAAAAGATGTAAAACACACAGTGACTGCGAGGCAGTTTTGAGGGAAACACAACACAGCGGGGTTGTAACAGTGTGTTATAATTAAGTCACACACTGTTGGACACCAATTAAACAAACTAAATATATATTTTTTTAAATTTTGAGTGAAATGTTGAGAACTTTTTTTTTTTTTAGATTTATTTTTGCTCTTTTTGCCTTTATTAAGTGGATATAACAGAAATTATACAGGAAATTATATGGGAGAGAGAGAGGGAGTAGGGACGGGAAATGTCCTCGAGCCGGGATTCGAACTCGGGACGCCCTGAAGTGCCACTGCACCATATGCCAGCGCGCTAACCACTAGGCTATTGCACCAACAATGTTGAGAACTTTTTAAATAATTTTAATTTAAATAGAAAACATTGTTTTAATATATAAAAAAAAAATATATTTTATTGGTAATAATGCAAATAAATGCATTGGATAATAATGCAAATAGATTCAAATGTGTTTATCCAATAAACAAATAAGTACATAAACATACTGCGCTATGTAGAATAAAAAAAGAAATGAGCCAGTTACTGATGAAAATAGCTACTATTTAAAGTAAACTGAATTTAAATTAATTGTGTGAAATCTGCCTTTAAAAGCATGTGTTACTACTAACCCTCTGCCTGTTACAACTGGCCCCGCAGGTGGGGTAAATAGAAACATTTTCACTCCTGACACTTTTGGCAATACTGCACAGAAACCACAGGTCTGGCGATCATACAACCAGTGTAATGTAATGTAATGTAATGTAATGTAATATGTATTTATATAGCGCATTTATTGTGTATGGCCATACACCCAAAGCGCTTCACAATCATGAGGGGGGTCTCTCCACACCACCACCAGTGTGCAGCATCCACTTGGATGATGCAACGGCTGCCACAGGACAACGGCGCCAGTGAGCTCACCACACACCAGCTATTGGTGGAGTAGAGGGACAGTGATAGAGCCAATTCGGTAGAGAGGGGATGATTGGGAGGCCATGATGTTAAGGGCCGATAGAGGGACTTTGGCCAGGACACCGGGGTTACACCCCTGCTCTTTCACGAGAAGTGCCTTGGGATTTTTAATGACCACAGAGAGTCAGGACCTCGGTTTAACGTCTCATCCGAAAGACGGCGCCCACTGACAGTGTAGTGTCCCCTTCACTTTTACTGGGGCATTAGGACTCACACAGACCACAGGTTGAGCGCCCCCTGCTGGCCTCACTAACACCACTTCCAACAGCAACCTAGTGTTCCCTAGTGGTCTCCCATCCAGGTACTGACCAGGCTCAGCCCTGCTTAGCTTCAGTGAGTAACCGGTCTTGGGCTGCAGGGTGACATGGCTGTGGCAGTGCTCATTTGTAGGAGAGGCTTGAGTGTTATTAGTAAAAAAAAATATATGGTTTGTCCAACCTCATTACTTAGTTCATTAGTTGACCAAAACTAAAAAGTTTTACATTGTGCCCGGCTCACCTCTACTTTTATCACCAACCAGGAAATCCCAAATTTCGGTCAAACTTTACTCGTAATTAACCCTAACTACTGTAATAAGAACGAGTCCCAATTCTGTAGATGAAGTGAAAAACATCACGTTAAGCATTCATCTCAGGGAATGCCTGTCATCTATTCTTAAGTCATGTTTTTTTAGACAAATCTAACAGTTAACCATCGGCCAGCGAGACTAATAATACTCAAGTGGCGTGTAACCCATCCTCCTGAACTCCTGGCTTTATCCTGAGGTCGAGTGGTCAGCGTGCTATATTTAGTGGTGCTTGCTAAGATACTATTACTGATGATGCTGATGCGCAGGTTTGGGGATTTGAACAAACTCCTAAGAATTACACTATCTGAATGATTGAGGTAAAGTAGGTTTGATGTTTGCACATTCGTTCATTTAATGGGTCAAGTATTGTTTGACATGCTAAGTAGAATATCGAGTCTGAAATGGCATGCAGGATGACTTCAAAACAACATTAGCACTATGTATTTGACTGTAAACAATGCACTTTGATAGTCATTGACTGCTAATATGATTTCGCTATTTAAAAATGAGCAAACAGTACTTTTCTGAGATTATATTATTAGGCAGAAAGTCTGAATGTGTGAATATAAAACCAACTTTACCTCTATGATTGAATGAAGAAAAGTCTGTTCTTTCACTGCATGTGTTTTACTCCTGGTTGCACCATGCTGATTATATAATTGATTACTTTATTAAACAGAAGTCAGCTTAAAAGGGATAGATCAGTGGCTTTTTTCACCAAGTACCACCTCAGAGAAAAAAAAAATGTCCACCATAATGACCAGTATTAAACTACAGCAGTCTAGTAGGCCTAAATAAGCAGCTACAGCTCTGCACAGTTCAAAAACATGGCAGATTAGTTTGTATTATTAGGAATATTTATTATTGTCAGCCATTTTAAACATTATAAATAGCTTTAACATTAACACTATGCTTACAGGTAAAAAATTAATAAAAAACACCACCTTTTAAATTAAAATGTGCTTTAAAATGCTAATTAAAAATGGTACTTATATGATATGCATGTAAAATAGGTTTAAGTGCTGATCAAATCTAAATGTGAACCAGGCATGGGATGATAACCGTTTTAAGGTGTACCGCGGTTCGGAAAAAGTCAAGGTTTTAACACTGCCTTAATTTTCTGTAATACCGTTCCTAAGGTGTATGTAAGATTTTTTATTTATGTTTTTTTTTTTTTTTTTTGCAGAAAAGATTGTACAGAAATCTGTGTTTTTGAAACTAATGAAGACAGCAGAAGTCAATGATTTAGCCTGACATGTTTACTGCTGAAATATTTTAGTTGTTTCTCAAAATGAAATGGAAACTGGCGTAGCAGCAGCAATGGTAACTGGTCAACATTATGGGATCAGTCTGCCTAAAGAATGCTCCATATTCACAGCTGAAGCCCACGCTTTACTTTTAGCATTGGAGTATTTAGAAAATGCCCAACAAAAGAAATCCATCATTTTCACAGACTCTAAATCATGCCTCCAAGTTATGGAATCTTCAACGAATGATCATCCTTTGATTGATAATATTTTAACTAAAGTTCACCAACTACAAAATCAGTTTTATCACATCATTTTCTGCTGGGTTCCAGGACATGTCGGACTTTCAGGCAATGAGCGAGCTGATGCAGCTGCTAAAAATGCTTTGAAGCAAGTAGTGAACAAATGCCAAATCCCTCCGTCAGAGATGAAACCTTTTATCAACGCTTACATTTTAAACAAGTGGCAAAAGCAATGGGATGCATTAGAAAACAATAGATTACATGAAATCCAACCTGAAGTTTCACACAGAATTTTAAGACATTTTAAGAATCGATTTAAACTAGTAGTTTTTACCAGATGTCGTATTGGGCATACGAGAATAACCAACACAATTCGTAACTTTTTCATTTAGTGGCTAATTCGTATGAATTCGTACGATCTAATTCGTACAATTTAGTACGATTTCCTTATCCCCCAATGACGGTTGGGGTTAGGGGTGGGGTCAGGTGCCACACCTCCTTTTTAAAATCGTACCATTTCGTACGACTGAATTCGTACGAATTAGCCACTAAACTGGCAAAACGTAAAATACTTACGTTTCCTCGTGAGATCAGGCTGGAATAACACATGGTTTTTTGCTCTTTTAAGGACATTTTTAACAAAGTGAAACCAGAAAAGATTTTAGAATTTTTATCATGTATTAACACCAAAAATCTTATTTAATTTATGTTTTATTTTGTTTGTTGATTTTTAAATTGTATATTTATTGTTGAAAGATTCCTGCCATGAAAATAGCCTTGGTTGCTGACATGGCATTAAATAAAAAATACATTACTCAAAATGAAATATAGATTGTGTTCAAAGGGAAAAAAGTTTTGGTTTGTGACTCAGACTTTAAAAAAGAATATATTTTACAGCAGTAATCAAACCGTGATATTTTAATCCAAGGTTATCATCCCGTCAGAGTCTTATACCGGCCCATGCCAACCTTGATTGCCTTTGAAGCTCCCCTGGACTCCAGCAAATGCATACATGTAAATGAATGCATCAGCCAATCAGTGTGAACTTTGTGTTTCTCTGCAGAGAATGGGATCATTAAATCAGACCGCGTATATGAAGTTATGTTGGCCACAGACCGTTCCCATTTCTCCAGATGTAATCCATATATGGACTCGCCACAATCTATAGGTAAGTTCCTGTCCAGAGATTTTATTTATTTGGCAGTGTTAGGGCTGTGCAACAGGGGGGATCGACCGTCCTAGTTAATGCTTGGTCCTTCCTGAATGACATCAAAACTAGATGCATGGGGAGCTCAGCCCTTTCATTGTGAGAAATAGATTTTTCTGATCTGTATCCTAAATAATAATATTCTTAATTAAAATAATAGGTTTCCCAAAGATGGGTTGCGGCTGGAAGGGCATCCGCTGCGTAAAAACTTGCTGGATAGGTTGGCGGTTCATTCCGCTGTGGCGACCCCGGATTAATAAAGGGACTAAGCCGACAAGAAAATGAATGAATGAATAATTGAAAATAATAGGTAATATAAATATACATTTGAGCATCCTTATAGCGGTTTATACCATTATGAATGCAATCTACACGGAAAAAAATAAATAAAATTCAACAGTCTTAAACCGGCAGATCACAGCACCAATAGGCATTGCAAGCATTCACAAGACACTTTTTTTCATAAGTGTTCACTCGAAAAGTTGAGTTTAAGTTGCTTAAAATGAGACCAAGCAAGCTACAGAAAGAAATAAGTGTTCAATAAGTGAAATCAGTTTCACGTGTTTTAGTTTAGGCAAATATTCTAGATGTTTCGAGGTTGATAAATCGATGCAGTGCAGAAAAAGGGTTATTATTTTTGTTTGTTTGCGTTATTAAAACGCAACAGTGAAACTATTAGAAGTTTTTTTTTACTTTGAAATGAAGTGAAACTGGTTGCATGTATATATTTTTAAGTAGTGTATTGCGTTTTTAAATATTGCACTATTTAGCATGTAATCATATATAGTATTTTTCTTCAATATCGCACAGCACTACACAGTGTCTGCAGCTTTATGAGCAGGGCCAGACAGAATCTGCAGACGTCTTTTGCTCTTTCTGCGCAGAACTTTGTACAAAATCTGCATATTTATGTAAAATGTTTTGCGGGAGTATACTTACTAAAAACTGAAAACATGAAAAAAGAATAATAATAACTGTCGTTTGAGGTTTACTATGCAATTAGATTAACTTGTTTGGTAAACAAAGTCTCTCATATAATATCCTCTGAAAGATAAACTTAACAAATTACATTGCAAATAAATCATAAGCATTTGCATATTAATAATATTACAGAAAATTAATATAAAAACAGAAAATATTTACACACATCAATCTGTTCATTTACATATGTAGATTTAATGATGGGGTATTTGTGCACGTGCAGATTCTGTGTGGGTCTACTCATTTGTGCCTGATGTGCCTAAAGACTTCGTTGACAGTGATGGAATACCTGCTCTCTTATTTTACCAGATCAGCACATCAAATACAGCTACACTAATTCATGAAATAAAATGATTTCGTTTTATTCATTGCAATTCTGGCGAGGCAGTGGCGCAGTAGGTAGTGCTGTCGCCTCACAGCAAGAAGGTCGCTGGTTCGAACCTCGGCTCAGTTGGCGTTTCTGTGTGGAGTTTGCATGTTCTCCCTGCGTTCACATGGGTTTCCTCCGGGTGCTCCGGTTTCCCCCACAGTCCAAACACATGTGGTACAGGTGAATTGGGTAGGCTAAATTATCCTTAGTGTATGAGTGTGTGTGTGTGAATGTGTGTGTGGATGTTTCCCAGAGATGGGTTGCGGCTGGAAGGGCATCCGCTGCGTAAAAACTTGCTGGATAAGTTGGCGGTTCATTCCGCTGTGGTGACCCCGGATTAATAAAGGGACTAAGCCGACAAGAAAATGAATGAATGAATTGCGATTCTAGCTTTGAGCCTCAGAGAGGATATTCAGATGTGATGCGTTCAGTGTAAGCCTCTTTAAAGGGACGGTTCACCCAAAATTAAAATTTACTCACGTCTTTCTCTCCAGAGGTTCCAAATATTTTTAAGTTTCTTCATTCTGATGAACACAAAAGAAGATATTTTGAAGAATGTTGGCTGACTTCCATTGTAACGGGGTGTATGCACATCAGCGAGTGTTTTTCAGCCAATGATAGACTTCTGGTGAAAGCTTAATGTGACTATTTTAAATTTCAGAAGGTTACTTTTACACCATCGATGTTGTAATGTCATTAAAATACATTTAGATAAATACACTTAAGCATTCATGTAGTATGTTCAAGAGTAAATAGAGATGACAGACTGTGTAACTGCTAGCGCAGGCGAGCGCAGAAACTCCATTGAAAATACTGAGGTGAAGGAAGCTCTCACATTTTAAAGACATGGTGAAGGGAATGGATTTAATGCAGTGCTTCTGAGAGCCACTTTATATCGTAGATCTATCAGGCAGTGAAGATCACTGATTTTTAAAGAAATCAGACCTTCAACGTGGCAGTTTTATAATGGAAAGACAGTTCACTGGAAGTGCTGAGGCTGGCTGGCTGAAATGAAAAGTCTGTGTGCATAAAGCCCACTGATATTTTACTATTAAGGGATAAATGTGTTCATTTCATGCAGGTTATCAAGCAACAATCAGTGCACCACATATGGTAAGTCAGAACTTTTTCCTAAGAGAGCATCATGTGGAATGTATTGGTCTGTTTAAGGCACTGACCATGGCTCATTTGTATGCTTTAGCATGCTTATGCACTAGAGCTCCTCCATGACCACCTCTATGAAGGAGCAAAGGCTCTGGATGTGGGATCGGGCTCCGGGATCCTCTCCGTCTGCTTTTCCAGAATGGTGAGTCGCTTCCCTTCCAGCCCCAAACATGGATTTTAATAGCAGTGCAATACTTCTCAATGAGCCGTAATACATTTCCATTTCCCTGTTAGAAAAAGAACGTGTGGCCGATGGAGGACCGAATCTGTGAAAATAATCGGACAAATGAGTAGTTGTAATATATGAACATTTTCTGAGAGTTTAATTATATTTTTTAAAATGCAGTTAGTTTGTCTATCAACATTGTAATATGTTTGACTTTTTTATCCGATTAACTCAATTCAACTCAACTCACTGTATTTCTATAGCACTTTCACAAATCACAATGGATTACCAAAGTGCTGTACATAAAATCAAATAAAAAAGCATGTAAAATATACATAAAACCAAAATACATAAACTCATATCACATGATTAAAAGCTAAAGAAAATAAGTGTGTTTTCAGTGACCTCTGAAACGACTCAAAAGTTTGAGCTGTTCTTACAAAGAGTGGGAGATCGTTCCAGAGTCTTGGAGCTGCTACTGAGAAAGCTCTATCCCCTCGACATTTTAAGCATGATCTAGGAACTTGCAAATAGAGATGATCCATAGAGCGAAGAGATCTCACAGGTTGGTGCATAATAATTAGCTCAGAGATATACTCAGGGGCCAGGCCGTGGAGGGATTTAAAAACATACAACAGAACTTTGTACTGAATTCTAAGCTGGATTGGCAGCCAGTGTAGGGAAACAAGTACAGGTGTAATGTGCTCTCGTTTTTTTGTGCCTGTTAAAAGCCTGGCAGCTGCGTTCTGGACCAGCTGCAGTCGCGAGAGAGAGGCTTGACTCACACCCAGATACAATGCGTTGCAATAGTCCAGACGAGAAGAAATAAAAGCATGCACAACTTTCTCCAAATCACTGAAAGAGAGGATAGGCTTTAGCTTGGCAATATATCTAAAATAGAAAAAAACTATTTTTGACAACCGCATTAATTTGCCAATCAAATTTTAGCTCAGAGTCAAAGATGACACCAAGACTCTTTACTGAGGAATGTATTTTCCCAGGAAGCAAAGACAGATTGCTATTAGAGTCTGAACCTTTTTGGCCAAAAACAATAATCTCGCACTTATTTTCATTCAGTTGGAGAAAATTATTTGCCAACCAACACTTCACATCAGCCAAACAATTAAGCAAAGCCTGAAGGGAGGATTGATCCCTAGATTTTATAGGGAAGTAAATTTGAGAGTCATCAGCATATAGATGGTAATTTATGCCATGCTTTTCAAAAATTTTAGTCCAGTCGTTTTAATACTTTTCATTATTATTATTTTTAATTTTATTGTCTGTACAAATCAAAACATACAAATGAATAAATATGTAAGTTTCCATATTTAATAAACATTTTAAACTATTAAAAACATCAACAAAAGTCACTTTTCAACATCAAAAGTTGTTGGAGGAAAAGTCAAGATCCCATAATGCAATGCAAAAGCATAAACAAGTGAAAAAAAAACACACAAGGAAATATTTTTTTTTTATATATATATAAATAATTTTTTTTTATACATACAAATCAATAGATATGCTGGGATGTAGTTCTGCTACGTTATTGCTTCAAAAAGTGCTGCGCACGGGAATACACTTCTCCCTCTGACAGTATGATAGCAAAAACAACAACAAAAAAGAAACAATGGAAAGTGGGAAAAATGTACACCAAGACAGAAAAAGGCTACAAAGGAAAACTCTTTTGTTCACGGCGAGAATGTGAAGCGACTCCGAGCTATTTAAAGTGTTTCTTTTCTAGGACTAAACCAGCTGCCATAGTCAGCTGCAACCTGCGTTAATTCTGACCAATCAAAATACAGTTCAGGAATGTTGTCACGTGGTCTAAAGCAGGGGTTTTCAAACTGTGGCATATTTATCTGACGTTTTCCCAGCTTGTAGTAGTCGATCAAAAAGTGATTTCGTTTCTTATGACTATACTCTAGCAGTGGAGTTTACTGCGATGTGACGGGGCTTGATCATAATCAATGAGCTTGATCAAAGGTTGATCATATTCTCTTCTAAAAAAAGAAGAGTGTCTTTTTTAACAAAAAATCATCACAGTTACAGCCTGCATCATACAAAAAGCACTTCGAGCATCATTTTGTGCATAACAAATCGTTAAATCCAAAAAGCCATATATTTTTGACTGCTTTGAATGGATACATTTTTTTTTACCCATTTTTCCATGTTAAAATATTATTGTGGGTCTTGAGATTGAATTACTTGCCTAGGTGGTTCCCGGAATTAAAAAGTTTGGGAATCCCTGGTGTAAAGTAGGAAATGACAAATACTCAAACTACTGTAATCGTGCAGTTTTTCTCAGGAATTGTAATTTACCGAGTAGTTTTATAAATATGTTCTTTCACTTTCCCTTGAGTCGATTTTTAGTGCAGTTTACTCCATTTTTTTCCTTCAACCTAGTCACTACTCAACAATAAGAAAAGCAAAATGATCAGTGATG